TTTGCGCACCGTGAATCCATCCCCTTATCTTTTCTATATCGACTGCGAAGAATTCCAGCTTGTCGGAGCGAGTCCGGAGCTCCTCGCAAAGGAGGAGAAAGGCAGGATCATCACCCACCCCATTGCGGGAACGGTAAAGCGCGGCAAGTCTCCCGAAGAGGACGATGCTCTGGCCGCCGAGTTGAGGGGCAGTCTGAAGGACCGCGCCGAGCACGTCATGCTGGTTGATTTGGCGCGCAACGATGTCAACAGGGTCTGTGATCCTACGACAACTCAGGTCGACCGGCTGATGGTGGTGGAGAAATTCTCGCATGTTCAGCATCTTGTGTCGCAAGTGTCGGGAATTCTACGGCCGGACAAGACGCGCTTCGATGCGTTCCGCTCCATCTTCCCTGCGGGAACTGTGTCCGGTGCCCCCAAGGTCCGAGCGATGCAGTTGATCGCTGAGCTTGAGGGCGAGAAACGGGGAGTCTACGCGGGCGCGGTGGGCTACTTCGGATTCGATAGCTCGAGTGCTGACGGGATGAATCTGGTGCCTGGTGCAATGGACACATGCATCGCGCTCCGGACGATGCTTGTCAAGGATGGAGTTGCCTATTTGCAAGCCGGCGGTGGCATTGTCTTTGACTCGGATCCGTATGACGAGTACGTCGAGACGCTGAATAAGCTGGGTGCCAACATCCAGTGCATCAAGGGTGCCGAGGACAAATATTTGAGCATGGAGCAGTCGTAGGGAGAGAGATGTCTTAAGGTTATTCGAAAGCGAGATGACTAGACGGATATGATAAATTGATAGATACAATTCATCACGATTTCAAGCATGTAACGTATACTCCGACTTAATTTTTTTTTCTTCAACCTCTGGTATGTCTTCACTTCCTGCTCAAGATCGTCCTAGATATGTAAACAGATCTACCATGGATATATGCCAAGGTTTCCAGCATCATACGTTTCAGGAAGTGTTCCAGAACCCAGGAACTTAGCCGACTCGGCCTACGATGACGTAGATGGAGGTCCTTGCGTGTCTTCACTTTCTTTTCACAATCATAGACGATGAGAAGCACCGCCACAAAGTAGACATAGGAAAACAGGACTGTTCCATTTAGGATCCTTTGGACCAAGGTAGAAACTCTGCATCAGCTATGGCTCGTGGTTCTTCATTGACTAATGTTTGATGCCAAGTCCAAGGCGTACGCGGCCGGTTTGCCACGAGAAGTATAGCAGTCTCCGAGCTGGGAGCGATATGTCTTTGTCTTCGGGGTCTGCGGTGTGGCTGGGTAACAGAGGATTTTGGGTATCTTTGCTGGAATGATGAATGGTGATAATACAATTGGACTGAGCACAGGATAGAAAGTTGTGGTCTGGTGAATTTTGGATATATGTAGCGAGAGGATAATATTGACTAACCACTACTGCTCGTATATGACCATACAGGATGCACCAATAATAGCAACCAAGAGAGAGAGATGAGAGAATCAATTAGATATAGAGATAAATCAAGGTCAATGTTACCTCTCTATCAAACTAGCAATTATATTAATTAATCTGTCCGGCCACTTGCCCGGTCTTACTCCGCACTTTCCGTGCTGCTGCCTTCACTGATATATGGGCAGTGCTTGACCTCGTCTATACAGTAGTCTTTGCTTCTTGGATCCTTCACCTTTCCTTTCAACTTTGCTGCAAGGGTTAAGTTCCTCAATCAATCAATTGCCTCCTTTCTGGCTGTCCTATTGTTGTTGGTGGTGTGCAATTGATTGTACTTGTATGGATTGAACCCGAAGGCTCACGAGGTAATCAGCCAGCCCTTTCATTGACCCAAGAACGATTATTCCATTGACACAGTTCAGAATTCAAAAAAGCACAAGCAGCCAATTCTTATCCTTGACACCATTCTCGAAGCACAGTTTCTCTAGCCTGCCGTGCAGAGAGAGACGTCCTACAGCGGCCACTGCCACTGCCACCCGCCGCCCAATTCGTCATCAGAATCTTGCCGGAATCAAACCCAAAGGCCCAAACTTGCTGACCCGCCTGGCTCCCCTCTCTCTCCTCTTCCCTCTTCCTCCACATTCATCTTTCTGCTTCATCCGGAGGCGCTGGAGGTCAAATAATATATCCACCAGACATACTTCCTCTACCACCCGATCGCTTCCTGCTTCCTTGACCCTTTGCCGTCATTTCCAGCGCCGACACTCCGCCTCGCCAGAATAATTGCGGCGCATTCATTGACTGGAATCCCGCACGCGGCTTACATACACCACCGCCTGTCCTGCTTGGGCCGTGCGATAAGGACTAAGGAGAAGACGACGACCACGCCATCTATCTCTACGAGCTATCCAAGAACAACTACCTGGTCTCACTCCAAGACACTCCAATATCGTCTTGATTTCCATCATACGACACCAAATAGTTTCCATCCCCCGACCCACGCAAAGGCGAACAATTCGCGACCCCGGCGCCTCGTTTCCCCGCAAGAATCGGGACCGCGCTCGTGTTGAATATCTAGAACCAAATTCACCCTCATACATAGTCACCATTCAAGATGTCAAAGGTTGTCCGCAGCGTGAAGAACGTAACGAAGGGTTACTCTTCAGTACAAGTCAAAGTTCGAAATGGTATGTCTTGATTAACTCCTTTTTCTTGCTTTTCCTCTCTTCGCATCTTCTCCTCGATCGGGTCTGGAGGGGTGGCCATGAGGCTGCTATCGCTCCTTCCTTCATGACATGTCTGTGCTTTTTCATTTATGCTACTCGTACTGACCTGATTCAGCGACGAGCAATGACCCTTGGGGCCCGACGGGCACCGAAATGGCAGAAATTGCTGCCATGACCTTCAGCAGGTATGATTCCGTTTTCTTTCGGCATAACCCGGATCCAGGCTGACGGATACGACTAGTCCGACAGATTTCTACGAGATTATGGACATGCTCGATAAGCGACTGAACGACAAGGGCAAAAATTGGCGCCATGTTCTCAAGTCGTTGAAAGTATTGGATTATTGCCTTCATGAAGGATCCGAGCTGGTTGTTACGTGGGCCCGAAAGAATGTCTACATTATCAAGACGCTGCGCGAGTTCCAATACGTGGATGAGGACGGGAGGGATGTTGGCCAGAACGGTAGGTGTTACTGCGATGAGTGTCTGCGCGACCGGGTAGCCCTTTGCTAACGATCGGTATCTCCTGTCTCATACAGTTCGTGTTGCGGCCAAGGAACTTACCACTCTCATTCTCGACGAGGACCGTTTGCGCAGTGAACGATCCGACCGTAAGCTCTGGAAATCACGGGTGAATGGACTGGACGAGTACCAGAGCCATGGGCCCGAGCCTTCGCGCCGATCTGACCGACGGGAGCGTCGCCGACCGGCCGATGACGAAGACGTAGAGTATCGCCTGGCTATCGAGGCGAGCAAGGCAGAAGCCGAGGAAGAGCGGAGACGACGGGAAAAGCAATCCATGATGGGAGAAGATGAGGATCTGGCCAAGGCGATCAAGTTGAGCAAGGAAGAAGAGGAACTGCGGAAGCGGGAGCTGGAAGAGAGCAATGCCCAATCGCTTTTTGACGATACTCCCGTTGCCCAACCCCAGCCCACCGGGTATAACCAGGGATACCAGCAGCAAGGCGCTGTCGACTGGTTTGGCAACCCCATTAACGCCCAACAGCCTCTGTCTACCGGTTACTTGAACAACCAATACGCACAGCCAACCGGATTCCAAAACCAGGTCACTGGAATGCCCAACGGATACGCCAACGGATTCCAAAATCAGCCAACTGCATTCGATCAGAACCCATACGGCCAGCTTCAGAACAACTTCTTGCAGCCACAGGCGGCACTCCAGCCTCAACAAACGGCTTTTACGAACAATCCGTATGGCACCGACATATTCTCCCAGCAGCAGCAGCAGCAGCAGCAACAGTACCAGCAGTATCAGCAGCAACAGCAAGCGCAGGAGAATGTTTCGCCGGCAGGTAGCAACAACCCATGGGCCCAGAGCGGTGGCCAGACAGCGAATGCCTTGCAACCCGTGCCTACCGGATCCAACAATCCGTTTGCCGCCCGCACTCAATTCCAGACTCGGCCCCATACGTCGACGGGACCTCCATCTCTTAACACGCTCGCGGAAGAAAGAGCGACCAATCAGTTTACTTCCTCTCCTAACCCTATCGCCAATTTCCAGACCCCGGCACCTCCCAAGAGCACACCGCCACAAACGAACAATCCTCACCACGCCCGTCTCAATGCCCTTCTAGCCACCGGCGAGGGCAGGACACTTTCGGCAACGTCGGCGATCTTCGTATCCCGGCCCAGCATACTGCTCCAGGCACCTTCGTCAACTCTGCCGGTCAGGGGTTGGATCGTCTGCGGGCCACTCACACAGGCAACAACCCTTTCTATAACCAGCAGCAATTTGTCCCACAGTCGACAGGCTTTGCTCAATCTTCGAACAACCCTTGGGCGACTCAGCGGCCGTACCAGCAGCAGTCTCAGGCCGGTGGCAGCCTGATCGACTTGTAAAGTGCGCACAGTTGATAACTGTCTATTTTTTCCATCAACTCGGGGTTTGTGGAAATGTTCGTTGATTGGGATACCATGGTTGTTTTTCTCCCTTCATATTTAGCATCCTTCGTGCTTAGTGATCTTCTTTTCTTCGGCCGGGTTGTTGAATGTTTGATGGCATTGTGAATATACAAGAATGCCCTTTCTCTTTCCCTCTTGGTCCCATCTTGCTCGTCGCTTGACGAGATCCACGACTTATTCTCTTTGCCAACTCCGTGATTACTCGACCTGGCCCACCCTGTTCTCTATTGTCCGTCTCTCTCCTACCATTTCCCTTTGTGATGTACTTGTCTTTATCGCCGTACCTACTACGGCTTACATACCTATTACTTCGTATTGTCAATGAGATGATATCTCCACTGAGATGACTTGCTCGAGATTTGCTTTGAACCTAGGTGGAAGATCGTTTTTTATCTACCTTTAGTAAGTATAAGTAAGTTAGTACCTTGTGGCGTCAAGGTCACAGAGTACCGCTAGATATCGATGGTTGAGCATAGAAAGCTGCACCTGCAAAGTCCAATGTAACGACGAGCACTGAGACTCCGATCCTACCTTATCCATGCCTCTTAACATAACATCGAGATCACCAAATTCAACCAAGGACGCCAGGGATACTATAAAGTCGTTTCAAAAAAGCGCCTGCTCCTCCGGTGCCACCAATACTATGTATGTACCTATACACCAGGAACCCCTTCAAACCGAAAACCACCCGAACAACCAACCATAACATGACATGTAGACCACCCGAGTAAGATCGCGCCGAAACAAGCTGTGCGAAAACACCAAGTACCGAGGAACATGTACGATGAGACTTCAACATGAAGGTGACGTGCAACCGGCCGATTGCTTCGAATCTGCCTACACGACGTGCAACAGAGAACAAGATGATGTGTGAAGTGCAGAACGGAGAAAATCAGCCGCCCCGTTCGCCAAATTTCCTGGCCCACTCCTCGTATTCGCGAAGTCCGTCGCGGCTGACGCTGGGTCTGATGGATTTGAGACTGGCTTCGAAGTCTTGGAAGCGGATGGGACGGATTTGGTCCATGGGGGTGTGGAGGAGGGCCTCGCCGAGGTTGCGGAGGGGACCCATAGCGGCGTCTTTGGCGAGGGCGGTGATGTCGGAGCCGGAGAAGCCTGTGATTTTTGGTTGATCTTGTGAGTATTTGGTAGATAAGGAAATGGGCTGGTGGATGATGATGATGATGATGTAATTACCCTCTGTGACATGGACGAGGACTTCGATGTCCTCGTCATCCAGTTCGTGCACCTGATGGCTCAGGAGCTTGCGGAGCTGTTGGTCGCGGACATGGTGCTCGGGCAGGGGAATGTACTGTCTGCGGACGAATCGTCGACGAGCCGCTTCGTCTATATCCCAAGGCATGTTGGTCGCTGCCAGGACGAGCACCCGACTGGGGTCTCCCCGGCCTTTCTTCGTTGATGGTTCACGACCGGCTGCCGCTCGTTGTAGGTCCGACCACTGGATCAGGAACTCCGTCTTCGATCGCCGCGAGGCTTCATGTTCTGTTCCGGAGGAGCGCGACGAAAGGAGCGAGTCGATCTCGTCAACGAAGATGATGGATGGAGCCAATGCTTTCGCGAGCCCAAACAGCGCTCGAACCAGCTTCTCGCTCTCGCCGTGCCATTTGGATGTTAATGTTGACGCGGACACAGAGAAGAAGGTCGACTGCGACTCCGTGGCTACAGCTCGAGCGAGCATCGTCTTACCTGTCCCCGGTGGGCCGAACAAGAGCATCCCTCGAGCGGGTTCACGAAGCCCAGAGAAGAGATCCGGGCGAAGGAACGGGTAGACAACGGCTTCTTTGAGCGCTTTCTTGGCGGCGTCCAGTCCGGCGATATCATCCCAGTGCACCTCGTCACCTCGAACGACGATATCATTGAGGATCTGCCGGGCCGCATTAGGGTCAATGCCCTTGGGCAGCTTGTTCATGACATCTGTAATGGAACTGTCCTCGTCTCCGTCTTCTTCCTCTTCCTCGTCCGCGTCTATCGACTTCGGGCCCGTTGATTCTTGATCGCTTGAAGGCGGCGTAACTGTATGCGCAGGTTGTGGTTTGCGTCGAGTAGAACTGTCTGATATCTCCAGTTGCCTCATGGAAGGACTCAAATCCTCAGGTTGGGTTCGGGAGACAGGCTTTCCTGTCGACGCGGAGTTGATCCGAGATCTCGATGTGGCCTTGCTTTGCGGGTTGTCCGAAATGCTCGTTGTGGTCTCGGGTCTCGTTTTTCTGACAGGGGATGAGGTTGGGCCAATATTGCTCGATTGTGGACACTGAGGTGATGCTCTGAGTGCAACAGGTTTGGGTCTCACGGAGGGCCTATCACTACTCTGAGGGTTGTCAACAGGCTCCGACGATGGCTGGGCGAGCGTCCTGCTCCGACTGCCTGACGGCTGCCGGACCTCACCAGCCGGGGAGTGATGAGATGATGTTAGCGTTGGCACCGTGGTTGTGTTACTGTTTGCCCGTCGCGAAGACCGGACAGGTCGAGGCTCCCGGCCATCTGAGTCGTCTGCCACCTTTTTCTTCGATACAAGCTCATCCCCGGAGTGGGACCTGAACTGACCGGAATCTTTCCGGAACCCAGAGTCACTGGAGATGCTTTGCCGCGAGGACGTTATTGCGGCGTCACTTGCTAGATTCCCAGATGCTGAGGGGAGCCGGTAGATGTTTCCCCAGGCTAAACCCGCAGCCTGAGACGCAGCCGGCCGCAAATCCTTCCGCCGGAGAGTCTCCTTGTTCTTGCCGTGCTTCTTGTGCCCGTCCGACTTGCGCAGAGTGGTAGGCATCGTCTTCCGTTTCTCGGGGCTCGAGTTGCGAGACTGGTTTTTGCCGGACGAATGCGATGGGATTCGTAATGCTGGTAAGCTAGTCGCAGACGCAACGCTGCTGTCTTGGATAACCGATTCTGAGCTCGCCTGCGTCACCGGTGCTGGACGTCCTGGGATCGGCGGCGGTCGAGATAAGTCCGTATAATCCACCGGAGGTACCGTCCCGTCTCCGATCCAACCGGCTGTGTTCGAAGTAGGTGACTTTGAGGCCGATTTGCCTTTGAAGAATCGGTGGCTGACACCGCTCGTGGTGGGACTGTCCTTCTCCTGTGCTTCTTTTCTGCTTTCACGAAGAGCTTCCAAGAGATCGACTCGCTCTCGGCACTGGAGTTCTAGCTGGCGGATCGAATCTTGGAGTGCTTTTTCCGTTTCGTTCTTGGGTGTATAAGTCGACGACAGTCGGTAGGCGTTGTGATAAGAGATTGTGTCTAGAGCAGAGCGCCATGCTCTCAAAGCTTCATCTTCATTGTTCTAGAACATCAGAGCAGATTAGTACTCAGACAAAAGAAAATATCAACTGACACCGAGCGAATATCGAGATAGGAAGGGAGGGAGGCGACAGACCTGCCCCTCAAAGTATACAGCCGTGGAGCACGAGAGATAGCACTCATCGTACGTCTTCTGCAGCGAAGACGCAGCAGGCTTGGAGCGCATCATTCACGCCGGCGGAAATGCAGGACCCGCCCGCACCAGCCATGCGATCGACCACAATTGGAGTGCGGAGGCGAAATTGTAGGGTTGTCGGGAACCGAGGGGCGATGTCGGGATGTCCAGAGGCGGTACGGGTGGCGTGGTAGAGGAGGGATGAAGAATTGGATGGACAGATGGAACGGGAAGATGGAATCGATCGCCAGTGAGTCTGGGGAGGAACAGTCGAACAGGAAGGTTGCTGGAAGTTGATGGGATTGCTGATTTGATTTTTCGTCTCGTTTCCATCAGAACACTCCTCGCGTGACGTCGTTGGTCCGCCGGATCGAGGAGACACTACCCCACGGTGATACTACAACTGTCATGGTAGTAATAATGCCTTAGTTACTGGACGGATATCTACTACCTAGTTTCTCAGTCTTCTTCTTTCGAGTTTCCAGTAAGTAGTTTTCGAGCTTGGGCCAATCGTTCCGGCTATTGAGTACATATCCAACCAGGTACTGGGATCAAGTGAAGATCCCCAACCATAATCGCAAGGAAAGCTTTCCTGCAAGCCCAACGACAGCACAATATAGAATACATCGGTCAAGCAGTAGAGAACTCTAAATTAGGAGCTCACATTTTCGTCTTGGAAATCTCATGAGAGGAGCCGCCTCAAGTATGTTCCCAATGAAGAAAGAAGCCCTTCTATATCAATCCCACAACACCCGTCCCAAAGAGAACTTATGCACACATTATCAGAACGGATAAACATGAATCGGAGAAATGTATCGTCCACGAGGTGGTCCAAACGTCGGGGGTGCCTGAAATCCATAACCGCCTCGGCAGGGGTTGCGCAAAGCAAAGCGGCAGATGAGGTGGGTAACCAGAGTCGGAGGAAGACGAAAAGACATGTCAGGAGATGGAGGAATATGGAGGAAATGTAGAAATCACATCGCAAAGCAGTCCGTGACCGGCTAGGACAGAGTAGTCTCAACCCGTGGGTTTGCTCTCTCCCTGTTCTTCCTGTGCCCCTTCTCTTATGCAATATGCATTGAAATATAGCTTTTGAAATTTTTCATTTTTTCAGTCTGAAACCCTATTAACCTTTCACGCTTGCCGATGGAATCGATTCAAGTCGGAGAAATGGTAGGTATAGTTGCATCTATGTGACAAGGGCCGTTACGGGTAGGAGCTCGAATATCTCACTCCTGGCGTTTGAAGTAGGCCTTGGCCATCTCGTACGATGTCCTGTATGCCAATGTCAGTTCTGAAGCTTTATTCATGCGCGGATAACAACGTACCAGCAAATGGCGGTGCTGGGCATCGTGGAGATAATGCGGGGACGAGCGCCGCGTAGGAAGCCTCTCCATCCAAACTGGCGCTTGATGATGGCCGCCGCATTGAAAAGGCCCTTTGCCGATCGAATCTCCTCATTCTGTGCCAACCCACGTGTCTGAAGAAGCGTCTTCACAACATCCAAAGGAGTAGTAAGACCTGCAGCGAAGGCACCAGCGAGACCACCAGCGATGCAGTGGGTGAAGGGGTCATATTCCTGGGACGGGTTCATCACTTTCGAGATCGACTCGTAAGCCACGAATTGAGTAGCCGTGAAGGGCACCGTCATGCAGAGTGTAGTGGGGTATGAGACGTAAAATGCATGCAGACCCTCAGTGCGGTAAACGGACGTGGCGCATTGTAAAAGGCTCTTATGTACAGACCCATGTACTTGCATTCGTTGCTTGATGACTATTTCCGGGCGTCAAAAGGAGTCATATGGGCCAGACCATCGAAGACGACTTACCATCGAATGGATTCATCAACGCATCGCTGGCAATGGTGGCCGCCGCTCCACTAGCGGCTTGGAAATGTCAGTACTTTTCCTGCGTCGACAGAATTATAATTGAGAGCACTTACCGGCAGCAAGCGGATGGTGGCCCTCGTCGACATTTCCACCGGCCATTTCCTTGATAACCTCATAAGTACCAAAGTACACGGCATGCGCCGGACCTGCCGAACCAGGATTGTCAGCCTCTCCTCATCCCCGAATACGTCAGTGATAAGTGCATCTTACCAGCACCGACGATCACGCTCGAGACTCCCTTCCATAACGTCCGCCACCCCTCGATCCGGTAAATTGTGGAGACGGCATTGGTCAAGCCTGTGTAGAGACCTCCGGTTGTAGGATGTAAAACTTGCATGCGCGTCTGTCCGTAGCCACCCCGATATTAGTTACGCGTCCGAAAGTGATCTAGGAGAAATACTGTCGTCAAACCCAACATACCTTCAATAAGTCTACCGGGTACATGACAGCGTGTTCCTTTCCTTCCGGTCAGTATCGCCACGGGATTCGCAAAAGTCGCAATTTTCAACGCCGACATACCATTATCCCTGCAAAGGCACCGGCCAACATGTTGCGGCCGAGGCCATAGTTTGAGGGAAGAGCTTCGTATCTGTCGTATTATAGAGGTTAGCATTACCTCGGTGAGACTGGCAGTGTGATTGGAGGTAAGCAAATGGACTCGCGAGAAGTAAACTTCAGAATGACTTCTCCTCGCGACACCGACAGCGTTGCAAATATGGAGTGGTGGAATTCGAGCTGAATATAGCAACATACTCATATTCTTGCCCTGGGATCTGCTCGGGGACCGCCATTGAGCTCTAATAGCTCCGGACGCAGCCGGAGCCGCACGAGATTGAGAGAGGATGAAAGGAGGAGAGGAGAGGCCAAGAAGACAGGTGCCTCAAGCTTGTCGGAAAGTTCTTTTCAATATGCCGATGAAAGCGGGCTTTGGCAGGAGCGACGATTCTCGGTTGGATTGAGCCTGCGGCGAAGAGGAACGAGCTGGGCGCAAAAAGAGGCGACGACGATAGGAGAAACGGATATGGGCCTCAAGGAGAATACAATCAACGCGAGTAATAAGTAATGAATTCCAATGCGTGAGGCAAAGGAGAGGACCTTATGTATGTAGGGCCTGATCGATCGGGAGGGTGACAATGTTTCTGGAAAATCCAGGTTGGGGAAATTATTGTTCTTTTTCGTTTGCTGCGCTAAAGTCGAATGCCGCGGAGCTAAAGTCACTACTTCCACCGGTGGATTGAACACAAGACAACTCGGACCAAATCAGTCGAGCGACGAGACGTTACTGACTTGCTTAGAAGTTGAAGATGGTGATATGAAGTGTATGACATTTTACTCTAGATCTAGCACACATCGCTCTAGCACGATATACTACTGTCGCCGGGCGCACCATCGTGATTAGTTGCTAATAATGAGGTCGTGGCTCCGCTGCTTAATCATCCAGCAAGCCCAGACTACACCGAGGTTCCGATGACGGAGATTTCTTCGGTATACTCAAAACAACCCTCGAATATCCTAGTTATCCCAGTAGGATAGGCAGAGATCCGATGTCAATGGCAGCAGCAGCAGAATAGCTGAATGCCTTTCATGCAGTCCGCGTATTCTTTCCCTGAAAGCCTTGTCAACTTCTGCCTGTCCAGCATCTCATAAACATGTTCTTGTCCGCCACCCCGAAGCAGATATCTTATCAGTATCAGCACTGGAACCCTCCGAGTCCCGGAGGAAACCGAATAACCAATGTTTAATGTTACTAAATTTTAATACCAAGCCCTTGGTTAGCTTCAACTCCTTATCTGATCCCTAATCAGATTTTGAACCCCTGGTCAAGTGATCAGGAAGCATGATAGCGTTACCTAGTTAGCCTTCAAAGAACCATTCCACTTGTTAATGGAATATCAGCACTAGATAGAATTAGCCCTTGTAGAATGGTTTCATTGATATTCTAAGAGCAGAAGGAGCATGCAATCTACATGCCATTGCTTGTAATTGCTATACTCTTCTACTTCCTAGTTTATAATGACTCTTGTCTTAATGCATACACCAGCTGTAGATCTAAATTCTTAGTTAGATCCTCCCTACCCCATCGTCCAACTGACCTGACGAAAAGATGTGAAAATAATGCATTGCTAACTGATACAATAAAATAGTGAGTCACCGCCTCGCTAACTCCAGTAAGACAGTCACACCGCGTGTAAACAGATAAATGTAATGATCTTGTATGAGTCAGAAATAGAAATCATATGCGCTGTCATCATTCACGTCATGAAAATCCCATTCACATCTGGCCTGTTCGCCAGCTTTTGACTGAAATATCAACATCTGGAACAGCTGGGTGTTCTGTCGGCTCTATATAGTCTACCATTCAACATTGAATGACCATACCCCTGAAGAGATATAGTTGTCAGCTTTATGTCGTGCATCAACATTGTGTAATGAATGAGTGCTTACCTTGCTTCAATTTTTGGGCGGTGTCGCTAAGAAGGATCACTCGGCGTTTGTTGCAATAGGCCGTTTTGTCCAAGATATCAACTTTCAGATTGGCCAGTTCAGATACCGGCTTTTCGAACATCTCACTAAGGCTCTCCACCGCAAGCTCCAGATCTTTCTGGTTGTCCTCGAAGATTTCCGTCAGGTTGTTCCGAGCAAGATAATATGCAAAGGCATAAGTCCATTTCAAAGTCTGTCGGCACTGCTGAAGTGCCTGAGATGCAGTATCGAGGAACTGAACCTCAATCCATGAGAGACCGGACTGAGATTGTAGGCTTGTCATTTTCTTTTCTGTCTTGAGGTAGAGATCTTTATCGAGCTTCGCAGATTGTTCGTGGTTAGCGTATCTGTTGTAGTAATGCAAGTATCTTTCGAGAGATGCCCGAGATTTCGCCTGCGCTGAGCGAGCTTCTGATCCTGACTTCTCCTCGTAGCGATTACAGTTGTACCAGCTGGTGCCGTGTTCAGACCACAAGCCCATGCACATCCAGCAGAACTCGTGCTTGCATTTGCGGCATGTCATATGATTGCAACCCCCGTTCTTCTCGATCGTCGAATGGCACTTCGGACACTCCTTCGTGTTGGCCGAGATCCAGTTGGCGGTCTCTGAGTCGTCTTCACACTTCTTGAGCCACATCTTGACCAACGTGCACGGCGACGGTAAATGATCGTTCAGCGTGCAGCCAAAGCAAAAGAAATGCTTACAGGCACATTGCACCGTAGGCACGATCCGATTGAGGTCGCGCTGCTTGACGGGACAGTCGACCGCGTACTCACAGTTTGGTGCCGGGCACCACTTGAGATTCTCCTTGTCATCAACGTAAGTCCGCATCAACAGCGTTTGATATCTGCAAGGCCCGCGTCAATAAGGATTCCAACACAACAAGTCCTGTGTAGAAGACTTACCTCTCCTTGAGATCATCGGTGACGAGAAGACTCAGGGACTTCGAATCCACAATCATACGGCAGCCATCCCCGGGACATTCTATCCTCGCAGCTTCTCCCTCCTCGCGGATTTTCTGCGCGAGATAATGTCGGTAGCAGTCAACGCAGAAGCGATGTCCGCAGCGCATAGCATATGTCTCCAAATCGTCGCCATCCTCACAGCAAATGTCACACATGAACCCTGGTACAACCACTGTGTTCGGTGTCCCATCAAAATTCGTCCCAAGCCCAGCTTCCTCGAGTGTCTGCTCCGGATGATCCATGTAAGACTCTATGAGCTTCTCCCGGTTCCATCTCCCAAACCGTAATAGAATCGCGGACGACTCCGGTGGCAGGCCCAAAATCTGCGAGACCTCGTTGACCTGCTGACTCTGCTCCCGATCAATATCCTCTGGGCTCAGAACTCTGAAGTCGACTTCATATGGCTTCTTTGTGTTCCCTAGTAGATCCTTATCTTGAGAAAATCCGCCGTCGAACTCGTCGCCGAACTCTAGAAACCGAGGAAAGACCGCGTCAGCAAAGTACTAAACGGAAGATCGCTGTAACATACCTTCTCCCAGACTCTCATCATCACTTCCCTGTGTATCCAAGAAGTCATCGGCGCTGGACGCATCCGTCATAAAATCATCGTCTGAATCCATGCTGGTGGACGCCGGCGTGACGAGATCGATTCCCTTTTGCTTGTTTTGAACAGTGACGCTCGCAGACGCCACCGATACCGAATCCGTGTCAAGATCTTGGTCCGCGAGCTTGTCCTTTCCGCGAGTAGACCTCTTGTTTGACGAGGTTTTCCCGGTGGCGGTTCGCGAATCAGCGACGGAAACCTCGGTGGCGGTTATGGATGGTTCCTGGTCTGTAATCGCCGCCTCGGCCGCCTTCCTTTTCCTCGTTAGAGGAGGCGTGGTGAAGATCTATGCCTGTGGCAAGTCGATATGTGCTGACTAGAAAAAAAGTAGGCCTCGATGTTGTACCTCGAGGCCTTCTTCTTTTCCGGGACAACACAAGTCGCAGCTTACCAACAAAAAGTGGACAACTATTTTCAGTCCAGGGAACTGAAGATGGTGTCAACAGCGATGGGAAGGGTAAACGGAACTATGCAGCACTAGCACCAAACGGGGTCGTTGCGTCGCTTATCGAGTTCAGCGTCAAGGGAGTGAGCGAGGGGTGATTGTGATTAGTTATCACGTATGATCGCTGGACGTCACAGGAGTGGGGCGTCTAAACGTTTAGAAGCAAGCGTGCACTGTTACCCAAGACATCAATCACTAATTGTTTCTATTGACTGATAGTGTCAAGGGGAAGCCTGCAGACGTATGTGGAGCAGTATGAGTGAGTTAAAGGGGTTGGAAACAAGTGGGATTCTTGGGGATGGCTTAGAGGCTGAGAGCTGGTGTACGATCCGACAGATCAGCAAAGCCTCCCAGTCATAAGGAAGGAAATCTTGTTCGGATGACTCCGCTGGCAATCGCGGAAAGGCCACCCACTGTGGGGAGCAATAAATCAAAGTACGCCTCAATGGGCTCAACAATTAACTAACCTAGCGGTTGATATCCTTCGAGGTTTCCCTCTCGCTGTCATTGGATCTTCTGGGGCTCTTTGGGTATTCTCGGAGTATCTATCTTGCAGCGCTTTCTTGGGTATTGATGCCCAGCTGACTGGGTCCACGGGGAGAATGGGAGAAGCAATGATGTCAGTGCATCCGTGAAAGGCTCGGTACAGACAGCTTCAAGTACTGGTTAGAACCAGTGAGATAGAAATTATGAGTCACGGCAAGAAGAGAGTGACTGTTAGAGATTATCGATCCAAAGAGGAATGTATCTTGTAGGTACTTCGACTAAGGCTAATTAATGCTGCACTTAAATAGACACCTTGGAGCAATTTTCAGGCTACTAGTCTTAGGCAGCCAGGCAACGATCTCCACTCGAAAACAGCTCTGTTTGTAGATAGAAGATTGAGGCATAACAACTTATGGAATATTGATCATGAAATTATATATGGCCCATCAATGGATATCATAACTTGCTCGTCTATGTTGATATACTGCCTCATAACGCAAAACCCGTTTCTGCTTTTCCCCTCTTTTCCAAGGGCATGACTACGTAGTGCCGGACTTCGGCTTCACTCCTCATCGCTCTCTTCCTCTTCACTACTTTCCTCTTCCTCGGCATTGGCGAGCCAGTCCACGAACTGTTGGGTCTGACTCCGCACCTGCCTCATCTCTTCGCTGGCACTTGACCGCTCGTCGGCCCACCATTGCTCATAGGCTTCCTCCTCGAAGAGCTCCAAATCGTATAGCTCCTTAGCAGAGAACAGTAGAACTGTCTCGCCGCGAGGTCGATGTACAAGGTCCTGTTGGAGCAGGAGTAAGAAGTCGACCTGGTCGGTTTTCTCGTCGCTGTCTCGATCGAACATACACCGTTCAACAACCTCGCGATATGTGCCGAAAAGGTCCCGAATCGCTTCACCAGCACCTTTTCCTCCTTCGATCAGTTGTTGGGTTCGCTTCATGAAGGCCGTGACAACAGCTCGTCGGACCTGGTGGTCGGAGGCATTCGCAGTCATCCGCAAACTGACCAATTCCAACTGCACAACGTCCGATGTGACACCGTCTTTCAAACTGTCGTAGACACTGGCTGCAGCGTCGTGGACGAAATGGTCCGCATCCTCGTCTTCAGAGTACGAAGTACCGAAGCTCTCGGATCGAGATCCGCCGAAATGAGAAATCTCAGAGGACAGGGTAGAGATAGACTCCGTAGAAAGAGAGAGCTGCGCCATGTTGTACACTAAAGAGATATTAATACTCGACACCCATTCAAAAGTGGTGATGAGGAGGGGTCTGAAAAGTGTAGGGGAAGGTGCGTACCCAGTCCTGAGGAAGCATTGGATACAGTGTCGTCTTCGTCCTCGTCTTCCTCGTGGAAATATCCGTGACCTTCGCCTCCTTCACCGACCACATCCGGATCATTCGCTGGTAGGCCCCCGTCTTCCTCTCTCGAGGCCTTTGTGATTCTTCTGCCTTCACTCACAGTCACACCATCAGCGATTTTGACTTCATATGAGAGAAGAGCGCCAGGTTCAACACTGCAATTATTGCCGACCACAGCCTTATCGGCAATGATAGCCTGCCGAACTGTTGTGCCGTCGCCAATCACCACACCGTCCCAAATATAGGCACCGTCCAATGTAACGTTTTTCCCGATCTTGCAGTTCCTTCCAAGAACTGTGTTCTTGACTGTCGTCTTGTCGCCAATGCTTGTGCCTTTCCCGATAACCGTTCGCCGCCCAACGACACATGAACGCGCCAAAGTAACGCCCTGTTCTGCATACAGATTGCCCTTGCGGAGATCGTAGGTGTGTCCGGGAAGCAAGTTTGTGTCGGGGCACAGCGGATACGTCCATCTTGATATAATATCCTTGCTCACTGCGTCGTATGCTTTCAGATTCCTCACGCGAGCTGCGTAGTGGTCCTTGATGATGTGCGTGTGGATGGTCTTGCCGTTGAGCTCATAATCTTTGAGCACACCGAACAAGAAATGCTTTCGCGGAGACTGATAATCGAAACTATCGGACCACAAGCTCAACACGTCAGGCGTACAAATATCAATATTGCAGTCAATTAGATCTTGGCGGATATCGATCTCCGCATGAGATGAAATAAGCTCGGTGTCGATAGTCAGGCGAGATGACTCGTCGGAATGATGCTCAATTTCCTCATAGTGTAAACAACGATCTTTGGTGGGATCAATAACGAACACAGGGGACACGGACGACGACTTTGTGCGATGGTTTCGACCAGCCTCGCGCAAGATCATAGTCATGATTGCATTCTTGTCTGCTTGGCGCCGGGCACGGTGAGTTGCCAGTGCACCTTCAATAGGCAGGTTACTGATCACGTCACCGCTAACCACAATGAAGTCGCCAGTGATCAGGTGTTTGCCATCAAGATCACGCATAACATCACCGACTGAAGTCGACGTTGACTTGAGGAAAGTCAATTGCTTGAAAGGAGACGAGTTGCTTCTCCATTTCGACGCACTTCAGTAGATGCCGGCGGTCAGTCAATATCCTTTAATCAGCAGCCGATATCAACGTACTTGATGTATCTCTCTAATTGATCTGAATGAGCCCCTCCGTAAAGAAAAACCTCCTCAACGCCGGCATTAGCCAAAAACTCGAAAGTGTACTCAATCAATGGCGTATTCGCAAGAGGCAAGAGGCACTATTGTACTCTACGTCAGCTACTAAACAATATCCCTCTGGTACGGCATGTTTTCGAATCGCATCCTCCTTCACGAGATGGTTCAATCACGGACAACGTACACGAGGCTTCTCGAGGGTAAAGGGCTCGAATCTGGTTTCGAAAGTATCGGCAAGAACCTAAGGAGCACCGAAACACATAATCAGCCATCATAGTCCCATCATCTAGTGGACGGCAGTGCCATGCGCTGGCCGCTCCGCATACAATGGACATACCACAGCCTGCAATGTCTCCTCAACCTCCTCAGTCGCATTGCCCCTCTGCTTCGCTTGGCCACCGCCGCCTTTTTTAGGACCCATCTGGCAGAAGAAAGTGGTCAGAGCTAGCTGCGGCCAATCTGAAAGAATTCCGCACTCACGTCGATAATTTGGCTTAATTTACACCTCGCTTTCAGAATGATAAAAACGCCGAACAGTCGAGGCTTTGAATCACCGAGACCAGAGCCAGTGTGCGAAGCAGCTAGTCGATATGCAGATCAAGTTAATGGCTCTCAAGTTCCCTCTGTCAGCGACGGCGCCCAAAGCTCACAATTACCGCCCAGCAAGCTTTCATCCACAAAAATTGTGCCAAGCCCAATGCGAGGAGTCATCCCATCCCACTTCCACCCCGGGCGGTCAGCGACAATGTTTGCACTGTTTGTGTGTTCACGTGACCTCACTCTTGATCCCACAAGCCACATCTTCTGCGTGCTCCAGCCTCGAAAAGTCCAGAACTTCATCAAAAGGCCTGGGCCCTCCTGGACTCAGGGAGATTCCCCTGTCAAGGGGTCAACGGTCTAGAACCATGTAAAATTGATTTGCGTCAACATGGAGAATGCAAGAGATTAGTCTAGATAGTGGAAAATAAGGTTGAGGAACTCTTGATCTTTTGAAGCGGACGTAGCCGTCTTGATCGTGGACTGTCTCGGAGATTTGGACTTTAGCGGGAATCTCAACCACTGAGAGCACCATTACTCTTAAATGAACTGACCAGGGTTAGAGTGTATTGAAAATAATTTTTATATGTGTGTATCTTCTAATAAGCTGTTCCCAATGTAAATGACATGATGAAGGAATGTTGCCAGACAGACTCAATGCCTGAGCAAAAGCCCTAGGATGATCATAGAGCATCACTGGCCAGAAAATCGCACCTCACCCTTCCATGCAAACAAATTATAATAAAGAAAGACATTACAGAACCAAGTATCAACACTTGAAGGTAAAAGTAATGCAACGATGATGGGACGACAGCTGATGCTACACAGCGCCCCTCATCTTCCACCTCCGTACGAGCTCCGACAATGATTTGATGCATTTCTCGCACAAGGGCCATTCCACACACTTTCGTCGAATCACTTCGCAGTGGTGAAATGGATGCGCCCCTTGTTGTGTTTGCAATCAATGCAAAGGACCCTAAACACCGCAAACGCCGTAGTCGCCAATTAACAAGGGACACGAAAAAGCAGAAATCTCGAGGTAATGATCATCATACAACAGCAACTTTCACGATATATTGCGCAGAAAGAGGCGAAAAAGAGGTTCGATCCATTGTATGATTGAGGTAGAGGTGAGAGGAGCGGGTGTGAGATAGAGTTGGCATAGATCGAGAAGCGTTTCATTTAAAGTGACCGACCGTTCTCAGCTTAGCCAGTTCGAGTAGCCTGAGCTGTGTTGACCATCGGCTGTGATGGTTGAGCGTACATGCGCGGTCGCTTCGCAAAATTTGGATTATCTGCGGCGCTAGACAGCTCGGATATCTGCCGTCGATGAGGCGGCCGCGCAGCCGAAGCAGCGGCAGTGAGGGCCACTGGAGGTGCCGGGTATTGCACTCCATTCTGGTCCACGGCGTAGGCCGCTGGGGCCGCGCTCGCAGGGACATACTGGGGTTGAACCTGTTGAAGGAGGCCTTGGAACTGGCCAGGAGACTGCCAATTATTCATTGACGTGGCTGGTGATTGGCCAGGGGAGCTGTCTTCCTTGACAGAGTGGGTTGCCGAAGTTTGAGCAGCCATTGGGACTGTTGCCGTGGGTTGCGAAGTCTCCATGCCTTGCGGAATGGTCTTCAAATGAACCAAATGCTTCTCAAGCATGTCCAAGAGGCTCTTTCGTGTGAAAGGCTTCGGTAGCACATCGTCCATGCCTAGTGCGCGTTAGTAACAAAGCGCCAGAGTCCTTGGGATTGAAGGAATACGTACCATGTTGGAAGTAGAGCTGAATATCATCGCTTCTAATGTTGGAGGTCATAGCGATGATAGGAGTTCGGTCAAATTGGCGAATAAGGTGACATGCAGAAACCCCATCAAGATTTGGCATAATGATATCCATCAGAATCAGGTCGTATTTCGATCCATCCTGAATCTTATTCACCGCTTCCAGTCCGTCAAACTGTAAGACTGTCAGTTGCTTTGCGTCCACACGAGAAGAGAGGAGAACCGACCGCTGTGTCAATAACACAGGAGAAAGAATAGAGAAATTTACCACCAATTTGGCGACACGTTGCATCATCTTCCACCAGTAGAATGTGCGGGCTGCGCACCCATCCGGGATCGACATTTGTGCTCTTCTTTCGATTGTCGGGAACTTGTCGGCGAGTGTCGTCCACTTCCTGTTTTGGAGGCATAGGATACGGCAAATTGTTCACATGCTCACTGTACATTGGGTCAATTCCATTGGTAGCACCAACAGGGTAGACGACGGGCTCAATCTCGCCGTTCATCTTTTGATATAGAAGGTTGGGTGGATTTGCACCTGCGGCTGTAGGTGGGCGCACTACGCCATTGCGCGGCCCAGCCTCTAGCGCAGGGGTGGAAACAACAGGAGCGGATTTCGAGGGTTCGCCCACCGACTCCATGCCAGCCAAACTGAATTGAACCTCGGCGTTCATGTTACTCAGTAGCTTCGACGCATGCTGCAAGGGAGAGGAAGGCACATCGTCTACCTGTCCTCCATTCACGTTCGAACCGCCTTGCCCTTGAGCTTGGAAGGCTGCTGCTGCTTTGCTATCGCGTCTTTGGCGAGCATCTACTGACAGCAAATAATTCATCACCTGGTGAATGACATTTTCATGGTTCAGAACCGTCTTTTGAACTCTCATCAGCTCCTGCAACATGAGCTGATGATCAACCGTCAACTGCGCGTATCGATCCGAAAGGTGCTGGATCTGCTGCTGCTGCGCTACGATCTGCTGGTTCAGAAGATCGATCTGTTGTGTCGGAACTGAGTCGTCAGTGTTCTGAGTCTGCTTTCGAGGCGCCGGCGCCTTTCGTCGAATATTATCAAGCGATTCCTTGCTGTTCGCTCTGAACTCCGGGTGTTTGAACTCCCATGCCTATCTGTTGTCAGAATTTGTTCGGCTTGAATCGAGCGACGAAGCCTTACGTTTTGCCCATAAGGCGATTGTCCATTTTCTTCGTTGTTTTGTCGGACCTTATGGAAGTCGTATTTATTCAACTGCCGCACAAAACTGGCAAAGTTGCTGTGTTTGAAGTGTTTCGGAAGGATGGTCTTTGTGAATTTCTCGCACTGCGATAAGGCAACACGGTCAGCTTGGAAGTTTCGACAGCGGACCCCCGACGGGAACAGGCGGAGGAAGCAACCGACCTCGAGAACCACGAAACTATCCCCTTCATCTCCCCAGCGAACGATTTCCGAGTACGAAGGGTCTTCCAACATTCTTGTGCAACAAATGAACTAGTTAGAGACATTCCACAACGTATGCGATCCATCCTGGCGATTAACCGGTCGCAGTCAAGACAAAGGCAGGGGGGGACGACAAAGCCAAGGCAGAGCGCTAGATTTTCCCTCGAAAGAACCGAAAAAGGAGAACTCACTTGTACAGTTTCCGCACCTGCAGTACATCTTGTTAGCCTCAGAACAGCACAGATAATTATCTTGCAGCTCAAATATCTTCTAAAAACAAAATATTCATCTTTCCAGGATCAACACTTACAAAATCGCTGGAGTTACCAGCGGGGCGGTGTTGGTCGTGGTCTGGCCACCCTCCATCGTGGGCTAGATGGGTCGCGACCGATCGAACAAGCAACAAGCTCACCAAGTCGCAGCTCTCTGAGAAGAACGGGCGGGAGATAATGGAGATCGCGCTATAATGTGCGCCGAGATGCGGATAGAAAAGGTGCCACTGGAGAATAATAGAGGAGAGAAAGAAGAAGAAATTGTCCAGAAAATCGGTAGAGGTTGAGGTAGTCGAATAGTAGGTAGTTTAGTAGTTGAAAAAGGTGGTGGTGTTAGCATTTAGCAGCAGCAGTAGTTTTAGGTAGGAATAAATTGATTAGTTGTTCGTGGTGATAAGTGGGACGATTAGCTGAGTTGTTGGAGTTGAATAACTGTTCTTCCGCGGTTCGTGCACAAAGAGCTGTGGGAACCACTTTCTCACGGTCTTCCGTTCTAACTAGTAGACTAGTGATCCTGATTATATTATTATTTACTTCTGATTAATAGGTAGAACACAACATTATCGGTGAACTGTCTCTTTAAGCTTCCCTTTTCCCTAAAACTGATAAATGCAAGGAGAGACAGAAATGAGGGGATAAGAACGGAGAGGGCAAGAAATATCATACTACCAGTCCTTGGGAATAACAGTGGGGACCAAGAAGTATCTACTTGGTAAGGACTGAGGAAGGGGGGAAATGACAAAATCAGGTATGAAAAATCAAAATCCACAGTGAAGGAAGAATCAGCGCACATACTTTTATGCAAAGCAACATAACAGTTTCAAGTATGAAGCCTGTGAGTTGCTAACTTGGAATTATTTATTAGATACTGTGTGTCTTGCGCAGTATTCTTATTATTAAACCGAACGTGACTACCTTTCTACAATATGCAAGAACCATGGTAGTTAGTAATGTCAGTGCGCATTTAGATGCAGACAGAAAGCAACAACAATGGAGGGGAAGACGTTATGACCCTGGAGTATTGATGAGGATAGGCGGATGATGATGGTGGAGGGGAAGTCTAATGCATTATGATCGTCCTACCTCTAGGGTCCTGACGCTCTTCCACAATAGGAGGAAACGTTCAATCACATATTAGTTAGTTTTGGTCCTTATTCATTCATCAAAGGTATTAATTGCAACCTTGCTACAGATATTTTCTTGTGGTCTACGATCGTATGTAGGTGAAGAACCCCAGGAGTTGTAGAGTACCACACAGGGTATCATAAGGCAGGTGGATAAATACTCCAGTCAAACTGTCGAGGATTACCTTAAGACACATAGCGGATATTCTACCCGCACCAATATCCGTTCACCTTTAATGAATAACGAATAGTTTTGGGATTGCTGGTTTCATGCAGATCCCTCGCGGAACGTGGATGGGGTGGGAACAACCAATATGGAGATAGTTTTGGGGCACGAGAGATGAAATGTCTAGAGAGATAAGAACCCTTGGAATGTTCGCCTTTATCTTGATTTAGGAGTACTCCTACGTATGATTCTTACATATCCTCTGATGTCCCTTTATTGTGGACAAGTGTTGGAAATTTTACTATTACATACCCTTATGACTGATGAGGTTCGGTCAGACCCGAGTTTCAGGGAGCTGTGCGCCACATCAGCAGATCACCCTAATACCAAGATAGTTGGCATTCGGGGAGAATAATTTGAAGACGTAGATAATGAGTATGGTCAGGGGTCTGAATCTCTTTCATTCAAAAACTGCCATACTGACTGTCGTTGAAGATTATGACTTAAATGAAATACAAGCCAAGATGTCAGTTCCTCCTCAGCTGTCAACACTCAGTTCAGAGTAGTAATTATTATTGACGGTTGACTTAACTGTCTTTTGCCTATGTAGCAATTAGATCAGGCTATCATAATGGAATGAACTGCAGACCGAGGCTCCTCTTGACCATACATTAACCTAGCTCCTGGAACCGCCAGAATGTCCTCATGACTTGATTATACAGTAGTAGGAAAAGGCAAGCAGATGCAGAGCAATAATTATGACAGTCATCGATCACATTTCGTAAGTGCTGATGGAGAACTTAGATAGCTCCCCATGCTGCCATACCAGCGGAGAGGAGACCATGACGAAATACGTCCAGTAGTGGTGAAGCGCCTCGGCCATGGTATCTAGTCCCAACGACGCGCCAGGTACACAAACCTTCCCTACGCATCCATCACCTTCATCTTCTATCTCGGATACCATTATCTGTCAATTGAATTGGCACATTTACATATCTCATACCCGCTGATAACAACATTCTGAGCTCAACAGTTCCTCTTCTCAAAAAGATGTTCGCTGCCCGTCGCCTCGTTACCTGCGCCCCTCGCGCCGTGTCCCGGAGGGCGCTGTTTCACAGCACTGCGCCAGCCTTCGTCCAAAAGGGAGACGCCATTCCAGATCTCGACGTGCTGGTCGAGAGTTCACCTGGAAACAAAGTCAATCTTGCAAAGGAGCTCAAGGGAAAGGGGGTTATTATCGGTGTCCCTGCTGCTTTCAGTACGTTTGCGGCCCCCAGCCTTGAACCCCTACATCTTATACGCATCGAATCCGACACGAGATCAATGAGAGGGAAAGGATGAATGCTAATTGACTCGAATAAAAGGCCCGGCTTGCTCTAGCTCCCACGTGCCAGGATATATCAACCACCCCAAGCTCAAGGAAGCCGGCCAGGTCTTCGTGGTCTCAGTCAATGATCCCTTTGTGTAAGTTGCCGATGGTCAATTGTTAAGGAGCCTTCAAATGCTTGGGGTTTCAGCGACCGCAGCTTACCATGACAAAATAGGATGAAGGCTTGGGGCGTTTCCCTTGATGCCACCGGCAAGAGTGGTGTAAGTCTTCCCCATGACACTGCGAATCTACAAATCAATGGACGCTAAAAAGAGGATAGATCCGCTTTCTGGGCGATCCGACCGGCAAGTTCTCGGAGGCGCTCGATGTCACCTTCGACAGCAGCTCAATCTTTGGGAATCAGAGAAGCAAGCGCTATGCGCTTGTCGTTGAGGATGGAAAGGTTAAGGAGGCTTATATCGAGCCTGATAACACCGGTGTCAACGGTATGCATATTTCCTACTATTGTCTTGGTTGCCAGAAACCTAACTAACATCATGGAATGTAGTCTCGGCGGCCGAGAAGGTGTTGGGTTAGACAACGATAGGTATCAGAAATTCACAGTGTGGATTTTGATGATCCTGTTGATGGTACAATGGTAACTCCCATCATATGTAGTCTATAGCCAAAGGCGATGTATGCTAGAAATCCTCCTAGCGCCTGATTGTTCAATACCCAAGTGCGATAAGGGCATCTGGAATATACAACATTTCAATCAACGTAACTCGCCCCTAGACCAAGCGCCATAGTCATTATCTTGGTATACTGCGAATTCAAGCGCTTCCTTGCTGCAGGGCCTGCCATTGCTCGGGGGTGTAGCATTTGGGTGTCCAGGCGTGGATAGCAGCAATCTCCGACTTCAAGACCGAGTTCACCAACCGATGGCGCGCAAGCATGTTCTTCTTCTCAAACTGCGGGGAAACAATAATTGCCTGGAAAGCCTGTCCGCAGCCACCTATGAAAGGGGAAAAAGCAGTTAGACACCCTAAGTCAAGTATATCCATACTGCAGCCATCGTCGCAGACTTTACACACCAGACAAATCCTCAATCTCCACAACCTGCGCCTGAAGTTGTTCAACCAATTTACTCTTCAGTAGTTCCGGCGTCACGCTCGACGTTGCGTCCGCCATTGCTGCGTTGATAGCCGCGAAGGAGCGTGCAGTGATCGAAAAGGGCGAGTTTTGGCGAATGGGGGTGCGGAGAAGGTACCGGCAGCTTCTGCTTAACAAAGTGGTGGTGCGGGAGTACATCAAGCCTGGCTGTCAGGCGTCAAGTAATAGAGGGGTCAGCGGAGTCTTCCTTTAATATGCAAGCCAAGGCGTTGGTACGTGTAACCAATAGATCTTGCAAACAGCTCAGAAAAATGATAAGTGATACTGAAGAAGTCGATTAGTATTATCAATCCGCGGAAGATGGATGACGGAATCTGTAAGGTAACTGATGGATTCAGTCGGGAAAGTGTGACGGCGTAAATTACAGTGTGTGGCTTGATTAGTTCTGTATGCTCAGTTTTATGTGATCACCTGCATCCTGTGGCTGGTGCAGTATCTATCGGCGTGGCGCAAGCTATCCCCTCTCTTATCGCTTGGGGTGTACCTTTTGCTAAGATGTTCTTTCAGAGACACATGCTGTTGCGCAACATCACTTGCTGAAACCATTGCAACCTTTCATGAGTTCTTTCTCCCGAATAGCACTGCGCCGGCTCTCAACAATGTCGACCACCTCGTCACCTTTCACCCGGGCGGTTGTGAGCTCTATGAAGAAGCTGTATGCTTGCACCTTACTTCATCCTGCCATCGCTGGCGATTTCTTCTCAATTGCGATTTTGCTAATTTTCCTACAGCTATCCGGAGTCATTAGCAGACAAGAGCTTTGACAACACTGGCTGTGAGATTGCCTGTATTATGTCATTGTGTTCCAAGTGCTCATACAATCCTCAACCAGTGCTTCTCGAAGCTCCCTTCCATCCCGCCCGGCGGCAGAAGAATTCTATGCTTTTGACCATTGACCTCACAAAGGCTGTGGCAGATGAAGCTATCAAGCGGAAGGATTCAGTGGTTGTGGCCTACCGTATGCATTGCGCCTGGCGATCGTCCACGGGCTACAAGCATGTTTGCTAACAAATCCTTTGCAACGCAGACCCCATCATCTTTCGAGGACTGAAGTCCATCACTCTCAATGACACACAGCAACAGACACTGCTGCGACTTGCCTCAGAGGGCATCAGCGTGTACTCCCCGCATACAGCTGTGGACGCTACACCCGGTGGAATGGCAGACTGGCTTTGTGACGTCGTTACCGGCTCAATTGCACCATCCACGGACTCGTCTCCCTCTCTCTCTGCGTCCACCTCCCAGCACTACTCCCAGCCAACGTATCCCCAACCTCGACCAGCATCCATCAGCCGCTCCTCCGCAGCTCCCCACGCCCGAAGCACGATCCATCCATCTCCTCCCCCAGTCCCTGAAGGTATGGAATCAGCTGGTATGGGCCGTCTCGTCACCTTCGAGACTCCCCAGCCTCTCACCACCATCGTCGACCGCATAGCACAAGGCGTCGGCCACCCGGGCGGTATCCCAATCGCGATCCCACAGACTGTTCCGGTCGATTTAATTAAGATCCGCACCATCGGTATCTGCCCGGGGTCTGGATCTAGTATCCTTATGAGTTCCGGCAGTCTGCCAGATCTTCTGTTCACAGGCGAGTTGAGTCACCATGAAGCGCTGTCGGCCATTGAGCGTGGCTCAGTTGTCATTGCGCTCGCGCATTCTAATACCGAAAGGGGGTACTTGCATGCTGTCATGCGTCAGAAGCTAGCCGCTACCCTCAAGGAGGAATGGGAGGCCCAGCGCGAAGAAGGGCTGAAGGCTCTAGAGGAGACTTTTAAGGAAGGAGGGGCAAGTGTGCTCGGGAGTTACGAGGAGGTCTACAAGGACCCTAGTTGTGCTGTCGACGTAAGTGAACGCGATCGGGACCCTTACGGTATCATGATCCGACGGGCGTAATCTCTTCAACATCGGCCATGAAGTATCTATTGCCGCCGGTCTAATGTGCCCTTATCAATAGTAGAGCACAAAGCAAAATTCGGCATCAAAAACCAGGCTCCAGCAGATAAATATGTAGATGAAGAACTTATATACACGGTTCTACCACCATAAGCCATGACGGAAGCAGTCTCCTAGCAATCAGCTCAGCAACACCCGGATCTCTCCCGTAGTACGAGGGAAAAGCCTCCTAAGTCCCGATTCCTGCTCATCACCATCAGGTGCCCTTCCGCTCGAAGAGACAACATCATCCTCAACGCCAGTGTCACTTCCATCTTCCATCCGTTTAATATGGACTCTACCTCTAGCTTCGTCCGCGCCGATAATCATGCCCTCCACAAATTCAAAGTCGCGGCAGAACGCCTCGACCGCTTCTTCCGTGACACTCTGGATGAAACTGGCGCTCTGCAGGTGCTTCAAGTTATCCGTGGCATCCATAAGGGCCGAGGGAAGGAAGTCGTCGAGGTGTTGGCTGACGGCGATGAGGGCTTCTGGCTGGAAGGCGGGGAGGTCGGCTATCTGGGCGATGTCTGTGGGTTGCTTATCAGCCTGTGGTGGTGCGTGGTCATCTTTTCCTTCAGATTCCGGTTTTGAAGTTGTTGAGGATGGTGAGAAAGGCTCGAGGGCGGCCAACAAGATGCCCAGGCCTGAAGCATCCAGTAGATAGCGGTGTTGGATTTCAAGCAATTCCATCCGCAGGCTAGACAGTGCTGTTGAGATAGCATTCAGATGTGTTGCACTTGCGAATGGGAAAGCAGAGATCGTTGAGCGTGCTGTCAGGAGAACGTTGGTGGTGTAGATAGCTCGTGCTGTTGCGTCGGGGAGCTCGGCCGCTGAAGATTTGGCCAGTTCCAGGAAAGGGTCAAACGCGACACGGAGGACGGGTGTGAATTTGTTATCCGCTGTGCTTTCGGATTCCGCATCTTCTGCCCCGAGCGATGCGTCATGGGTCTTCATGAGGGAGGTCAGTTCTTCCAAGGCATCAAGGAAGAACTCCGGCGCAGAAAGGTCGTCCGGTGTTGTCAAGGCAGCATGATCGTTGGAGAGTATATCGACTTGCTCGCGCATGATACTTTCGAAGCGGGCGAATGTGAAGTTCTCTAGCGTCTGCATCATGTCCGCCAAATTGGACTTCGTTCCCAGCAGTCTGGAAAAGGTTGCTCGATAGAACGAAAGCAAGTGAACAACTTTGTAGCAAGTGACAGGCTCGTCGTGGCCCTGAATCACCAATTCAACCCGCTGCCGTAAAGCTCGAGACACTCCGACTAGATCACGACTCACGAGGTCGCTAAGGGCTTTCTGACCATCAAAGGAAACCTCTTCTCCCTCATCAATACGAGACCAGGGTTCGCTGCTCAGGCCAGCCTGGATCCCTTTGGCGATTTCCTCCCCATCTGCCACGAACAAAGCTTCCAAAGCCTCTCTCTCGGATACAGTCGTAGAGTGGACCCATGCCAGCATATCACCGACGTACCGCAAAGGGTCATGAGCAGAAAACTCAATCGGTTTCACGTTGCGGTCACCCCCAGAGCCGGAGACGGCGTCCGTTAGAGCATAATGAAAAGCATCGGACAGGACATAATCTCGTGCGTCGGCGAAGAAGTCCAAGCAGCTATGGAAGAGACTCGGCCGTTCGGCCAGGACGCGCAAAGCACGCCTGATTGAACTGCTGATTCGCGGATCTTCGAGATTCAAGGACTTAAACTCCTTCTGTATCCATCTGAAGAGTTTCTGGTATGCTGAATTCAGATTTCTGGAGCTCTTCTCCATCAATTCCAGGCCCAGCCTTTGGTTCTCCCCTCCCAGTAGGACTTCACAATCATGGTGCACCTGTTTTACCCGATCAAGAACATCGAAAAAGCGGTCGTCAACTGGTTCCTCTGCCGATGTGAGAACAAGTAGATCATCGTCTGAAACGACGAAGTGCTTCAAGAACGCATCGAGAAGTTGTTGTTTTGTCTCCGATTCCTTCTTCTGGCTCATCAGTGCAGATGCTTCCTCGATGACCGGTGCCGTGTCCTGTTTGGCTCGGACAATGTGCTGCCGCATTTCTTCACATGTTTGATTCAGGCTTGATATCACGGTTCCGATCCTTTGCAATTGCTACCAATGTAGACTATGTTAGCCACCCGCTTCAAATGTCGCTCTTATGCCGCCCAGGATGCGAAACGGCTCACCTCCGCGACCTTGCCAAAATCCCGCACGATTTCTGCATTGCATTCCACCACTTCTTTTTGCACATCTAAGCGCAGCTGCCTTCGCGTCTCTGCAGTGTTGTGTACGCCCCGAAGACTGAGTGTCTCCAGCGCATCGCGTATATCGGAGTCCGCATATGAGGCCGACAGTACACTTGTCAGTCGGTTTGACAAGGCATTCGATCGCTGTGTAGGCGGCGACAAGGGGGTGGAGGCAGGAGAAGGAGCACGTATGGACGAGTGGTTAGCTGTAGCCCCCGGAGGAAAGTAGCTTTCCATGGTGGGCTACCCGACTAATGATCAGACGGGCGAGCTGTCGAAGGATGATGTATCCAGGAGGTCACTACAGTGAAAGCGGAAAGTCGGACCACAACAATCCCCGCATCCGATTCCAATCCACCATTGACCATCACATAGACATCTCGAGTCGATCCTATGGGAACGCCGGTGGCATAATTGATAAAGCTCGATTACATGCGGGAATTGATTACTGCGGTCCGGTTTACAATTTTGCTTCTCTACATACCAGTCAGGAGTTTACTTGGACCGCCTGGCGATGGACAGCCCGCTCCTTTCCCCCGCAAAGGCACGTCAAGCAGCCATTCAGGCCAAAGACTGGGCATATGTGAATTCGTGGCTAAGTCGCCAATACTCGCCAAATCCGGTACCGAATTTTGAACGAAATGAAGACACCTTGCGTACACTTTTAGCTCTTGCTGCTGCTAACGACGCAGCGGACGAAGAGGCCGCATTGCTCCACCGTGCGCGCGAGGAAGCGATTCGGGAATTCAGAGAGCGGGAGGAAGCTGGGGATAAACAGAAAAAAGAACTACTGGATGAGCTGGAGCTTTGCCTCGGTGAGAATGGAAAACGAGATCTCGACGATTTGGCGGAGACGACTGCTGTCCTGGGGGCTCTACGCACAGGGACCAAAGACCTTGGTCAGTCAATCATCGAGCTCACAGTAGAGGAGTTTGATGCTCGGGAGGAACTTTCTAAGGTTGACATGCTACAAAAGCATCTGGAAAAGGAACTGGCCTCTCTACAGGAACAACTTGATCAACTCAAGTCCGATCCTGCATTCGAAGTACCTGCAGACCTCCCGGCTCAGACCGCGGAGTGGTCGAGGAGTGCCAAAATGCTCACTGCAAAACTTACCGAATACCAAGATAGGTTAGCAACTTTGGGAAGAAACAGCAGCAAAGGTCCTACAATCGAAGACTTGGTCACAGAAGAGAAGCAAATAAGCCAACTGAAATGCATCATTCAGAGTCTGGACCACCGATTAAGAATGTTCCATGAACTGCCGAAGGACGTTCAGGGCGCTCGGGCACAATACAGGCAGCTCGAGCGAGAATTGAACCAGCTCATTGAGCGACGGGACTCGATGTTTGAGAGTTTAGTGGAGAAGAGATGAACTACGGATATAGGCGAGCATGTGAGCTACTTTCGATCATGAAGACATATCATTCGTAACTAATAATGACATAGGGTATGAAAGCATGGTTTCTGAAGTGCTATCGTGGACTCCCAATGGAATGATGATATCAAGCTGCCGCAAGCTATCCATTCACTTCCAACACAGCATATCTAGTGGTTGCCGAGGCCGACGGCGTTCTTGACCTTGTCACCACTGCACGAAGACAAGTCAGAACTAGTTGCAAGCTCAGTATGTTTGAAGAATACTCACATGGATCCGCCGGCACCGCCGTGGGCGTGGTTGTCATGGGAACGCTGAGTCTTGTCGAAAGTCTCCTGAGTGCCGGACTTGCTCTGGTCGGTCTGCAGACCACGAGCGACACGGTCGCCGGTGTCAGTAACGCCCTCCTTGATCTTCTGCTGGGTGGACTTGGTGGAGTCAGGAGTGAACTCCTCCTTGGCCTCTGCACGTCTGTGTTAATGAACTGTAACAATGGTTGCAATGTATGGAGATGCATATCACATACTGGTAGAGAAATCCTTGCGACCGGCGTCAGACATTTTGAAGATGGTTTGATAAGGAGAAAGTAAGATTGTTTTGAGATTCGAAAAGTGTTTGTTTGCTTGTGGATTGTTTGGATTGTTGCGATTGTTGCGATGTTGTGATTGTTGTTGATGATGAAGGAGCTCTACACTGGTCGAACGAGACCTTTATATCTTTCTCTACCTGCCATTCCTGGACCCCTGGAACTTGACAGCTTCAATGACGTCGTTTGAGCAACCTGTATCTTGCGATATCTGTAACCAGGATTGCGACTATCCCAGTGTACATACTCGGTCATAATTCACAAGTGCTTGCAACCAGCCATAGATAACCCCACAACTTGCCATCGCCGAGCCCTGTGCCTCGGACATGACATATGATCGACCTAACGTCACCATTACGAAGCTTGTCCCTGACGCGTGCGCAGCCATCATGAGGCTTGAGTTCTGACGTTGAAGTTTAAGCCACAGCCATCAGAGCAGGTAATATGGTTGAACCATCCTTATGAAGCGATGACGTCTGGGTGATTAACAGCCTAGCCCACATGTGGTTAGCAATATTCTTGGCAGGGTTGCAGCAATGTTTGTGTCGGATTATCTGTCATTGCGGCCACCGGGAAGGCTATACCGTTAATGGAAATGAGTTTTTGATTTAGAGGAGAGAGAAGGCGGTGGGAATCGACAGAATAATCGCCACCCATCGAGTCATCTGCAAGGGTCATGGTGTATGCCCGATCTGCCTTCCTCTATCATCTACGTTTCATTCAATGCTTCTGGCAACCACGTTGTCTTGTGCGATTGTACCGACAATCATGTTGATCTGCTCTACCTTTACATCTTGTTCTTTGTTATCATATTGTCATCTCTAGTCATTTTATCGTATTATCGCTCCAGTTTAGTTTACCATTCTTTGTGATCCTTACGAAACCCCGCATTATCTGAGAAGCGCCTTGACACTTCCACAACTCTTAAGCATACATATCAACACAAACCATCGCGTTACTTGTCAATGCCATCATCTGTTGAGAGGGCTTCGAATTGGGACTTCACTCCGGTGTTGAATCTGCTACGTTCGCCTGCGTACAACGGGCGTGAGCAATCCCATCTAGTTGGCCACACCAACTTGTCTGCTACCTTCGAGAAAGACGACACTGAGAAAACTGCCAACGATTCGAGCGCTAGCTATCCGAGGCTAGGTGATTTCGGCCCTCTCTGGGATCTCCTTGGCCGTGGTAGTTCACCAGGCGTGAACACAGAACAGTCTCAACCTCCTAGGGCTACTTGTGCTGAACAGCCTCAGAAATGCAAGCCGATTCAGATCCTCAAGAGACCTATAGCCAATGCAAAATCTGCCGAGCATACTATCGAACAGACGTCTCGTTCGGCCCTTCGGCCGATCCTTAGTTCAAATGCCTATGAAGCTCAACTCCCCAAAAAGAAAGCTGTAGCAGAAAACAGCACAGCTTGTCAGAACCCTCAATCGAAATTTTCGGATGTCAGCTCGTCGGAGAGTAGTGCGGAAGCAGAGTCCGATGGCAACTTCAGTGTCTTTGACCCACCCTTGTTGAAAAAACGGGGTGCCGTGTCCTTCATCCTCCCTCAAGTCTGCACACCGGCGTCCAATGCTGAGCCGTGCGACACTCCGTTATCCTCTTTTGATGAGCTGGAAGGGTCCCTGACAGCTGAAACTATCAAGAGCTTGCCTACTGGTCCTATTCGTGTGCAGCCCATTTCGTATAAGTCGGCAGCAGATCGAAGAGTTGGTCTCCTTACCAAACTTCTGAAGAAATTTCCTGAGTACGCGGAAGCCGTGGCTCAAGTTGGCCGGTCTCCAAGCACTAAATCGAACGATCAGGCCTCTCGTCCCATCCATGTCTTTGTGGATATGTCCAACGTGAGTATTCGGTACGCCATCATTTCCATGATCATGACTAACTTCGCATATGACAGATTATGGTTGGCTTTCATGACTCTGTGAAGCTAGCTCGCAATATACCTGTGAAGACTCGCATTCGGCGTCTACCCCTCTCGTTTCAGAACTTCTCTTTGATTCTCGAGCGTGGCCGCCCCGCTGCCAAGAGAGTCTTGGTTGGCTCTGATCGATTTGCAGCCATTGACGAAAGTCAAAAGCTGGGCTACGAGGCCAACATATTGGATCGAGTTCACAAGGTGAGACATGTGACTCGTCGTCAGTTGAAGTATCGGAAGAATCCCCGAGTCAGCTCTCAGGAAGGAGGCAGCGGTTCTGAAACGAACGATGCGCCAGAGGAGCGATGGGTTGAACAGGGAGTGGACGAAATTCTGCACCTGAAGATCCTAGAGAGTCTGGTGGATAGCGATGAACCGGCGACTATTGTCCTAGCCACAGGAGACGCAGCGGAAGCTGAGTATTCAGGTGGCTTCATGAAGATGGTGGAGCGAGCACTGCAGCGAGGATGGAACGTCGAGCTTGTGAGTTTCTCGAAAGTGACGAGCTTCGCCTATCGTCGAAAGGAATTTCGCGCGAAGTGGGGGAAGCAATTTAGGTTTATCGCATTGGATGAATTCAGTGAAGAGCTGTTAGACCTGTGAGACCAATGATATTTGTATGGGTTATCCGTGCACTTTGCTTCTATCTTGTAGAGAGGTACCTTTTAGCGTTGAGCAATCCGCTTGCTTGCAGGCAGCCGCCGGAGGACCGACAACCGTCTTTCTACAGTTGGTCTTGCGCAAATAGTAAAGTAGGTATCTATCTACGACATGTAGGCTCCAACTTTGCCTCAGGGATACTGTGCTCCAGAGCAAATGTAAACATTGATTCTCTAATTAAGCACTCATAGAAGTCAAATCCGACCAATCAGACGAACGGGAACCCCTCCAGGCACGACCGAAGGCGGACGTCATTTCTGCGGCGGAATACCGTCGACCGCAGTCAACAGCATCGAGACAATAGATACTCTGAGAAATGGGATGATAAATAGCTCTGAGGCTGCTTCGCATACACTTACCTTGGCTAACTCAGCTCACCCAGATCACCTTTCGCTCGCCCTTTGGATATTGCGTTGTCCGTGATCGTCGACAATCTCCAACAGCTTCCCCGCGTTGAAGAAAGAAAATAATTACGTGCAACAAGACGATATGGCTACCTTTACTGAGCAGCCCTTCTACGGCGGCGCGATTCAGGGCATCATCCCCGAAGGCTGGGTAGACGGAAGGTTAGTATACCACACATTCCTGCTCTTCAGAAGACGCCCAAGCTAACATTTTCTGGAAACAGCTCCCTCCGCGAAATCCCAGACCACCAAGAACTCTTCCTCTCCCCCTCCACCCTCTCCAGCTTCATCGTCGAAGTCAACCAGCGCGTCACACAAGAGCAGGCCTTATCAACGCTAGACACGCAGGCCGCCGTTCGCGGCGGCATCCCCGCCACCCACGAGACAATCGACAAAGCAGCCGTCATGTACCACCTGCGCGACCTGTGCGACGAAGACGACACCCTGCAGGTGATCATCCCCGCGACAGCCGTAACTCCAGCCAAGATCCCTGCCTCTGCGCGTGCGCATGCGTACAAAGGCGTCGTGCAGATGACGACGCCTAAGCGGCAGCGGAGGGATACCAATACGGGGAGGATTCCTGTTTCGGTTGGGGGTGCGGCGGCGGGATCTAGTGCGGACGGGCCGCAGACGTCGCGTGTGACGGTGCATTATCTGCTTGTGCGGTTGGAAGCGCAGGAGTCAGATCTGCTCGTTTTCTTTAATGTGCCGCATGATGAGTTTGATTTGTCTGGGGATCCGAGGGGTTTGTCGAAGGAGGAGGAGGTGGCTACTGAGGCTATTGATCGGTTGGTGCAGACTTTGGAGATTAGGGACTGGGGATTGTTTGCTTAGGACTGGTCTTTGGTTGCAGAAGAGCTAGGGAAGCGCTTACAGTCTGGAAACCTGGTGTCACACTCTTTGATTTATTGCTTCAGGAACCCCCTTACTAGCACAACTAGCCCACACCAAGAATGGTTATAGAATATCAATATAATTAATTCACGAGCGGATCTTTCCCTTTTCTTAAAGCTGGCTCAAGACTCAGCCTTGATACATGTGTGCTTCCCGTTGGTACCAGCGATCCAGAATTCGTCGATGAGGGTGGGAAAATCTCTCTCCCCGGTCTGGATGGCGAGTTTCCAAGAGAATGTAAAAAGCTAGCCACAGGAGAGCAACCACTGCTATCAGCTATAATGACCTTCACCGCCACATATCTGGCCCTTCGTAGATCACGAGCTAGCCATATGCTCTAGTATCCTCCATTCGCAAGCTTGTGAACCAGCCGGTAGCGACCACAATCCGGCTCGTCCTCGATTTGTAGAGGATGGTACCCCCGGGGCGGCATCTATCCAGGTCTTCGACGTCTTCAATAAGCCGATACTGAGTCTTCCCAGATCTTGTGCTGGATGTACGAGCTTCGCTGGTCCTAGTTGTATCCCAGTGCATCCTATCTGACCTCAGGGAGGTGAATGTGGACATCGATGATGTCTTCCGGACATTAAATTGATTCGAGACAAAGATGCATGCCCGTTTAGAGAATCGCTGTGATTTGATACGAGACGTGCGAACATCTTGAGAGGCCGCATCACGCAACTAACAGTCGGCGTCCGCGTCGCATCTGCTCAATGGTCTATAAAAGGAGCAATATATCGGTTTTGCCAAAGGAGGACTACGTGACTTGGCATTAGGGCCTGGCAAAGAAATCCAGGGTGTCATGGTGACACTAGCACCCATAAGATATGTCAGGTAACATTCTGGTAAGAATGGAGTTGCGAGTTCTCTGGGTGAATGGATGATGATATTGGGCAAAGTATGGCGGAGATAATCGATCAGAAACAAAACAGGGTGGACAACTTTGGCCAAAATGCGGATGAATCTATGAATCGGTATCTGCAAAAATGAAACATATAAACAATGTTTGAGAAATCGAGGATGATGTTTTCCATGTACAATGTCAAATGCTGCCTCTATCTACATTACCACCATCAAATAAGGTTGCTTGCTATTACCGGTTTCCAAGAATTGTTAGGTGGATTCGTGGAGGTGGGAAGAAGGATGATATCCAGATCGTCAGTAGATATGGGATAATTTCATCAGGTCATCATAAGGAGCGCTGTATATGTCGGAGAAATGACTAGATCCTGTAACTTTGAAGGAGAGACAAATGTTTCCAAAGGGACAGACGGCAGGCCGGTCAAACCTCCTCCTCCGCTTTCTAACTGTACAAACTGACTTCGCCAAACACTTTCGCCATATCCTCCACTGATTTCTTTTCGCACCGCTCTGACGGAGGAGTCGGTTGCTTCTTCCTGGGTGAGACGTTTCTCGGCTTCGGCTTGATCTGCTGCAAAAGGCCTTTGCATGCGCCGCAGCGAGATTTGGCAGTGTCAATGCTCTTGGAATGACGACCATAGTTCTGACCACAGTCAACGCAGCTCCAGACATATTTGTAATCGATCTGGTAGCTGTGCTTCGTCGTCACCTCGACTCTTCCGCCGTACACAGGGTGATCTTTCAGGGCTCCTTGGCATTTGCGGCCCCAAAGCTTAAAGCTTGCCCCATGGGGTTTGTTGTGAATGTTTGAAATCATGTAGTTCGCCAGATGGCAGTACTCATGTGCCACTGTGTTGATCAGTCGATCCTCGCTATCAATGATGCGCTCTGCTAGCTCAATCGTAGCATGCTGCTTGATCAACGTTGATGGTTCAGATCCGCCTTCTGATGTTCGAGACTCTTTTCCAATCTTCTCGCGTTTCCAGTTAGCACGTCCGGCGGTAGTTAGCAGGTTTTTGCTCCAAATTATCCGTACACCGCCTGTTTCTTCTGCGAGCTTTTGGATTTGGCCTCCAGAAACGGCCTCATCTAGAACCTTGAGAAATTCATCTGCGATTTGCGCCTTCTTGTTGTCAAACGACTTCTTGCGTGCTAGAGCAGCTTTCTTCTTCTCTGTCTCCGCTCTCTTCAACGCCGTCTTGCTTGGAGTTTTGGGCTCTCTATGCCTTTCACGAGGTCTTCGCATGTTTTCGGAGTTGGTATCACCATCTGACTCCTCAAATTCTCGTAGATACTGCTCTAATTTCTTCTCTTCTTTCTGCGGCGAATGTTGGTCGATCCAGTCATTGGTGGCGTCTTGCCTCCAGAAAGCATCAACGCTCTCGCGATAACGGGTTGGCGGTATGCAGATCCTGCCCTTCGTTGGTGACCGAAGAAGGCTTTTGGAGGGACTAGGAGGTGGTGTTTCTAGAACAGCCAGAGAAGGCTCTGATTTCTTTGTGGATGAATCAGTATGTGCTGCAGTGCTTGTCGGATATCAGCAGCGTGCAACAGATAATGAAGTGTTATAATGGCTTAAGGATCGCCTGAAACCCACTCACCTGTCTCTTTGAAGCTGGGAGCCAGTATCAGAGTCCTCCAGGTTCAGCATTTTCACGTCTTTGGTCATTTTGGAATTTTTCACATGTGATTTCTCGGGTTTTGGTTTCAGCTGGGAGGATGGTATCGTCATCCTAGGTGGCAGAGATGGTTCTAAGCAGAGGTCATCTTTGTATGAAGGGTTCATCAAAGCCTCCCTGAGCTCTACTTCAGGGTTTGGTCGTCTACCCCTTAACAACCTTCGCCTTGGTCTTGGGGGAGAAATGCTTTTCGGGATCTCTTCCTTCTCTAGTTCGTCTGCAGATGCCTCATGATAACTCAGCTCTTCGTTGTCACTGACTATGAAATCATCCAGGGAACTAAAGCTGTTGTCTCCGGTTTCGTCTTCTGAATTAGACTCTTGCGACTGGCGATAACTCAGAAATCTGAAGTTTCCCTCCTCCTCTTCCATATCCTGGCGGGCATTCCTCCTTGTTGGCGAATACCGCGAAGAGGCATTTGATGAGTGCCTGGATATTGTCGGTGCATTTTCCTCTTCCTCCCCGTCGATGGGGTCGTTCTCCTTCGCATAGTCATATGTTTCCAGTTTTTGAGTTGGTCGGTTTCGTGGTTGTTGCGAGAGTGGGAGCAGGAGTGAGTTGACATGTGCTTGCTTCAGCGGGACTGTTGTCTTGATTGCCTCCTTGGGTGCAGAGCTCGTGGAGGATCTATAGTCCTGGTCCACGTCGCTCGACCCGTCACTATCGGGAAGTATGTTGAAGTTCGTGGCCAAAGTCGCCTTCTTTTCCCGTTGTGATAGATTTCTTCCCAGCGGTGGTCTTCCTCCAAATCCATAAGATCTGTCTTTGGCCCATGCATCGGTTGCTATCCTCCATTCTTCCTCCCTGTCTTCTTCTGCCTCTGTTGTTGGTGACCAATCTTTGAATATGCGTCGAACGGAAGTATGTGGTTCCTTCTCGGATAAATTTGTCAATTTCCGAGCAGTTGTCTGCTTCGCCGGCGTTGCGTTGAGTCTTGCCATGATTCGCTGCCCGTGCTGCGGCTTCCCTCTGGTTGTTGTGCAGCTTGTCCCGCGTCTCTGACTGTGACTGCGAAAGAGAAGTAGGGCAACGAAGACGATAAAGGTCTTCTATCACTTTGCTTTCTTGGTTGTGGACGAGGATAATGTAAATACATTCGTTTGCTGGGAAGATGGTCCCATGTTGATAATCCGAGTATAAAGTTGGAAGTTGGGTGGTTGACATGGCAACCGCATCCAGGTGACTCGGGCTGCTGAGATCATGCAGGACGGACGTGATATATCTCGACAGCCGGCATTATGGTACAGTCCACAGGATGTGTGCGTTTACTTGCTTTCAACTGGGGGGTTGCCTATCCGTCCACCCATTTCTGTAGTATGTATTATGTATAAAAATAAACAGACCTTCGTACGTACCATGGTAGTAGGGAAATCTACAACCACAAAAAGAAAAAGAAGGGTCAGGGCCCGAGCCGCGGATCGAACGCGGGACCTCTCGCAGATATGCTTGGGTTAATCCCTAAGCGAGAATCATACCACTAGACCACCCGGGCCTGATTGTTGAAGAGCCTCAGCTAAACAATTTAGTGAACCAGCAAGCTACCAGTTCTCAAAAGCCCTCCTATGATAGAAGAAGGGTCTTCGGTTTCTCCCTTATGTGTTCGTCGCGGCTGCTGCTAATTACTTGTTTACCGGATCTACCTATGAGTGACTTACCAACATCTAAGACAAGGGTAGGTACTGAACACAGCTGGGACGGCACTTATGGTTTGTCTCTGATTATGCTCGCATCCGTGATATATTTATGTCATGATCTCCGACAACTCGAAATTCTAGAAACTCGCCCAACAAGACCATAATCCCCGGAGAAATTCTACAATCTACCATACAGTCAACTCATGGAAGGACTCGTGACCCAATATATCAAGTAGAACTCATACGGAGTATATGAACGCCGTACACCTACTAGGGATACATGTTTTTGGACATGGCCAGAACCTCTCACTCCCGGCCGGATTCACAGCATGGACATTATAGCGGCAACCACAAGGAAACCATGACAGATACTCTGTTCACACAATGCCGGGACTAGAGACCGCGCGCCGCTAATGTACAGAGCCGAAAATCTACAGTAGAACCATACCAGCCCCGGCAGCAATGGCAGTAACCACATACAAACCGAGCTGTCCGATACCAACTGTGACTCTCCCCGGAGCATTCATGTATGCAGCAGCCTCAGAGGTCGACGCCGATGCACTATCAGAGGAGCCAACCGCGGCCGCACCCGCAACCCCAGTCGGGGAGCTAGTTACAGTGCCTGTGCCGGAATTGCCAGCCTCCTTCAAAAGCTCAGAGCAAGTGCCGCTGGGACTGCTGGAAGTCCGAGTGGATGCAGCACCGTTGAAATCACAAGCAGACTGGGCCTTGCCCTTGGCGGACTGTTGCTCGTAGTAGAGATTCATAGCATAAGACAGCTGCTGCTTGGGACTGCAGACACTGTACGCGCCATACTTGCCGGTGGTTGCGTTGCTAGTCACTCCTTCGCAGACCTCATAGCCGCAGACGGTCCCAAAGAGCTTCTCGACCTGATCGTCCGATACAGTGTCCTTCAATGCGCAGCTTAAGCTGTCCTCCATGCACGAGCAAAGGTCGCCGTTTGGCGAGGGTGGAAGGGGACTCGCAGTTGCAAGCCAATCGCCGTTGACCGGCGGGCATGACTGAAGAGCACTGTTTGTTGGAGTGTATTCGCTCTTCTTGGTCCCAGAGGGAGTAGCACTAGCCAGCTGCTGGGAAAGATAGCTATAGTCGGCTCTAGTGCTTACCTTGTCGCCATCAATGCTAACCAACCCTGCGGATCGTTAGTCGCGGAACGCAGGACAGATAGAACCACCAAACACATACCGTAGTTGTTGGCCTCCTGGAAGTACATATAAACAATACCACCGGACCAGACATCAGCCATCTTCGGCCCATAGAGCGCGGAGACTTCAGTGAACTTGCGAGGCTCAACAGCATTGCAACCATACTCAGCAAAGAAAACAGGGACCGAGTAGTCGCGGAACTCATCAGTACGAGTCGAGTAACCGGACTCCTCGTAGTTAGAATCTCCACACCAGGAGTAGATGTTGTAGCCCCAGAAATCAATGCTCTCCTCCGCATTATCGCAGTTGAAATAGTCGGCCATCTTCTCACGGATTGACGAATCGTCATTAGTAGCATAGCCCACTCCCATTGGTCGGTAGTTCTTTGCTTTGATGTATGCCTTCATGTCTCTCACTGCAGCTTTGACGAAAGCACTAGCATCCGTTGTCTGCTTCGTATTTGATACTTCGTTTCCAGCAAAGAACCCGATGACGTTGGTATATTTGGCCAGAGCGTCCACCACAGTGACGTACCGGTTAAAGAGGTCGCTGTCCCACTTTGGGTTGTTACGTATAATAGATTCACCCGGGGATGAGAGGTCCGCAATCACATAGATACCGGCCTGGCTGAGAAGGTCCATGCATGTCGTATGGTCCGCGGTCGGGTCGACGGCATATACACGAATTGTGTTGGTACCAAGCTTCTCGAGGTATGGAACGTCCCGCTTACAAGCATCGGCATCGGCCAGAGGATCCTTGAAGCTGTTCGAGGACTGGCCGCCGGAATAGTCCTGCTGGTAGGCAACGCCTCGGATATAGAACTGGGTGTCATTGCTCTTGTAGAAGAATTTGGACCCCTTGATGACGATAGGGTCTACATCTACAGCGCTAGCACTGCTGGCAAACAGTATAGCACCTGCCAGGATGCTGCTGAACCTCATGTTGATGCTTCAAGGAAGGAGACTGGATCTAGGTCACGGAATACTCAGAGTCAGAGTCTGGCCGAGTGTCGTGAACGAAAGAATGGTAGCCCTAAAGCGGGATTCAGTTAGGAAGAAATTTTGAAAACGAAGGACTTAAGTCGACCGAATGAGCAAACGATTGTAGATGGGAAAGCTCGAAGAAGATTTCAAAGAACGACAGTGGTATTAAGAAGATGAAGAAAAGAAAGAACAAGCACACAAGCCAAAGACAAACGACACTCTCACGGACGGATGTACGCACGACAGAAAGACAAGGTGAGCCACTTGAGCCCTGGAAATTCGTCCTCTTCTATGCGACAGGCGGACCCTACTCGAAAGGCCTCAGGGAGTCGAGGAGAGAACGCAAAGGCCCACCATCATCCCGCTCTGCTGGACCCCAGGGCATCCTGCATGGGGTGATATTCATGTTATCCACTGTTGATCACAGGCGATAATCGGTGATCTTCCCGTCCCGCGGGCTGTTATTTGCTCCGAAGCAGATGGTGGTGCCCTTGGCGCGGGAGATGTCGATATCAGAGGGCATCCGGAACACGCAATGCAGGTCCGCACCTCAGACGATCAGGGGTCCGAAGCCACTGGAGTCAGATAAAAGAGGGACAACAATAAAAGCTTATTCAAACCGTCAATCAGCAATGTGTTGGCTGGAAAGTGAGTGTATGCGCCGTGTACTGAGCGTAAGTTGGTACCTTCCCTTTTTAGAGTTTGTTCAGGAGGAAGGAGCAGAACTGCCTCTATGAAGTAGGTGCCATGTCTACCTAGCGACAGCCCTGGACGTGTGTATGCTCTTCCGCCGTTCAGATTGGAACCCCTGGCACGTTGCATGGGGGAAAGAAAAAATCTGTGCAGAGAGTGGGCGAATGCTATACCCAAGCCACTCGGCCACAAGGCCATGTCCGCGTAGCAAGTTTCCAGGTCTACAATCTATATCTCATATTCCTGAAGATTGACCGAGTCGAGTTCGTGCGCAATCGAGTTTTATCATTATTCTCTAGACAAGTTGTCGGTACTCGGTACTAATTACCTAGAAAATGCTTCAAAGCTAACGTCATATACCCCTTATTGTTCTCTCAATACCCAAACATCATCAAGCAGCAGCTGCGCGGCCCACTTGAGAAGAAAATAAAGAAAGAACATGTCCGAGTTAACCACAGCCTTTTGGATGGCGAGACCCTATGTAAAAAAGGATTCTGCTTCTCTTTGAGCATGTCTTCCAGCTGAGTGCCATGCAAGCCACTCGACTATCAGAGTAGGGGCCATGTATACTTGGAGGAGCTTAGTTCGGTACGGAGTATACCTGGCATGGTCCATCAAGGTGTTGTTTTCGTGTTGGGCAAAGTACCCATGTTGACTACCTCTGTTCTGGGGAATCATAACTGAAAAGTGATGTGGCTGTGACATGATCATTGTATATAGTTGTGGAATTTAGTGAGCAGAGTCCTGGTCTTTGATGTTTAAATGGTGATAGAACACATCATGTGAAATTCTGATCCAGAGAGCTTACATGGCCGGACGAGCACGTTTAGTAGGGTCTGCTACTTATTGGGTCAGAAATGTGAAGCAAGGTTGGCCGCCTCGCAACCCTTTGTAAACCCTAGGATCTCGGAAATCTCTGTGGTACGCAGTACTTAACCTACGTAAGCATCCAACAGTGGATATCCAACAGTATGAGGAGGCCGTGTAGAACTTCGTCAAGAAGCAAGGCCAAACCTAAGTATATCACAATTGCGATAGATTCGAAATCTCATTCCCACACCTGCCAAAGCCGCTGTTCTCTGCTCTTAAGCTTATCCTTTAGCAGAATTCCACCTGCTGTGATACATAAACTTGCCAATCGACATAAAGGAACCATTATAAGCTTATATCGCCACACACGCCTTGTGTCAGGCCTAGCTCGAGCCTTGAACATATTGGGACTGGCCTACTCAGCGCACTAAAGGCAATCACAAGTCAATTAATAAACAGCTAAAGACGCCGGCCGCTTGTCAAGTTGACAGTGTATTTGTGTAAACTCGATTGTATTCCGAAAGCATCAAATAATGTCAGTGATGAGGGGCAGGCCTTTGCGGACCACGAATCCCCGATGAGAGCTGAATGTTGAGAGTTGAAGGTGAAACCTCCTTTTCTGGTCCACGTTTGACCATTCAATCACAGCCGTTTAATTGACTTGCCACTGTTGGCCCCAAGTGGGACGTAGTATTTTATTGGCCTTGAGTGTATTACTAGCTCCTGCCCCACCATGCCAATCTCGCAATCCATAGCTCACAGCCACTTTAATTTTGAACATTGAAGATTGGCCCAAAAGGTACACACTACGCCAGGATACTGAAACGGCCTAATTGAGCCACAGCGGAGGTGTAATTACCTGGCGTACGGACTAGACTAAAAGTCCTCAAGTTCTAAAAACTTCCGCAGCCTAATATCCACCTGCGGATGAAAGAATCTTCGAGATGGTGTCTTTGAAATGGAAATTCATCAAAAATCGGCGAGGACGTCTGGTCCTTTTTGAGTAGATGAGATGGTGATAATGCACACTATCCTGCAAGGAGAGCACTGCAATTGTTGAGTGGATAATCTGACTGACCTTTTGTTCGACAGCTCCTGGCTCCCCTTCCGTCGCCACAGGGTATTTGTGGACTGTGGCCGCCGATTGGCGGAGCTGTGTCTAATACAGAATTAGATACCTGGATCTTGCATGCTTCATTTGCCTGAGTGACAGATAATGTGTCATGCACACTTACCTTATCTACCAACCAGCGCTGTAGGTAATCTGTATGCCTAACCCACCTACAAAGTACTTTGTCTGACAAACCTTGTGAGATCTGTGTCCTACGTACATCCTGTAGTTAAGGAATTTGTTCAACACACCTACACGGACGAGAGTACTGGACATGAGGGGAGAAGGATGGTGGTACTGTAATTAACGTCAATGCTCAGTAATCGGTTCCATGGATGTCAGAAACCGGGATCAGGATACCAAACGATAATCATCCAATTGGGGATTGTGATATATTTGGAAACATATTTTCCGCTCAATCATACTCTGCGGGGAGGCACCTAGCAATAGTAAATTCCTCTTTACTGTAAGTGATGAAGTTCAGGAGACAAAATGTCGCATCAAAAGGAGGATGACACGATTGTACTCAAATAAATCAGGGTAAGAATGATTACATTGATGGCTTTGTCTAGACCACCATTAAAAGAACTTGAACCAATAGTGCCATAGTCTGTACTCCATAGAGTGGAATTACAATCTTTTGTACGGGTACTCAGTGTGGGTCAACTTATCTCCGATTTTAATTTCAAAATCCAAGCACTAGTTTGAATTGGCAGTATGAATAAGATTGGCTCAACTACCATGTTAAATCTCGACTGTTCTATTTTCGAGCGGTACTATCTAATACCTCAAAGTCATGACACTTTCTAAGGTAATGAGGCGGAACACAGAAAAGGCGACATTCTAGAAGCTATGATAGTTTGGTCTGAATTATCAAGTCCTTACTCTGCACAGAGTACAACGCGGTGGATAAGGTAATTGATTAGCAGTACTCAGTAGGGTCGCCGAAAGAAAATGTAGCTCAGTTGACGGTGGATCGTTTTGTTCTATGAGGGGCATAATGTCTGATTACTGGCAGTACGATTGCATCATAATTCTGGTCTTAAGGCTCTGTGTGCTTCGTACCTCTGTACACCATTACTACGGTCTTGGATGGGCTACCAAATTGGAGAAGTCGTCAATGGTGTGCTTTCAAGGATATCAATCTGTCAGCCAACAGCGGGTGTAACATTCGAGCTTCGAACCTGGGATATCTGAACTTATACCTTTCGATCGCCAGAGAGCTGGCCGCGAATTTGGTGATGCCTTGTCGATTTTAAATGGAGGACGCCGTCCTGACACTGGACCATTAAGATCGGCAGATACTTATTTCTGCGGCACGATACTTTTTAGGCCTAAAACTTGGTGTTACAGTGTTATCTTGCTTATTCTGCCAAGGCAAGGCTGATACCCAAGGATAATTTGCAGACCATACCTCGCAGATAGACCAACTAATCTACCAAGCATAAAGTTCAGAGTGGCGAAACTGATTCTATTATTCATGGCTGCATTCAGCTATGAAAGTGTCTAGCTCCTATATTAGGCACTACCTACTGCAGTCTATACGTAAGTTACTACGTATGTGACTTTGTAGTTTGTAGTTTGCATCTTAATATGGAGCAAATACCCCATAGATTTCGGAGTGATGGGTTTGATGGGCGGCGGAACCTTGACAGAATTCAATGCAGGCACGTATTTCATATAGATAGCAATTAATATAACAATAATCTGACTTGTCATTTAGACTCGTACCTGCAATATTTGCAGTAATTGGAGCTTGATTGTTGGGGCACAAATTGTTAGTGTTTCACAGTTGAAAGCATAATCCATCCATGGTAAGTAATTGATTTCTAAGAGTCTCATACAAGCCATGCAGATATAAGCTACCTATCAGAGCATTAATAATCATAAACAAAGCTTTTTCTTCTTCAAGTCCTAACCGCAACTGCATAGCGACGCATTCATGAGGTTGCCACTCTGATATATGCTGGCGCTGAACGGAAGTCCCCAAGACCCATTGACAGGAATGGGCGATGCACATCCCTGCATACCAAAAGTTCACAAACAAGCTGTCCACCACAAGCTGCTGTAATTTAGTTCCTGCGTACTCTGTAAAATACGTAGGTACGGACCATGTATTAGGTCCCATGGATAATTACGTACCTATCATTGTTGCGTCTCAAAGAACGCAGTGGGTCTGGTTTCAGGGGCCGCCCGGCGCCATCAGCTTCCATGGGTTCCGGAGTCCACGGTGGCTGGTCATTTGCTACTGTGAATCCACCACTACGCTTTAGCTTGTCTAAACTCGAATCTCAACCTGCTTGATGTTGGTGGCTTTAAAACTTGGAAGGCCAACGCATTATTATTTGGGAATTAAAAGTAGTGGGATTAAGAAAACATAGACGCAGAATAAAAACTTTACAGATTCTGACAGTACAAAGCAATTTGGCTCCCTCCGGTCTTTTATGAGAAAGATGGCTGGTCTTGAGTGGTTGATTTCTGCCAACCTCTCCCAAATTATAAAGGGATGAGCCACATCTAAGTTGACGTATTTATTGTATTTAGGTCAGGATGGTACCTGATACAGATTTAGGTAACCATACAACAGTGGACCTTTCTAAACATGGTGCAATGGCTGCATTATGTCCAACGCAATCGCTAAAGTTACCATACCATACCGGTCTAGTACCTTCCCCACCTATTTCGTGCTTACCATACATACATTTGTGTACACTTTGGGCCAAAATAGCAGTAAAGGAAGGTAACACCTTCATGTGCTTGATTGTTGCCCGTAAGTTGGCAGATCCAGATCCCAAAATAACCACAATTGCCGTAGCGCCAGCATTTTCCCTGAGTTGGTGGTCAATCTTTTTCCTTTTCCTCACTACTGTCCAACTCAAGTCTTCCCTCCCCTACCTTCGTCCATCTCTTGGTCATTTTCCTTCTGTTCTGACCACTCTCGTTTTGACGTTTCCGTTCGCTCTTTAATATTGTTATTGTCAAAGGAAGGAAAGCAGAAGTTTTCTGGTAACAAACTTCGGCCAACGCTCCCTTCCCTCTTTCCGGCTTTTGTTTGAGGAAAGAAGAGGGAGCCCGTTTTCTGCGGCCTGGGCTGTTGCATCAGAGACTAAATCTGCAGTATTGATTCTGCAAAGATTACTTCGCTTTTTCCTCAGCATCGACTTTTTCTTTTTTCTGCTTTTCTTATCTTCCCTCTCGGTTTCCACATCCGCTCGTTAACCACCTTTGTCGATAACGGTCATCTGGTTCATTGCTTGGGTTGAAGAATAGTCCACCATTTCATCGTCAACGAAACGGCTGGGCAGTCTGGGACTGGTGAATTGTCAATATAGGTCACGACGCGTCTGGTTTACTGCGACTCAAGATTCAACCCTTGGAGACGGCTGCGCTGTTGTCGATCGATGCTCTGATATTGTGGAACGATTGGTCTTTTAACTTCTAATCATTTAATGGGTAGTCCTTGATGTAAGGTTCCGTTGCACCTGCCGTCTCTTTTGCAAAAGTACACCAGAAGCTAAGATTCTACCGTCCGCCACAGAGCTGTCAACAGTTTCATTCCAGCATGTCGGGATATCAACAAGGGGGAGGCCATTACAATGATGGCTATGGCCATCAGGAACATGGTGACACCTACTATCAAGATGAGCATGGACAGGCTTACTATGACCATGACTATGGTGATGGCTACTACGACAGATCGTATGTCTCCACCCTTTAGGTTTGCAGTCACTTACTAACCTGTCATAGCGGCTACTATGGCGCGGACGGCAACCACAATCAGCATGAAGGAGGATACTACGATGCTGGTCAGCCGCACGATGACTACTACGGTGACCAATACTACGACCAGGGCAATGGCCAGCAGGGCTACGATAATCGGGGAAGACGCCGGGGTGATTCAGAAGAAGACTCGGAGACATTCAGTGACTTCACCATGAGGTCTGAAACCGCTCGTGCGGCCGACATGGACTATTATGGTCGCGGTGACGAACGTTACAACAGCTACGCCGATAGCCAGTATGGTGGACGTGGGTATGGGTACCGCCCCCCGTCATCCCAGATCTCATATGGGGCCAACAGGTCCTCCGGAGCATCAACCCCAGTGTACGGCATGGACTACGGCAATGCTCTGCCCGCCGGTCAGCGATCTCGAGAGCCTTATCCTGCGTGGGCGTCGGACGGCCAGGTCCCCGTTTCCAAGGAGGAGATAGAAGACATTTTCCTCGATCTAGTGAATAAGTTCGGATTCCAACGAGACAGCATGCGCAACATGTATGATCACTTGATGACGATGCTGGATTCGCGCGCTTCCCGGATGACGCCCAACCAGGCGCTTCTTTCCTTGCACGCCGACTACATTGGAGGTGACAATGCCAACTATCGACGTTGGTATTTCGCTGCCCATCTGGACTTGGACGATGCCGTGGGATTCGCCAACATGAAGCTTGGAAAAGCCGACCGTAAGACAAGGAAAGCACGGAAAGCAGCCAAGAAAGCGGCCCAGCAGAACCCGGAGAACGTTGAGGAGACCTTGGAAGCCCTGGAGGGTGACAATAGCTTGGAAGCCGCCGAGTACAGATGGAAGACTCGGATGAACAAGATGTCCCAGCATGACAGAGTTCGCCAACTGGCACTGTTCTTGCTGTGCTGGGGTGAAGCCAACCAGGTCCGGTTCCTACCCGAGTGTCTTTGCTTCATCTTCAAATGTGCCGACGACTACTACAATTCGCCCGAGTGTCAGAACCGAGTTGAGCCTGTTGAAGAATTCACCTACCTTAACGAGATCATCACGCCTCTTTACCAATATTGCCGTGATCAGGGCTATGAAATCGTGGATGGGAAATACGTACGTCGTGAGCGCGATCATAACCAGATCATTGGTTACGACGATATGAACCAGCTTTTCTGGTACCCAGAAGGTATCGAACGGATTGTCTTCGAGGACAAGACGCGCCTGGTTGACATCCCACCGGCTGAGCGGTGGACAAAGCTGAAGGACGTCGTCTGGAAGAAGGCTTTCTTCAAGACCTACAAGGAAACACGATCTTGGTTCCACTTGATCACCAACTTCAACCGTATTTGGGTCATCCATTTCGGTGCTTTCTGGTTCTTTACTGCTTATAACGCACAATCGCTCTACACCGACAATTATCAACAGCAAGTGAACAATAAGCCCCCGGTTATAGGATTTGGTCCGCCGTTGGTTTCGGAGGTGCCCTCGTCTCTTTCATCCAGGTTGCAGCTACTATCTGCGAATGGATGTACGTGCCTAGGCGCTGGGCAGGTGCTCAGCACCTCACCAAGCGACTGATGTTTCTACTCCTGGTTTTCGTCATCAATCTGGCTCCTGGTGTGTTTGTCTTCGCCTACAGCAAGAGCATGGGCATCAGCAAAACCATCCCTTTGATTGTCGGTATTGTCCACTTTTTCGTCGCGCTGGCAACTTTCGTCTTCTTCTCTGTCATGCCACTCGGTGGGCTTTTCGGCAGTTACCTCAAGAAGCATGGCCGTCAGTACGTGGCTAGCCAGACATTCACTGCAAGCTTCCCACGTCTGCACGGCAACGATATGTGGATGTCGTACGGCCTATGGGTCTGCGTTTTCGGGGCCAAATTGGCGGAATCGTACTTCTTCCTGACCCTGTCTTTCAAGGACCCGATTCGAATTCTCTCACCCATGCAGATACATCAGTGTGCGGGTGTGAAATACATTGGGAATGTCCTGTGCCACAAACAGCCCCAAATTCTTCTCGGCTTGATGTTCTTCATGGATTTGACACTCTTCTTTTTGGATAGTTATCTTTGGTACATTATTTGCAACACTGTCTTCTCTGTTGCAAGGTCGTTCTACCTGGGTGTGTCGATCTGGTCGCCCTGGAGAAACATCTTCTCCCGACTGCCCAAGCGTATTTACTCAAAGGTTCTCGCCACCACCGACATGGAAATCAAGTACAAGCCTAAGGTATTGATTTCTCAAGTTTGGAATGCCATCATCATCTCAATGTACCGGGAACATCTGCTGGCCATTGACCATGTCCAGAAGCTCCTCTACCACCAGGTTCCTTCTGAGCAAGAAGGCAAACGGACCCTGCGTGCGCCCACTTTCTTTGTGTCTCAAGAGGATCAATCTTTCAAGACTGAGTTCTTCCCGCCTGGTAGTGAAGCTGAGCGTCGGATTTCGTTCTTTGCGCAATCACTCTCTACCCCATGCCCGAGCCCCTTCCTGTGGACAATATGCCTACATTCACCGTTTTGATCCCCCACTATAGCGAGAAGATCCTCCTCTCCCTGCGTGAGATTATCCGTGAGGATGAGCCTTACTCTCGTGTGACGCTGCTGGAATACCTCAAACAACTTCATCCTCACGAATGGGACTGCTTCGTCAAGGACACCAAGATTTTGGCCGATGAAACCTCCCAGTTCAATGGCGAACCTGAGAAGAGTGAGAAGGATGTTGCCAAGAGCAAGATTGATGACCTTCCTTTCTATTGCATTGGTTTCAAGTCCGCTGCTCCAGAGTACACCCTTCGGACTCGTATTTGGTCCTCATTGCGTTCACAGACACTCTACCGCACTGTTTCGGGGTTCATGAATTATAGCAGGGCGATCAAGCTCCTGTACCGGGTCGAAAATCCAGAGGTCGTGCAGATGTTTGGTGGCAATTCCGAGAAGCTCGAACGAGAGCTTGAGAGGATGGCGCGCCGCAAGTTCAAAATCGTCGTATCTATGCAACGCTATGCCAAGTTCAATAAGGAAGAGCGTGAGAATACTGAGTTCCTTCTCAGGGCTTACCCGGATCTCCAAATCGCCTACCTGGACGAGGAACCCCCCGTCAATGAAGGTGAAGAGCCCCGTCTGTACTCTGCCCTTATTGACGGACACTGCGAGCTGTTGGAGAACGGTATGCGGAAGCCGAAGTTTAGGATTCAGCTCTCTGGAAACCCAATTCTAGGAGATGGCAAGTCTGACAACCAGAATCACTCAATCATCTTCTATCGTGGCGAGTATATCCAAGTGATCGATGCCAATCAAGACAACTATCTCGAAGAATGTCTCAAGATCCGTAGTGTCCTCGCCGAGTTCGAGGAATTGACTACTGACAACGTCTCGCCCTACACGCCCGGCATTCCCTCTACGAACACCAACCCCGTGGCCATTCTTGGTGCCCGTGAATACATTTTCTCTGAGAATATCGGCGTGCTCGGTGACGTCGCGGCTGGGAAAGAACAGACTTTCGGTACCCTTTTCGCTCGTACGCTGGCTCAGATCGGTGGTAAGCTCCACTATGGTCACCCCGATTTCCTGAACGGCATCTTCATGACAACTCGTGGCGGTATCTCGAAAGCTCAAAAAGGTCTGCATCTGAACGAGGATATCTATGCCGGTATGAATGCCATGATCCGTGGTGGTCGCATCAAGCACTGCGAGTACTACCAATGTGGTAAAGGTCGTGATCTTGGTTTTGGCTCCATTTTGAATTTCACAACCAAGATCGGTACGGGTATGGGCGAACAAATGTTGTCCAGAGAGTACTACTATCTCGGCACTCAACTGCCTCTCGACCGCTTCCTGTCATTTTACTATGCTCACCCTGGCTTCCACATTAACAACATGTTCATCATGTTGTCGGTGCAGATGTTTATGATTGTCCTAATCAACCTGGGAGCTCTGAAGCACGAGACCATCACTTGCCGTTACAACCCTGACTTGCCTATCACGGATCCTCTTCGACCCACTTACTGTGCCAATCTCACCCCGATCGTCGACTGGGTCAACCGTTGTATCATCTCGATCTTCATCGTCTTCTTCATCTCTTTCGTCCCACTGGCTGTCCAGGAACTGACGGAGAGGGGAGTATGGCGGATGGCCATGCGTCTAGCCAAACACTTCGGTTCCGTCTCCTTCATGTTCGAGGTGTTTGTCTGCCAGATCTATGCCAACGCTGTCCACCAGAACCTTTCTTTCGGCGGTGCGCGATATATCGGTACTGGTCGTGGTTTTGCCACGGCCCGCATTCCCTTTGGTGTCTTATACTCGCGTTTTGCAGGTCCCTCCATCTACGCTGGCGCGCGTTTGCTGCTTATGCTTCTGTTCGCGACGTCAACCGTCTGGACGGCGGCTCTCATTTGGTTCTGGGTTTCTCTGCTCGCCCTCTGCATCTCGCCGTTCTTGTTCAACCCCCACCAGTTCGCCTGGAATGATTTCTTCATTGATTACCGCGATTATCTCAGGTGGCTTTCACGTGGTAATTCCCGCTCGCACGCTTCTTCTTGGATCGGATTCTGTCGTCTGTCTCGTACTCGGATCACTGGTTACAAGCGCAAGCTTCTGGGTGTGCCATCCGAAAAGGGCTCCGGCGATGTTCCAAGGGCTCGTATCACCAATATTTTCTTCAGCGAGATTATTGCACCCCTGGTACTTGTTGCTGTGACGCTGGTTCCCTATCTCTACATCAACTCCAGAACCGGAAAATATGCTGACCCGAAAGACGCTATGGATGCCATCCTGCGAATCGCCATTGTTGCCGCTGGACCAATCGCCATCAACGCAGGTGTTGCTGGTGCTTTCTTTGGCATGGCCTGCTGTATGGGGCCCATCTTCAGCATGTGCTGCAAGAAATTCGGTGCTGTTCTCGCTGCCATTGCGCACGCTATAGCCGTCATCATGTTGCTCGCCATCTTCGAAGTCATGTTCTTCCTTGAATCCTGGTCCTGGCCGAGAATGCTCATTGGCATGATTGCAGCAGCAGCCATTCAGCGTTTCATCTACAAGCTCATCATTGCCCTTGCATTGACCCGCGAGTTCAAGCATGACCAGTCTAATATCGCATGGTGGACTGGCCAGTGGTACAGCATGGGTTGGCACTCGATGTCGCAACCCGGCCGTGAGTTCCTGTGCAAGATTACGGAGTTGGGATACTTCTCTGCAGACTTCATTTTGGGTCACATACTCTTGTTCGCTATGCTGCCCGCCCTCTGCGTCCCATTCATTGACAAATTCCACTCGGTCATGCTCTTCTGGCTGCGGCCAAGGTAAGGAACACTCTTAGCCACGATATTTGATCGCATCTTGTCTAACACTGCTCTAGTCGCCAAATCCGCCCTCCCATCTACTCACTGAAGCAATCGAAGCTCAGGAAGAGAAGAGTCATCCGCTTCGCTATTCTCTACTTCGCGATGCTCATTCTATTCCTTATCCTTCTCATTGCTCCACTTGTTGTTCGCTCCATGGGACTGGTTAAAGCTCCCAATCTTCCCTTCAACTTGCTCCAGCCTCTTGACAAGGACAATAACGACACTATGGTGACATACACCGGCAACAATATTCCCGCTGGTTTTGAGCCAGTCGAGAGCGCCTCGAGCGTGGCCACTGCAACGAGCTAGAAAGCGCTGTATTTTTTTTAATTCTCGACTCTCTTTGTTTTGCCTGTTTTTAAATATTTTGCAGAAATGGCATCATGAACACGAGCTGTATAAAGTATCCAGCGCCTCGAAGTCGCTGCTGAGCCGCATAAAGTCGCTGTTTTTCACTGTTCAATTTGTTTACTGTCTAGTTGTTTTCGAGGGCCCTGAAATCAAATACAGAGGATTCATCATAAACTGCATTATCAAGGTTCCTAGTACTCTGATCTTAGGCATCATGCATGGTATACACGACATTCAGATCGTTCTTTTCCAGGGGTCCAGGACATCGCTACTCCGTATTACATTGCGAGTTACAATGACAGCCTCATGTGGTGATCATCGCGAAGGATAACAACAGAAATATTATAGTCTAGTACTTCAAGATAAGTTGCCCGGGTCTCGGCATCTGGATGCAAATAGGACTTTAGTTAGTATACTTCGTAGTGTTTGTCATCTGTCTCGTCGTTGCCTGAGAAAGAACCCTTTTAGGCACATCACGTGCGCAACAGTGTTTCGCCGATCGTCCTGTCCTGGCTCTGGATATCCCAAACCGAAGGCTCATTTTTCGTTGCGTTTCCCCAGATAGTCCCTCGTCTGCCGACAGTATTATTATTCCTCGCTGAAACTGCACGTGAATGATTACATCAATCTACGTTTCCTGAAGCTCAAACTTTGGCCTTGCGTCCCGAAGGCCGCGTTCTTTCCGTTCACCATGGATATCCAGGAGACCCAACGTCTTCTTTCGGAATACCTCCATGAGCTCGCAAATCTATTTCACCGTCTACCAGGATCTGCAATTTTCCTGCGGTACGTGAAATCGAGCTATCAGAATGATCCGATCCGATCCGCCGTCGAATTGTTCCTTTTCCTATTCGCAGTTCGCTATCTGCTCGCACCAAAGTACTCAACGAAACCCGGAGTCGTCAAACTTTCCGAGGACGAGATTGACGACCTCGTGGATGAATGGACGCCGGAGCCTCTTGTGGGACAGCCCACAGCTCTGGAGGAAATGGAGGTCGAGAAGCGGACGGTGATTGTTGGGTATGCTTAATCTCATTTCAATGTTACTGCGACGCTGATGTTTGATGGCCTACAGTCCGATCGGGCCCAAGTCCAAACTGTCCAACGGTCGCACGGTGATGAATCTTGGTTCTTTCAACTTCTATAACTTTAATACAAACGAGGGTCTCAAGGAAAAGGCAATCCAGACGCTCCGCAATTATGGAGTTGGCCCCTGTGGTCCCCGAGGATTTTACGGCACACAAGACGTGCACATGAAGACCGAAGCAGATGTTGCTGCCTATCTCGGCACAGCGGCTTGCATCATCTACTCCCAGGCATTCTCTACCATATCGAGCGTCATCCCAGCATTTTCGAAACGTGGAGATATTATTGTTGCCGACAAGGGTGTCAATTTCGCCATTCGGAAGGGTATTCAGATTTCGCGCAGCATGGTCCGGTGGTATGAGCATAATGATATGGAAGACTTGGAAAGAGTTCTTGCGAAGATCACCAAAGAGCAAGCGAGAAAGCCCCTCACGAGAAGGTTCATCATCACCGAGGGCCTTTTCGAATCGTATGGTGACGTGGTCGATCTTCCCAAAATCGTACGTGATTCTTCCCTTCCCCCCAGCTCTGAGAATATATGGCACGGTCTGACACAGGGAAGATTGAACTGAAACTCAAGTACAAATTCCGACTCATCCTTGACGAAACTTGGTCATTTGGCGTCTTGGGAAGGACCGGCCGAGGCGTCACTGAGCACCAAAACGTCGATGCGGCAGAAGTTGATATGATTGTGGGCTCGCTGGCCGGCCCACTCGTCGCTGGAGGCGGTTTCTGTGCTGGTTCTGAGGAAATTGTCCACCATCAACGGATCTCTGCCGCCGCATATACATTCTCAGCGGCATTGCCTGCCCTCCTATCGACGACAGCAAGTGCAACGATCAACTTGCTTCAGAACGGCCCTGAACTAGTATCGCAGCTCAGGGAACATACCAAAGCTATGTGGGCACAGTTGGATCCTCGCAGTGATTGGGTGTATTGTACCAGCGCTCCTGAGAATCCCGTCATGATCCTTGTTTTCAAACCCGAGGTGGTGGCCGCGAAGAGACTTACTGCCGAAGACCAGCAGTTCTTACTGCAGGATGTGGTTGACGAGGTATGCAATCTGGGATCTGAGCGCTTCCAAATGGTCATGGGATTATGAGAACTGACTTTCTGCTAGTGCCTTGCGAATGGTGTCCTTATCAGCCGTCTCAAGTCTCTGGATGATAACTTTCAGCCGAAGCAAATTGTTCCTCCAGCGCTCAAGGTGTGTGTCACCATCGGCTTGACGAGAAAGGAAATCGAAAAGGCCGGAACGATAATTCGCCATGCTATCACGAAGGTGGCGAGCAAGAGAAAGTAGATCACTTCTTCGCCCAGATCTCCTTCTCAAGGGGCTCAAACCGAAACGCTTATGCTGTCATGACCTCGTTTGCTTCGTAATTGACCTACATCGCCGTGACTTTTCGGTTGTCTTTCTCCTGACGTGCAACACTCCTACTCTCAACTTTGAGTACAATACACCATTATGATGAATGCGTGCAGCAGCCATCGACTTCATTTGGTGAAGTAGTTTGGAGTATGTTTGGCCGTCTTCCCGTCAGCCACATGTGAGGGGAACGGGCATAATGACTTCTGGGGTATGGGAGACCGCTTTCCCAATTGTGTATAATTAGGCCTTGCTGTGCGTTCACCTCTTAGCATTATTAGATATGCTTTTAATACAAGGGAACAAAGTGGTATCCTTTCAATATGGATAGATCCTGATAGTCCAAGTTGATGAGAATCTGAAGAAGTGAACTGTATTGAAGATGCCAGTTCACACGAATTGATGACTCAAGACAGTGAAAATAATTGCCCACAGTAATATATGTTGAATTGCGATTCCACGGCGAAGCCTCTCTACCAATTGCTCTCTTCGCCAGCCTATGTGATGGAAACGCCTTCATCGTTCTCATGTATGGTAATCCTGTTAATTGACGTCTGAGGCAGTAGACCACTGTCGACTAACTGTAGGACACATCAATCATAAATGCTGACCTGCACCACTCAAAAGAAACTGAAGGTCAAATTAGAAAGTATTCCGATTGGACGTCCAGCAGTCTTCAACACCAGCAACTCTCCTTGATTCCTGAGAAGGTGATGGCAGTCTAATTGGCAATCTGCAGGGGGATACACTATCAGATTTTTATTCAGAGCTATGCTTCGTAGATTTTGCCTTACCTGAAAACCCTTCCACTGTCCCCAGGTGCCTGCATTGACACATTCGTTTTCGATGTACCATTCTTGGTCACCACAATTATAGTCGCTCCAGAGTTGAGGTTTGCCATCCTCACCTCTGACCGACAAGGTCAGAACCAGAAAGTCCAAATTTTTCACACTGAGGGTGTCGGTCAGCAGCAGCCCAACTGCCCACGTTCTGTCCGCCGCAGTTTTCACCGTTCGGTAGATGCATTAGACTCGAAAGTCGAGGCGCTAATGTCATTCTCTAGTTGAACGACCCCTTGGTAGCTGGGGGTTTCTCTTTCCTCCATCGTCGATGATCTTCCCTTCGCACATCCTTTTGCGAAAATTAGCAACTCAACCCAAACATATGTTATTTGGGAGCTCACTCACAGCTGGGCAGCGGCTCCTGTCCATCGAAAGGCTCCGAGCAATCCAGCACATTCATGTACTCTGCACCTCGGCGGTACGCTGTTTGCTCGGCAATGCAGCATCCTGACAAGCGGCATGTTCGTGGTCTTTAGGGCATGCACATTGCACCGTCCGAAACCAATGCATCGAAACGCACTGTTGGGGTTTCAACGGTTGCTATGCCTTCTTGGGCCAAACCACAGGGGCGTAACAGGGCTCCAAAAGCATGCCAAGAGTATAAGTAGATTTCCACCAGCAGGGGAGAAACCGCTCTGGCTTTCAGCCGTTGGCTGACGCTGTGACTGAGACAACCCAGGATAAGCCGAAGGAGAGATGCAACGTAAACATGATTTGAGGGAATTTCCCCGAATTGGCTAGCGGGTTGAATTAGAGGCCCATTGTGATAGCTTTGCTGCTTTGCGCGATCATGGCAGATACACTTCGTAGTGCTGTTACCTCCATCATCATGAATTGGCCATGTGACGATTGGATGATTACGGAGCGCCCGAGGGGAACCATGAGAGTGTCAGGGCCGATTTAACTATGGAAGACCAGCACTCATTCAAGACCTCGCCCTCGATATCCAATGTCTCCTCCTTCCGCCCTTCATGTTCACTTCAATCCACCTGTCCTGTTTGGGCGAGGACCTAAGGTTGGGTTTGGTCCAATACCTTTGGACGCCTTGGCGAGAGCAAAGTTCTTGGCATTTTGCTGTCTCAGGCTTGACTCGATAGGTCCAAAATCGATACAGAGGATTGGACTACCTAGCATCATACCTTACTGATGGCAGTCAAGTGTACCCAAGACAATGATACAGATTCCTAAGTCGGTCCGATGGATGCCTCAGGATCATAAAGAACCCCCCCATTGTACGACCTGGTTATGGTTATCCTTCTTGGTCTTCTTGACATCACTAAGAGTAAACGAATAATTGCACAGCTGTATCCATTGAGCTAACCCCTGAACGTTTTGGTGATCAAAGTGTAATGATGTTTTATCTATGCCGCCATGTTAGTCAGAGAATGATTGTGAAGGGTTAAGCCAGGAAGTCTCCCTTGATACTGGTTGAGACAAGAGGGCTACTTTTCGTTTTCTCCAAGGGCTTCGACAACCCTACGAAGTAGAATCAAGGCGAAACATGTCAGTCATGCTATACTGTCTTGCAGTTAGAGGGATACAGCCCCCGAGGAACATGCTATCAATCCGGGTCCTAGCACATTCTTTTTGGATGAGGGGTTTGGCAAGGTATGAGCCCTGCATTCCACAGACATCAAGTGAAGCCCTGGTACTTAAGAGCATGAATTCACGGATTACCGCATTCATGATGAATTTTACCTCTAGAGATCTAGAGTAAGTGGACATTAATTCACTACGCCTCTGATGGTTCTATCACTGACTCTTTGACAGTGAATGTACATCTATAGCTGGGGTATTTAAGCCCACAGTCTGGGCCTGGCCTCACAATCTCTACTCCTTCATTAGTCTGACTAGATCGTTCTGCTCGGTTCTACTGTTTCTTGGATTGTGTTCAGAAGAATTAACGAGAGGACCGTGATTGACCATCGCAATGAGGTTCAAAGTCAACCTTCTGGCCCTGTTGTTGGCCTACCAGTCTGCAGCGCACCCTCATGGTAAGATGTTTTCAGAGAATAACACCTTTAAGTGTCGAAGACATCGTTGACCAGTAGATACCTTCTCAGTCGGCCACCGTCGCAATGCCGAGCATGATATCAATCCCAAGGAGCAAGTCATCGTTTGGGTCGATCACGCTGGACACACGATCAGTATTGAGCATAAGCATCAAACCCCTGCTACGACCTACAAGAACGCATGTGTTACCTACAATTGATCCAATTGCATAACCTGCCTGAATCTATAACTGACACTGAGACAGTCGCCCACCGAGCTGCCCCTGCTCCCAGGCACCGACAATATCATCCCCGACAATCTCCTCCCCAAACTCTCCGTCGAAGTGCCTGAGTCGAACACAAACCTGGACTCTCGCTTCGGCATCTCCTACTCGCCTTACACCAGCTACGGCACCTGCAAGACCTCCGACCAGATAAACCAGGACATCGAACACCTGCGCCACCACGCCTTCGTCCGCATCTACGGCATCGACTGCGACCAAACAAAGCTCGTCACCCAAGCAGCCAGACAGCACGGCCTAAAAGTCTTCGCTGGCGTCTTCGACCTCCAAAACTTCCCCGACAGCCTGCACTACATCCGCGACGCCGCCACCGCCGCAGGCGGCGACTGGTCTATCTTCCACACCATCGCCATCGGCAACGAGCTCGTCAACAAGGGCCAGAACAACCCAGCCGACGTCGCCAACGCCGTCAACACCGCCCGCGACATCCTCCGCGGCGCAGGCTACCAGGGCCCCGTGGTAACAGTCGACACCTTCTCCGTGATGCTGCAGCACCCGGAACTCTGCGCCGCGTCCGACTACTGCGCCGTCAACTGCCACGCCTTCTTCGATAACAACCAGCTCCCCGAAGCCGCGGGCGAGTACGCGATCGACAAGGCGCGCCGCATCTCCGCTGCGGCGGGCGGGAAGAAAACGGTCATTACGGAGTCGGGGTGGCCTCACGCGGGCCAGCCGAATGGGCGGGCGGTGCCGTCGCCGGAGAACCAGAAGAAGGCGATTGCGAGTCTGAGAAAGGCGTTTGCGGACGATCCGGACTTGGTCCTCTTCACTGCGTTTGATGACTTGTGGAAGTCGGATAATCAGTGGACGTTTGGCGCGGAGCGGTTCTGGGGGATTCAGGATACGGGGCGCGAGTGGGAGCGTGAGCGGGATCGGGAGTAAGAGAAGGACTTCCAGCGTTCTGCGCTGCGCTGCTTTGCCCTTGTGGAGGCTAGCTGATGGCGTTCTATCTGCGTTGCGTTGCGTTGCACCTTGCATGGCTTTGCATAGCGTTGCATGCGCATGGGCGTGGGGTTGGGTATTGACTTGATGAGTCCACGGTTGAATCTGATTAATGCTTTGGTTTGCGATTATGATACTTTCTCTCCTTTCTTGTCATGTACATTTCGGGTACATACTGAATAGCAGAGTCATATGAGTTATGGAATTCTAAATTGAATCACACTTATCGTGGAATCTTGGCTAGCCCAGACGGCAGCCTCCTGCTTAATGGGTATGTGTAAGGATAACAAAAACAAAAGGTATCTCTGTGCACTGACATGCGATGCAAAAGAGTTTGCTTTGTACGTAGATTCGACGCTCGAACTCAAGGCTCCAGCGACATCTTTTGAACGGCCTCCTCCACGCTCACTGTCTCCCCAGCACGTTCAGCACCGTTCGATTCGGCCGAGGACTCGGGTAGAATTTCACCGTTCATTGGAAAATCCTTCCCGGACCTGTCCGCGGAGTCACCATGTGCGTGCCTCCCTCTCGCCCAGCGGCGCGCCTTCGGCGGCTCAGGTTTCTGGCCGTGTTTGCCGACAGAGGGGACGTTCAGAGGACTGCTGTTTAGAGGGCTACAGTTGCCAGAAAGAGGATGCGCCTGAATGGCCGGGTGAGTCGAACGTCGAGGGGGCGGCAGGGCTGGAGGAGGATTCGATGCGGAGCGACGTAAGTGTGCAGGGACCGGTGGAGCAAGACCAGACATGCTTGTAGAGTTTCTGCGATCGACTGGAGGAGTGACAGATGTGGGAGCCATGACTGGACTCGATACTGCTGATGCTGCGTCCTCGGGGATTATCTCGGGATTGTCTTCCTCCTCGGCGACGCGTCTCCCGCGCCGGCGTCGGGATTTGGGAGGCTCCGGCTTGATTTTGGGTTTGATGGTCGCCCTGATAGCGTCTGTAGTTAAAGGATTCCCTGTGGGATGGGCGTCATTGCGACTGGGGGTGATGACGCCGGGTTTCTCGTGCTGGCTTGCAACTTCCTGCACGCTGATAGTCGAGCATGAAGCGGGCTCCAGGTCCATACCGAGGCGCTGCACCGCGCTCAGCTTGCGCTGCGCGTCTGGCTTGGGAGAACCCGATCCACCAAGCCGGGTGGGTGATAGAGTCCCAGGCGAACTGCCTTCCGTGCTGGTGGGAGTACCAGACTCCGCGTCCGTCTGGACGGCATCGGTCGCGGAGTCAAACGAGGCAACGCTCTCTCTATGTGACACAGCTTCCTCGTCTCGCAGCCACTCGACTGTTGCGCATCGGAGGACTAATCTCCTCGTAGTTTCGTCGACTTCCTCAAAGTGCAATATTCTCTCGAGGTCGCCCTCACTACTCGATAGCTGGCCCCGGCCCAAGATATTGAGCACTTTCTTGAGTTCTTCGCGCTTGTAGTGCGGAGGATACTTCAGCTGCGTGTGAGCGAGCAATGGGTAGAGAACGCGGAGGTATGTATGTCGTAGGGCGGACGCCTCTTCAGGCAAGTCCAAAAGATTTCGAATGAGAATGTCAACCAGGACATGAAGATCATTGGTGTAGAAGTATTCATAGGTGCTAGGGGTTGTAAATATGAGGTACAGAAGCTTGAGCGTGAGAAGCTGAAGAGATGTTTCCGCTAGGAATCGTTAGAAAATGTGTCACGCCAGAGGAGTATCTCGGAGGTTGGTACCTTCTCTGTTGATGAGGAGAATGATGTTCTCGCCGAATGTCTTGTAGAGATTCCCATGCATGGCCAAGACCTTGATGACCTTGTTTGTCAACGGAGTCGACGATTTATCGTCCACGGGATCATGCGCTGAGATCATGAACTGCTCGTTGAAAACCAACTACCGTTCGGGTCAGTAACATAGTCCAAACCTGCAGGGCCAGGTCAAACATATTCTCACCAAAACGCGAATCACAGGATAATGGTAAGGGTCGCTGGCATCGTACGAGAGATCTTCGATAATCTCAAAAAGGCTTTTGATAAAGTCATCGTCGACAAGTACTACCCAGAACACGTCGCCTATTAACCCGCTACTCCAAACAGCGAAGCCACCTGGAACACTCACCAAGATCCTCAATCCTTATCCGTTGGATTCTCGACATTTCATACAGCAAGTCCATCAGCATGCGATGAAGCGCAGCCTGATTCTCCCCATCCTTGATTTTGTAGATTTGCAAGAGCTCCAGCAATCGCGGGAATGAACCCTCCTCATTCATCATCCGAAAGGACTCCTCATGCTGCCGCCCATCGAACAGAAGGAACGAAACAATCAGATGTAGCGTGTCCGGATCATCCTCCTGTAAACCGTCGTAAACCGTCAGCGGGCCCAATTGCAAGCCAGAACAAAGAGAACAAAGCGCTTGGAAGGACGGAAACTATCTAGCGCATACCTGCAATAAGCCATATATCATCTGTCTTCGAACGTAGTCGGCATGGGCGGTAAAGATACTCGATGCGAGTAATTTATACGAGCAGCGCGAGACCTCGAACGGCGAGTTGAGGTATTCATCTGCGATTGACAAAGTCAAGTCAGCCCTCCATCAATCGGAGAAAACGTTGAAGCTCGTCTTCAATCCATGCTGCCATCAAGATCAAAGAACAGTCTCCCACCTTTGTACTTCGTAGCCAAACTCAAATATGACCGAAGCGCATTATCGATGAGGTCCTCGGTGCTGCAAGGAGTGGAAACAATCTCTTGGAGTTCTACCAAACAAACACGTTAGATACGACTGAACAACTCCCTGAGATAAGAAGAGCACAGTAAAGCATGAGAGAATAAGTAGAATCTCTGGTTATCGAGCAACCAGCCAAAAAAACAAACTCACCGTCCCAGAACTGCTGCTCGTTCTCCAGGGAGACCTCAAACTCCATTTCCCACAGCTCGATCGTCGTCGTCGTCGGACTAGTCGTCTCTCTGCACTCATCCCGTCTCGTGCCCGGAAACCTCTGGTTGGGAGGGCTGCTCCGTGCGAGGAGGCTGGAAACCACGAGGGAAACTGGGGTACCAAGCGATAATGTTGATGACGACGAATGTGGCCAAGGCAAAGCGAACAAGGCGGGCGGCGGGGGGATTTGCGGCGATCCACCGCTATCTTTGCCGAAGTGCTTTACTGTACTTCATAGTATGCAGAGCGCACGATATCATACGATGTACGGCTTTTGATTTCCCTTCAGAGGTATGAAGAGGATGAGAGGATGCTAATTCAGCCCCTTTACGACTTCTTCAATTGTCATTTCCTCAATGCTTTCCTCGTAGATCGGGTTATCAGAGCCACCACGCTCATTATGATTCGTGATCACTTTCATTTGGCAGTCTTCCAGCCATATATGTACACATTAAGTCAAACATTAAACGGGTGCAGTAATGGTAATGGGCGAAGAAGAAAACATAACGAGGCCGTGACAAGCCAGCCACTGGAAAGAAAACGTCATGTACTTTGGAGATGGTATCGATACTTCTACATCAAAAAAGAATACACATGAAGGGAAATATATACCCTAAAAAGGAAAAAAGGAAAGGCCGCTAATAGGCCGGACGTTTCAAAGGATGAGCTTCGGTGTTGCTACGAAAAAAGTCAGTTATGCTTCTAGCGAGAGAGTTGCTGGCGAGTACTTACAGAACATAGTCGTCAAGACTGACCACGCTCGGGTCGGCAAAGAGAAGATAGAAGTATTTCAGCGTCTCCGCAAGCCAGAATGACTCCATGGTGTCCCGCATCTTGGACTTTTCAAGGGTGACATCGTTGATAGCAGAATGTGCGATCTCGGTGCGGGTGTACTTGGACACAGCTTGGAACATCTCCCATCCCTTTTCTCTCCAGTAGTTGTCGCCTGTTATGCGGAACATGTAGAATACGGACTCGATGGCCTCCGGACGAAGGAGGTATGCGCGGTTCAGAATGCGAGTAACGCCTGGCGGTAGGCGTTCGTTCATGATTCGCTGGGTGACATATACTTCATGAGGGACAGCTTTATCCTTGGCATCTTGCTTCTTGATTTCATCTTCGTCATGGTTGATCAGGTCGTCCGTATTTGCCGAATCAGCGATGACGTGCCATTTTCCTGGTGTGTCACGTCTACGAATACTGTTTGTAGTAGATTGCTTAGTCGAGTCGCTCTCCTTCGATTTCTGCTCGATGGCTTTTTCTGCGTCCGCGATCCGCTGTTCTTTGTTAGGGTCGAGTGCATTCCAGTACTCGGTCTCGTTCCAGACACACGGCTCGCCCTTTTTGCAGGGAATAAGCAAGAAGTGTTCGGGCATGACGCCCGTTTTGGTGACCCCATAAGCCCAAACACACGCATTGGTCAGTTTAGCAGCGAGGTCCAGATCCCCTTCGATACCAAATAGCCTAGCACCAAGAGCAAGCATCCCACCCGCAAAGCAGCCCAGATGAGTTCCTTCGTAAGTCACAGAGACACTGTCAGGGGCCTGTTCTGTGATAGGGTGCGTCAGGGTCATGGTGCTCAAAAATCGGATATCACGCTCGTCTTTAACCATAGGCTGAAAGAGGAGATGCTCGCGCGTTGCGTTCATGGCTTTCTTATACATTGCGGGGTATTGCTCGTTGAGACCGCCCAAGAGTATGTACTCCTTGGGAAGGTACTCATAGGTTGAATCGCCGCGGGCTCCGAGCCCGAACTTGTGTTTCGGGAACGGCGGCGCGGCGAGACCTCCTGTGCAGGCCTTATCACCGGAGTTAGTAGGAATTGCAGAATTCGCGCCTTCATTCGGGGCGTCGTCATAGTTCGCCGGCTCCGCGTCGATATGTAAGCTACCACCATCGCGCCGATCAAAGAATTTGGCGTAGCTCTGTGCGTCTGTAGGCAACGGCCCTCCGTTTTGCGCTAGGGGAGGTGTATATGTGGCGGAAAGTACAGGAGGCGTGGAAGAAGATGCGGAAGACGATGCGGAGGGAGATGCAGAGGAGAATGGGGGCGTTTGCACAGGTGTAGGAGATAAGGCAGACGGCTCGGTATCAACTATGCCATTGCGAGGGACCTCGTGATTGAGCTGTGAGGCGGCGGTCCTGCAACCAGAAGCATCGATTTTGAGCGGCCACAGACCAGGAAGCATGGTTTGACCCTGCAGTTTCTCGAGCTCGTTGGTAATCCGTGCAATGGCATCGTAGTACTTGTCTTGCTTAGTTAATTGTGCCAGTCGAGTGAACTCGACAGACAGCGAGCCTATTTCCGCAAGGGTCGTTTCAAAATCAGCAAGATGAGGTTTAGCAGCGTCGTGCCTGTTCGTTTCACCTGTCAGTCCTTCAATACACTCAGACAATCAACAAACTGAGTTCTTACGGGGCCCATTTGTAGAACATGGTCGGCATGCGATTAGGCGTGTCAAACGCACCAATCACGATGTCCGCCAGCTCAACGGCTTTCTCGAGGAGTACGTCGTATTTGTGACCCGAAATATCATAAGCGCCGAGCAATCCTCCAAGATAGCGGATGACCGTTTCAAAGACAGGAATCTCGTCCCTCTTGCTAGTTGTGAAGTCGATCTTCTTCACCTGATCAACGGCAATGGCGAACTCGTCCTTAAGGTCCATGATCCAAAGCGTATCCAATGAATCCACAAGCGTGGCTGCCCATCCCATGAACGGGTCTCTGAACCCGCCCCGCAGAGGTTTGATCTCGTCATGTCCCATCGCAGAAGTCTTGTATCCATTCCAGGCATGTTCAAAGGCCGCCTTGATGGTCGACAACCGCTGCACCCGCTGTATCTTGTCGGAGGTCGTCTCGTCTCTAAAAACAGCCTGCACTCTCGGCAGTGCCTTGGATTTACCGGTGGGCAATTTGATGAGGTTTTCAGGCGCCAGAGGGTAATGTTCCTGCACCTGCTTCCAGTGCACGGCAGGCCGGTTCGTTTCGGGAAGGTCCACCTCGACCCGTGCGTGGCCGTGGTAGTCCAATTGGTAGGGGGGAACTTCTAAACCGTCTCCCTTGGCAGATCCATTGTCACCGGATGATGTTGTGGTCTGACCGGCGACCGAACCATCTTTGGACGACGCTTGTCTATGCGCACCGGACTCTAGATCCTGCGGGGGTTTTGAGTCGGGAGCAGCGGGCTTCTCGACTTGCTGAGCCGGAGTAGAGACTGACTCGGAGGTTGGCTCATTGGAGGAGGGAGATTCGGGTGCGATGGGTTCTTTGTTGTCGGGAGTAACAGGGGGTGGTCTCTGAGGGTACGTCTTCGGCTGATCGACAGGCGCGGGGATGCTCACGGTACTCGCAGATGTATCGCGGGATCGGGAGAAATGAAGGAAGATCAGCACGAAGATGACTGCAAAAACCAGCGAGACTCGATAGCGACGGGCTCGAAACATGGCAGGCAACTGATAGCGACGGTGAGGCGACGCAACTCAGATAAGAAAAATCAAAATCTCAACAAGAGGAATAAAAGAGTGACAGGAATAATGATGCGATCACGAGACACCAAGGAAAGGCCTTGGAGCCACACGAAAAAGAAATTGCACAAGAATAAACACAAATCAACAAGCTGAACGAGAGGCTGGAGGGACTGAGCCGTAAAGGTCACTCATTCTACTCCTCTGTGAGGGCCGAACAGCAGAATAGAAACCGTAAGCAGGCTCTCTCGGGGTTGAACCGTCGAAATGATCATATCACATCAATTAATGTCATGACAATCCTTCGGATATCAGCTTTCGCCTAAGAATCAAGAAAATTGATGGACTAGACTAGACTATCTGCTTAGTGGAAGCAAGGAGGGTGGAAAAGAAGCGAAACCAACGGATGTTGCAGCCAAGAAAACGCCAACATATGGGGCAAAGTCAGACACACTAGGTTGAGGGGAATCTGAAGCAAAGACGTCCAATTCTCGAAGTATCTGATCTATTCCAGTCCTTGCAGACAATGATGGATCAGACTGTAGTTCTCCTTTAATGCTTTCGCTGTCCCTCCACGTCTACCCTTGGACGCCTTTCTGTGTCCGTGATATGATATCTCATTTCGCGAGGACCCCGGATCAACATCGCAAAAGATCAGCGGTCGGAGTCCAGGCTCTTCGACCGAGTGGAATGGGCGAGATTAGCCCGTGGATGCTGCCCAAATGGATGGTCCAGATCCGATGATCCCAGCCTTTTATGTCTATCCACGACTGGGATGGACCCCAGTCTGCAGAGCATCAATATAGATATGGTACATAATAATAATCAAAGTCCATCATATGTCTGCACTTACCGAGTATGCTTATAGAATTCATCTCTACAAACGAAGCTGTATCCCGAAGTTTTACAGCTTGCTGTGGATACGCAATCCTCAATACCTTAGTTATGATCATTGCCGGACTGATGGGTCCTTCAGCCCTTCATGATTCATCTATTTCTATTTTTATCCAGGGGTTATTTGCATTAAACCATGACAGGGATTTTGTCTGTGGATACCTATCAGTCCAAGGGAGACGTCTGTGTACGGAGTATCCACGGAGCAGACTACTTCTTGAACAATTGACTGACCGAATAATACTTGGTGGCTGATAATCGACGCCGGTATTGCTCATACGGTACTTCTCTCATATATAACTATTTACTTAGAACTGCACATTTATGCATGTGTCGTCTATGGAGTACTACAGACGGGACTGATCTCCTTTGGACGCCATCCATCAGATGACTCTATGATGCTGGGAGAATACCACTAGCATTGACAACCACATAGGTCCTGAGTTTACCCTGTCTCAAATCGCATGCAAATGTCTATAAACCAACCGCTGTGCGTCCGCGACTGTCCTTGTTTACCCTCTGAAATTGTTGAATCAAGCCCAAAACGCCGGCACCCCGGCAATAGCATCAACATTCTCTCCGCCCTCTGTGTTATTATCATCCACGTCTTCCGCCAAGTTCATCCGCCACGAGTCCCCCAGATTGCTGTCGCTAGTCCCTACACCACCTGCACTTGATGCTCCAGCAGCATTAGGAGCTGGTCTTGACGGGTCGCTGCGTCCCGTGGCTACCGGTGACTCATCTCCATCCGCTATTGTCCCTGATATGGGAGGGTGCGCCCGCGATGATCTGTACCGTGGAAAGGCTGCTGCGCGACTCGTTCCTCGGAACCCTGAAGTCGATGGCTGATGATGCGGATCCAGGAGTATCGAAGGCGCCGGTGATCCATGGTCACCTAGACCAATCGGACCGTAGCGAGAAGGCCCAAATACAGATTGCTGGCCCGTTAAATGGCCTGCCAGACCGTGCCGAGCCTGGGTCTGATCGAGCTGGTCTCCAATAGTTCCCATCTCGCCGGCTGGTGGTGATCCAAGAGTAGGAAAGGCGGGGGGCGGATGAAATTGTCGTCTAGTAGCAGGATGGCTGCCGCGATGATTGGCACCGTAGTTATCCAGGAATCCGTAGTATGAGGCCAACATTTTGCCATCTTTGGTGGAGAAGTAATCTGCTCGGAGATCTTGCCTCGCCGGGTCTCGTCGATCTCCCAGGTTGATCACATTGGTTCCCTTCTTAAAATCGAATACAGCAAATGAACAAAGGTACCCCATCCCATCCACATGAACGGTGAACTCCCGAAAGAAGTCGATGAGACGATCGCTGCATTTGGGTAAGCTAAACCAGAGAATAAAAGGCGTAAATATCATGCTAAGGATCTCCTCCAGGAAGATCACTATTTTCATCTGGTAAAGCTCCGCGAACTCCCTCCTGACTTCGTCACTATGCAATCGCCCTTTCCAATGACTCGGAGCATAATGTGTATAGTTGATCACTTCAAGTAAAGCGTATTCCGGATCGAAGACAGTTGTCTCTTCCGGAACGAGGCCTCTGGCAACAGCCCAGACAGACCCAAACACCCCAAGGTAGAAGAGAACTGTTCGGTCATGCGTGATTTCGAACCCCAAAAACAGTTCTGGATCCACAATCGATGCCAGAGCCAACACAGACGCCAGTGCGCCCGACACAAACGCCACGAAACCTGCGACCTGCACCGTTTTATCTTTGGGGAATTGGTCGACATAGCGACTAGCAAAAGGATAGGACATATTGATTCGGCGTTCGAAGAGGTGCCAGAGTTCATTAAATTCGCGAAATTTCCACTCCGCCAGCGGGGTATATTGGCGTGAGCCGATCTGAGAAGGATTCTTCTTGTATTCGTTGAAATAACGAAAGAAATAATGCATCATAAAGTAGACGACAATAAACGGCGCTACGAATATATTCATAATGCCCGCGAAGATAAATCGTCGTCGCAGGCCCTCGCTCAGGGCCTTTCGATGAGTGTCCTTCAAGAACAGAGTCCGAACTTGGCCTTGTTCGTTAAAGACATAGTCCATTATACATAGGTTGATATTCCACTCCAGGGTCTGAGAAAACAATTGCTTGTTTCTGAGGAACGGGATGGGAAGCGTCAAGTCTAATATGTCTTTGTTGAACAAGGCGATAAGATAATTTTCCTTGCGCATCAGTCGATTGGCAATGTCGTGAGCATCCATTCGCTGCTTAGACTGGCTGCCCATGAATTTACGGTGTCTCGCAGACACAGCACCGGCCGTCGCAGGATTGGCGTCCCTGAGGGTCATGAGTCGACTGACAATCTCTTGCCATGATATAGTTTGGATGTCGGTATCAGAGACTCCAAGCAAGTAATAGTAGAAGTCATGCATGTGTTTCAGCCTTCTGATATCCAACAAGCACTGGAAGGCCTTTCCAATCCAGAACAGCGTAAGTAACCAGAGCAGAAAGGTGGACGACAGTGACATCTTAGTAGTACATTGCTCGATCAAGATATCGTTCAATGTCTTGCTCCCGCGAACCTTGTGGTAGTCGATGCAGTTGGTGAGGAATGTGCTGAATCCTATAACGAATGCAAATGTTCTATGACGGCACCGGTCCTCTGTCAGAATGCATAACACAACCAGGTCAGAGTGAAAGCACGTAGCAACTTACAACAGACTCAGAACTCGGTTCAACAGAATGGACCAGATCCCGTTCCCAAGGAAATACGTGTAAACGTCCTTTAGGAAGTTGTCCAAATTTTCAACATTTGCCCACATCCACATTGCTTTCTCTTTCGGATGCACCGTGCTCAAGTTGGGCTGCCCTAACGACCAGCGTACAGCAGGGGCGCGCCTTCGATCGGCATGGTGTAGCGGCTGTTGTTCTCTGGCTGCTCTCCCGCGAGCTCGACCACCGCGGGTTGAAGGTCCGGGAAGAGAGGGCTGTCTACCGTCGGGAGAGAGGTGGGAAGTTGGAGGTGGCGGCAATCGAGATTTAAGATCGTCGTCGTCGTGATGCCCTTCTACGAGAAGGGAAGCTGGGACATCATCGTCATCGCCATCCTCGAAGTCATGACCTGGTGAGGTATCTTGCGCCCACCGCGGACGGCTAGAGTGGCGATGACGAGAATTTGACTTGGACGGCCCAGCGACAGAGGCTTTCCGAGAGCTCTTTCTACTTATGAAGGCATCATTCGGGTCCAGCAGCCTACTCCGCTCAGCGTCGGCCATGGCGTCCTCGAGTTCGCGATCACTATAATGCTCTCCAGGACCATCCTCCAGAGTTAATCCCGCGCGCTCCTCCACATCCGATGAATCTGATGTCGCATCGTGGTGTCGAATCGTCTCGTATACAGAGGGTGAGCCGTTCAGAGGAAGGAACCGGGATAAGATATTCGATGTCATCATCTTGATCCTAAAAGTGCATACATGGAATCGAAAAACAGATGCGTAAATCTTCAGTGAGTCCAGCACATGGCAGCGACTTTGTTAGCCGAGAGCCTGTATCAGTTACGGGATATTCGAGAAGCAATCCCAGGTGCGTCCGCTGCACAAAGAACGGTAAACAGGCAAATCCTAAAGCCTCTCGATATCAAAATGCCTATTGCAGAAGCCCAACAAGCTCCTATCTGCAGTTTGTGTAGAGAATTGAAGGAATATTATGACTGCCTTTCCATGAAGGTCGTTTGACCATGCATGGGTGGTAGATCTGATGACCCAGTCAACCCTCATGATAAGGTACCTATGATGCAGGCGGTAAGGATCACCACATGGTATCACTAATGCCTGAGGCTACTAAAAAGGTCAGGTGATAATCGATCAGGCGAAACAAGGGCCACGTGATTCTACTTATAGTGACTCAGCAATCTCCTTTTTCCCTGACGACACGAGTCAGGCGAAGATCGTTGATTGGCCACGGCAGGTCCGATGGCTTAAGTGAAGGCTTTTGTCTACCTAGGTACCCTCTAGACATCTTGGTATGGGTTTGTGCGGGGTGCAGTTTCTTTGTCTGCTTGCTTGCGTACGCAAGTGTGGAAATGAGGCAGGCCTAGAAGCTGGGAACATGACCATATCGTGGGAATTGCCTCATTTGTGAGAGACGCAGCTATGGCCTGTCTCCCCTGTCTGTCCCTCTATATACATGGCGTTGAGGTGTCTTATCACAGGAAGGTTATCAGTATGGAAAAAGTTCCAACTCACTCAAGATGGCTGAAGTGCTGATTTTGACTCTCCTGGGCTCCACCTTCGCAGAATCACTTAGACCTCACCCATCTTCCGAGTCCAACGACTGGACTGTCTGGACGTCTGAAGCTTGCTCTACTAATCCGTACCTTGATTTTTTTTCTCCCTTTTCCACTTGAGTTTCTGGTATGCAAAAGTAAGAAGAAGAGTGATAAAGGTATACGAAGAAGCTTGATCTGGTGATACTCATTTCCTGGTGCAAGTCACCGACTTTCTAGCTAGCAGTCGGTGCCTCTCTATGTGGATATAGTAGTACAGAAGAGAGACACTATAAGATCCTAAGCATCTGCCGAGTTACGATGGCCTAGATGCATCCTAGAAACTTGAGCCCCAAGCTCTAATGTCCTTGTCTCGGCATGCGCCTTTTAGTTTCGATTCTTACCCCCACGTACAGAATCGAGTCTACGGACTAGGACTAGTGATTACTGGATGGCGTAGAGGCTTGGGGGTACCATTACTCCGGACTCACAATGGCTTACCTTATCATTGGTCGAAAGAAATCCCGGGTTGAGGGGCATTGGGCCCTGACTGGTACGGCCCATCGACTGTCGGCTATACTTTAGATAGTCGATGACTTCGACAGTTCTTCCTCTAGGCACCGTTTCAGAGCCGCCACAAGGGCGACCTATAGTATCTAGCAATGATGAAAATAAGTAGATGTATGAGACCATGGATTACAAATTAAGCCTTCTGACTTATTGGTTGCCGAGATAGTCCCTGACAACGTGATTCGCCCATTCATCTCAATCACGAAGATGATCATGTTGCGATCAAATCGGCAGTCCCAATAATAGTTGCCTGATATTGTAGACAAGATAGGTAGGTAACTTTCAGCAAGGTCCATATCACCGAGGAGGATTATGAAGATGGCCGACCCTCTTCCGCGCGTACCCTTAGGAAGCTTCACGTTATCTTTAAGATAGTGCTTGAAGGACAAACAAAAGATCCAAGTCCGTGGTAGTAAGCGTATTCTCACCACTTCAGCACAACACCAGAGAGGGAAGACAAGAAGAGAAAAGACGACTAATTAGTGATAAGGGTTCTTTGTCGGCCAACCTCATCTTCGTCATCCTTCCTTCAGGCTTCGTCGTTTGCACCTGAGAGGCCCAAAGAACAGAAGACTAGGCTAGTCTCCTGCGAATAAAAGCTCTCCATCCAGGGGATAATTGGAGCGATAGAGATTGAAGTACCAAGAAGTCAATCGTCCAAACCATTATTATCATTGATATTAGTATTAATATTATTATTGCGTTGGGAGTCATTCCAATTTCCAAACTCCCCTCTGTCCGTCCCGCTCCAGGCTGGGATAGCCGGAAACCACTTACCTTGCCTCCATTCGACACCGCCTCCCGCTTAGGACACGCACCACCACAACTCGCTCGTCTTAGATTTCTGGGCATCCTGTGTATTTCAGCGGGATCTGCAACAGTACAAAGTCCTTTCTTACCAATCCATTGATACTTGCCTTTCACTGTGGCTCTTACAAACAAAGAAAAAGAAGCCATTAAATAAAAAGCAGGCTGATGAAAGTGTGTCTTTCCCAAATGCATGATCCGTCCAACCTAGCTACTACCTAGGTACTACTAGGTAGGTAGTACTACCTAATTCCCTCTACATCCAATGATATCACGTTATTCCTCCAGTCCAGCACATGGCCAGTCGGCCACCCCAATGGCCTCGTACCAACGGACCGTTTCTCCAGACTTTCCCTTTTCCCACACCACCTTTGCCCGGGCTAACCTAACGATCATGGTTCTTTTAGCAGTGACATTGTGACGATAAACCGGTCGTCGTTGAAGGTCTGGTTATTTGCCATACCTCTCAGACATTTCTTCAGCTCTTCCACACTTTTTATTCTGCCGCCCGCGCAACCCCCTCTCCCCTGAACCGACATTTCGTGGATTGCGGCCCTTTCGCTTCGTCGCTCGATTGCCCAACGCTACTATCTCAACGCGCCCCTCCGTCTTCAAACCGAATGTGCGACTATACTCATAATCTTTCGCTTGGACTCCATGCGTTCACTTAGCGACCCACTGGACGACAAAGGCCCTCAATTGTTCGAGGACGGTTGCGCAGCGTCATTTGGTTTCAGTGTGCTGCAAGGTAACACTCTGGAAGCGAAGACGTCGAGGTGTGCGTCTACTTGTGCGTGCGTTTTGCGTGGTTTTGTGCTGGCCCTGATCTGCGTATCATACGTTTCCTAGCGACCTCGTCTGTCTGAGCACCGCTGTCACCGTTTCCTCGTGTGCCGCTGGCAAGATGGAATCGGAAAGTTCGAATTCAAACGGGTTCAAGCGGACCTCTGCCCACCACAGCATCTACAGTCGCCCAGTGGAACGGCGTCCCAGCAAGAAGTCAACTTCCAAAGACCGTCATGGAATGGTCTACCCTGATAGCTTTAGAGAGACGAGCATCCGGACGGTGACGCCAGACCCCTCCTCCGAGACCGGCAATAATTCCCCTCTGTCGGAAGCTGAATATATGTCTGGAAGTGCTGCCCCATCACCTCGTGCCGCATACAGAACAAGAGTGCCCGATCATGAATCTCGTCGCGACTTTCAAGCCTATCATTCAGCGGGAGACGAGGATGAGGGTCAGGTGGAATTACGAAGCCAGCGGGCGCGGTCCCGCACCACGACCTTGGACGACCAGCGCAGCGAAATCTCCAATTCCTTTCTCACCCGAACTCGAAATCGCCTTGGTTCCATCAACACCGCTTCTCCCCCGCCCAAGGCCTCTGAAGACCAAGCGAGCTCCATTGGTTTCCCATCAATACAACCAGCTCCATATTTCAGCCAGACACTTGGTCGTCATCGTTTGAGTCGAAATCTTGGTAGCTCAAACGTAGTCACCACCGTTAGTACGAACCCGTCCTCGACAGCCTTGTCAAGCAGCGATGCTTCCAAAATACTTCAGCTCATGAAAACGACGTGTGGAAGAATGCATGGTATTCTGTCATTTCGGACATCTTCCACCACAGCCTGGACGTCAGGCTACTGCGCTATCAATGTTGCAACAGGGAGTCTAATATATCAAGCCAAGGGAGAACCTGCACTTGCGAAGACATTGATTCCGGACCTGCGTGGATGTCAGGTTCGCTCTCTTGTCGATCCAGAAACTGGAATGAACTATCTTAAAGTTTCCACGTTTACCTCAGGACTCGGTATTGAACTGAGACCCCACGTCAGTGAAACATTCGACTCCTGGCTGGCGGCCTTACTGTGTTGGCAGCCGATCCGACCAAAAGGCGTGCAAAATAAGATGACGAAACCTCAGTCGGTAGCGATCGGAGAACGTCGCCTTGCGGACCGTCGGCGAAATTCTGAGAGCACTGTTCAAAAAGACGCGGCCATTATCAAAGTCGGTAAGATGCTCCTGTGGGACAGACCGAGTACGTCCGGTCCCCGTCCCAATTCCGGCCATCGTGTTTCGACCTATCGCCAGCAAAGGGCGCTATCTTCGTCATGGCAGAAAGTCAGCTGTACGCTGCAAGAGAATGGTGCTTTCAAACTATTCACAGAAACAGACATCACTTTAGTCACTTGCATTCAATTGTCTCAATTATCTCGTTGTGCGGTGCAGCAATTGAACGAGTCTGTTCTTGAGGACGAATTCTGCATTGCCATCTATCCTCAGTATGCGGCGCATTCTGCGTCCGGGTTGACCCGGCCGGTCTATCTTGCGCTAGAAAGTCGAGTGCTCTTTGAGGTCTGGTTCGTTCTCTTGCGCGCTTTTACCATTCCCGAACTCTACGGCCCTGAACTGCCTGTTGAGGAGAACTCGACAAATACAGCAGGTTCAGGTGATACGAGCTCGCCACCCACAAGAGACATGTTTCGAATCGAAAGGATGCTCTCGGTCAGAGTGACAGAGGCAAAGCTGCAACGTGACAGGCCAAGTGAGGAGACACCGAGGAGCCGGAAGCCTTCGAGGTCTCACAGCAACCCGGTACCGGCGCCCGCTGTCAGCGACTACTACACGGAAGTTCTTCTCGACGGCGAAATTCGAGCGAAGACAGCCGTCAAATTCCGCACGTCCAACCCTTTTTGGCGCGAAGATTTCACTTTCAATGATCTCCCCCCTGTCCTTTCGCAGGTTTCCGTCCTCGTCAAAACTCTCAACCCGACCCAGAAAGACTGGACGCTCATTGCCCACGGGTCCTATGCTCTGCACCAGGATGCAAATGCCCTGCATGCTTTGGATGATGTGGAGATATCGTCACATGATGCCACGTACGGACGGGTGGAGATACGGTTGGATGACTTGGAGTCTGGCGTAGAGACCGAGAAGTGGTGGACCATATTGGATGAACGGGATCAGTCGGTTGGCGAGATGCTGATGAGAGCTCGGATGGAAGAGACGGTCGTTCTGATGTCGCATGAATACACGCCCATGTCCGAGATCCTGCATGCCTTTACCAATGGGCTTACAATCAACATGGCTCAGATCATCTCCTCCGAACTCAACCAACTCTCAGAGGCTCTACTCAATATTTATCAAGTCTCGGGGCAGACGGTCGAATGGATTTCCGCTCTGGTTGAGGACGAGATCGATGGCGTTCACAAAGACTCGACTGCGAATAGACTCAGGTATACTACAAGGATCCATTCAAATGATTCAAGGGAATCAGGTCAAGATCGAGAAGTCCTTGTCAGGGACATGGGACGAACAGCGACCGTGGAGGCGAATCTTCTGTTCCGAGGGAACTCCCTTCTCACCAAGGCACTGGACTTGCATATGCGTCGGCTCGGGAAGGAATATCTCGAAGAGACCATCGGAGAACGGCTACGCGAGATTGACGAGAGCGATCCTGAATGTGAAGTTGACCCTTCGCGAGTCCATCGTTCGGACGACCTGGAACGCAACTGGAGGACCCTCGTCTCGCTTACCACGAGTGTTTGGAAAGTAATCGCTGGCTCCGCTTCTCGCTGTCCTGCAGAGTTGAGACTCATATTTCGGCATATCAGAGCTTGCGCGGAAGACCGCTACGGCGATTTCCTGCGAACGGTGACATACAGCAGCGTCTCAGGTTTCCTTTTCCTGCGATTCTTCTGTCCAGCAATCCTGAATCCAAAACTCTTTGGATTGTTGAAAGGTAAGATGCCTTGTCTCTCCATTTCTCTTACTTTCGTTCTTTCCCGCTAATCCTAGCAGACCACCCTCGCCCTCGTGCTCAACGAACGTTGACATTGATCGCCAAAGCCTTGCAAGGCCTTGCGAACATGACGACGTTTGGTAGTAAAGAGCCGTGGATGGAACCGATGAACAAGTTCCTGCTTGGCAACCGGGCCGAATTCAAGCAGTTCGTTGACTCAATCTGCGCGATTCCTGCTGACCGTCCGACCCCTATCGTCACGCCATCTTATGCGACGCCGATTCAAATTCTTAACCGGCTGCCCCCTACCTCTCGCGAGGGCTTCCCTAGTCTCCCGTTCCTGATCGACCACGCAAGGAGCTTCGCGAACTTGATAAGGATCTGGCTTGAAGCAGCCCCGGGAAGGCTTGCTGAGCTGGAAGAGATGGATCCGGCCGTTAAGAAGTTCCACGAGATGGCGCTTCGCCTCCACCAACGTACCAAAGAGTGCCTTAGTAAAGCGGAACAGGCAGAACGCCCGAATGGCAATCTCGAAGTCAAGTGGGAGGAACTGGTGGATTCCATGGAACGATCAGCGACTTTCTACGAAGACAGCTCCAAGCCGACGACTCCGGCGACAGAAACGGCGATCGTAACGCCAGCATCCGTTCCTGGCAGTCACAGGAACTCGATTGGCTACTTCGCTTCACGGCCTTCGCTGCCTCGCCGGTCCACAGATTATGGTCCAGAAGCTGAGGAGGAGACTCCTCCTAGCTCTTCGTCAGCAACCTGGGACCAGAGTCGTGTGCCCTTTTCAATGCCCCGCTGGTCGGACACTCGAGACAGCACCGGCAGCTCAAAGAACTCTTCCACCTACTCTCTTGAATATTCTGACCCTTCCAAGGCGCGCAGATCTAGCATGACGAAAGAGACGTCAAGCAAGTATCGGTTCTTTGACTTTGTACCGGCCTCGTCAAGACGCAAGGCCAAAGACCGTGAAAGTACTCAACAACACTCGCGCGAAGAACTACGGAACGAGTTTTGACGTACGAGTCTCTACTAGCCTATCTACTTCTTGGTCAGATCATATCCGACGCGTTAAACGGTCATGATCTAAATATAGAGCATGATATTTTTCAAATGTTATTGGCTGATATTATATCAAGCCTGGCTCGCACTCTCAGCCCGCTCTTTGTTATTCCCGGAGCGTCACTTCTCGTCTTGGATAATGGACGGGACATGTATGACTCCTAGGGGGAAAATGCAGTTGAGAGAAGACTTTCTGTTGTATAACAAGGAAGGCCTCCTGTGAGCAAAATCTTGCATCATCTGGTGTATATTCTACCTCATTCCGGCGATTGATCCCATGTGTTGATGATCTGACGTTCTGCCCCTTCTTGGATTTCTCTTCCTTTCTACCCTGCTCATTCTCCTTGAATAGCATTTGTCACGGTGTTGATACCCTGCTTTGATAGCTGCTTTTTTGGCTGGAAAAATGTCCGCATGGCCTTTCATCTCGTACACGCCGCTATGGACGGGAGGGTTTCGCTGGACTTTTTCATGGTACAAAAACAGTTCGTGTTCCTTTGTGTACATAACATTTGGCCTTTGCATAGATGAAACAACTACTATTCATCCAATAGTTCCTTTTGCTTTGAATGGCCCGACCAGACGGTCTGTGTTGAGCTAGGTAATAGATTTCGGACAATGCAGTGTATGGATTGTAGACGAGTGAAGGGATCAATCTGTCTTCCGAGACTGAATCGTGTTCAACTCCCGTCGCTCACATACGCTTATCATGGGGATACTTGCAAGTAGATATACACCTCAAAACACGGCCACTCAAAAAGCCCTAAACTAGAATGCCAAACAATATCCGCAACAGCCACATGTGTCTATCGCCATCTCCCGAAGTGCACTCACATCCACAGACATATCTTACCGCTGGCAGTACCGCCTGCGATCCAGTTCGTGCTGCGGTGAAAGACAGCCACAGCAGGAACGGCGGTGATACCCTCACCTCCTAACTGAGCGAGCTGGTCACCGGAGCTACTGTACACGTCTACGAAACGGTTCATGTTTCCGATGCAGAAGCGCTGGATAGGGGATTGCGGGTTTGCTTGCCATTGTGGACGGAGACTGCGACACATCCTATGTTAGTTTCTGCGATAAAGAGCTAGAAGATGGCAGGGATAGGGAAGGAAAGCATTACATGGTCACCCATCGTCCCGTCTGGCAATTGTGGCGGACGACAGTGTCGGGTTTCATTTCGGCGTCGGAGAGGGTGTGCCCCGGTTTCCAGGAGGCGATGCCCTTGGAACCGAAGTCGTAGATCTTGAGCGTGTCGTCGTAGGAGGATGTCGCGATCTGGCCGGCGCTGTTGAATGCGGCGTGGGAGACCGAGAGCCGGCTGACGTGCTCGCCTACCGGAACGGGTTCCTCGTGGGAGAGCTTGCGTATATCCCAGAGTCGCATGGTGCGGTCGAGAGAGGCGGTTGCGAAGAAGTGCGGGTGGGTTGGGAAGAGCGAGAAGCCGCCGATTTTCTTCTCGGAGAGTTGCCAGGTGGCTACGGCGCTTCTGCGCGAGGCGCGGGTGTCGTAGCGGCCGAAGGCGCCGTCTAGGGTTGTCCAGTAGAGGGTGTTGGGGTCGTCGGCTGCCATGTCGATGCCAGATATGGGGATGTCATCTGAGGTTGACTCTGGGGCGTATTTCTCGACTGAGGTCGTCTTTTCCAGGTCCAGCTCGCGGATGGAGCTATCGTAGCTGGCGCTGTAGAGATGGGTTGGCTTTGAGGGGTGGATGTGCATGGAGCTGATGGTCCGTGTGTGTGGTTTGAGAGTGGTCAGGACTGGGTCTGGGTCATCGTCCTCTGCGTCTTCGTCGTCTTCCTGCTTGACGGCTGAGATTGGCTTCTCTTGCGAGGCGTCTAGGACACCGAGGTTGCCCATCTTGTCTGCGGCGAAGATCAAGGGCTTGGCCTCTGATGGGTGGAACGTCATCGTGTAGATTCGTTCGGGGGTGAGCTTGATGCCTGTGATGCAGTCATTGTTAATATTTCTAGCTACAGCATGTCGCAGCTCACACAGAAGGCTAACGCACGATGAGGTTCCCACGCCTCCCACAGCCGCAACCCGCTCATTTCCTCCCTCAGCGCCTTCAGCTCCTTATCTGTCGTCTTCTTGATATCCTCATCACCAAAAGTCCGCTGATACGGCATCGCAACTCCCTTCGTCACCACATCCACCCCGATTAGACTGTCACCGCTGAGCTTCTGCCCGGACACAAGCATCTCACTGAAAGAGAACGCATCCGACTTGCGAACTCTCTTCGCCCGCTCCGCCTGCTGCGCAGCCTCGTACTGCTCGTCCGCCTTGCGTTTCGCAACCTCGCTATCCGCCGCGAGCCCTCTCAACCGCGAGGACATGCGCCGCGGTACTAGGTCCTCATCTTCCTTCTTAATCTTCTTCGGAGGAGGCTTCTTCTTCGGCTTTGTCTGACCCCCTGGTGAGCTTCTCGCTAATTTGGGTGGGAAGAGGCCGGACGACTGGGCGTCCTGGGTCAGCTTCTTGAGGAGCGCATCACGCTCGGCGATGTTCGCGAGACGCTGCTTTTCGAATTCGGAGAGCTCATTATCGGCGCCCATGATAGTGACTGTCTTGCGAGCGCCTTGAGCGTCCACTGTGTATACCAATGCCTTGACAATCGAAGGAGTGGTGTAGATTCAGTTCTGCGTCGCAGATCAAACCCGCGCTTCTGCCTGGGAAAACGCGTGCTGCAATGTCGCGCTATCACGTGATATAATGGGATGTGCTGAATGAGATCGGAACAAATCATTCAGTGCAGTTATTCTTTCTTGGTTTCATATCAGAAAAGAATACAACACAATTAAATAATAACCGTTTGCGGTGTTTTTTGTATTAAAAAGCGTGGTTTTGCGCTACCTACTATGCGGTCGACCTAAAGAGGTACTCCGTGTTTTTTTTGTTTTTTTTTTTTCGAATTTCTCCGACTCTTTTCAACTGTCTACGTCAGAGTTTCGCAGACTTCCTGACGAGCCTCAACGCCCAGTCCTCGGCCGTGGTGTACGATGCCGCTACGCTTCTCGCGCACTTGCCTGGCGCAAGTAACCGTTAATTCCCCCGTCCCGTTCCTCTACCATACCCGGACACTCGCTACACCGCTGAGCTATGCAAAATGGAATGCCCGACAGAGCCGATCATTTCAGTCGACATCGACTACGTTCACATCACCCGAATCAAGCCTCGGTAGTGGCGAAGAGTCTGTTCATAATGGGGAGAGTTCTGAAAATGGGACACCTCCCTTGGAATCCGATTCTTCCTCCCAGGCCCCGAGCAACGATGGCCGTCGATCCCGGAAAAGTTACCTGAAGAAGCGCGGCGCCACGGTCTCACAATCTCGGGCACCACCGTCCTCACGACCACCACACAAGCCACTCACGATGACCGAGAGCGAGAAGAGGGCGTTCGGTGGTCTGCTGGAGCAGATGGGTGTGGAGGAGAAGGATGACCCGGAGGCGGCTACAGAAGAAACAGTGAAGCCGGCACTGAGCAAAGACGAGATGTCTAAGATCTCCGATATCTTCAACTCTGTGCTTGAGGACCTTCGGAAGAAAAAGAAGGGTTCTGAAGCTTCGACGGAGGGTGCCGCAAATCGCAAGTCCCGGAGGAAGGTAGATGAGCCCGCGTCGACTTCGAAGCCGGGGCCCCAGGAACAAGCAGGTGACTCCAATCCTCCAGAGTCGCGCAGTGATGTTCCTCGCTCTGCCGAGCTGGCTATTCAATTCACCGTGCAAAGGGAGTCGGCGAAGATCGAGCGCGCGCTCCGTGCGGCGATTGACGAGGGCAAAGGGGATACTGGGATCTGGGAAGTGTGCAAGGAGAGAGTATTTTCGATGCTACGATATCTTGGAGATAGCCGGTTTCCGGAAGACAGTGGCACGTCTCCGGAGAGCTCAGCGGGCGAGCCAACACCCGCAGCCCTCTGGAGGTTCCTGAATCCGTGTCCGTGGAAGCAGTGGTGACAGAACTCTACCCGAAGATGCTCCTCGTGGCATTCCGTCTTCTGAACTCGCATTTCCCCGGCTCGCCCTTGATCGGTCAGTTCCGCTCGACCATCAGGTCGCACGGCAGGACCTCAGCGGTGCTGGGGAGTTCGACGGGTCTATATAACGAGCTGATCTACTTCTACTGGCGCGGGTGCAGTGATATCCCTAGTGTGGTGTCGTTGCTGAAGGAAATGGAGACTACAGGGGTGGAGCCGGATGAGCGAACCTGCGGGCTGCTCAAGGCTATCGCCGATCAGCGGGAGCGGGACCTCAAAAATCACCGGCAACAGGTGCCTCGCGAGAATCAAAATCGGGGTTCGCTCCGTGATCCGTGGTGGGATATGGCCCCGAATCGCACAGCTGTGAAGGAGTTGTTTGGGGAGAATGGGTGGTTGCCGCGACTGGAGAAGCGAGTGGAGGAGATTCGAAACCTACAGAGCTCGACGAGATTACTTGCAGATAGGCTTAATCTGTAGTGGTAAATGCAGTCCTACTGCCGGTGGCAGTCGAAAGGAGGTGTATATTATACAATACCGGAACTCTACATTAGAATATGAATACAATATCCACTCCACTTATATTCCTCATCTCATCGAGCCTGTACCCCTTTCAGACTAGATCTTCAACCCCAACTCCTTCCCAAGCCAACAGCAGTGGAACCCATGAAGCCCAGACACTGCTTGATACCGGTAATCTTATCACCGATATACTTGTTATCCTCGATGCGACGGTCTACGAAAGCCTGCGTAGCGGAGAGATCGGGACTCGGGTCGCGGGTCATGACAACCTCGGCGCTGGCGTAGATGGCCGAGATGGACAGCCGTTTGGTATACCACGATGCATCGACCGAGGCGTCTCCAGCCAGATCCAAAATGTCAGAGGACAGAGCATGCAGTTCGGAGAGCGAGAGCGGGATATTTCCAGCGAGCGACATGAGAGCCAGGGCCTGGGGGAATAGCAGTAGTGGTCAGCACCATCCAATTGTATGCAATGCAATTCCTAGCAGAACTTACACCCTGCCACTGATGTTTAATCTCCGCATTCATCCGCAACCGCTCCATGATGAGCAACTTGGTCTTCTCTTCGACAGACAACGCCTTCCCCTGGGACTCGATTTTCTCAAAGAACCCGTTTTCGACTTTCCCTCGCAGAAGGCCGCGCCGGCTCGCCAGCCAGAAAAGGATGAGATCGAACTCGCCGCGTGGGAGCAGCTGGACCGAGACATCGAGGAAGCCTGCGTCGCGGGCGCCGAGGGTCAGAGCTTCGGGTGTGAAGCCGTGCTTGGGGACATGGTTTAGCGCGGCGGAGAGGATGGTGGTTTGGGAGTTTGTGTATTCGTGGGGAGGCAGCTCGGGGTGGTATTGCGAGTGATAGGATCTTTTAGCGATACATTGTTGCGGTCGTGAGAATTGGGTCGGTTGGTGGATGAGACGGCGCGGTGAGCGTTGAGTCTGGTATAGACGGCGGGCTTGCAGGGCGATGTGGGAGGAGTGGTTGGTACGAGAAGAGAGGGTAATCGAGGACGAAATAAGGGTGTTGATTTGTCTTCGGGAGCAGCGAGAAAGGGAGACTGGCTGGGCCATCGTTTCTGATTGTAGAGAGTACTTTAATTTTCGAGAAGTTCCCGTTCCTCTTGTCGGTGGTCTTCTCAAAGTGCAGTTGGAAAAGTTACTAGTGGCTTGATGAATAGGATGGAAAGTCGGGCCAGCCGGAGAAAGGAATCTCGGTATAAGCGGTGGTCTGAGCTGAGCCAAGCTGATCTTCCTGTCATGAATTCATTCTTCACCAACTCAACAGCAATTAGACATGGTGTTATGCTTTATCTTGATTGCTGATAATGAATCATCTTCAGTCGGTGGTGACTGGACGAAAGTGGTCTTATATATCGGCTTGCATTGTATAGGTTCTTCATTGATATATTTCCTTCCTAGGAATGTCTCCGAATTGTTCAAGAGCAGTACATGTTTGACCATGGTTAAAACTTCTCCATACGACAGCACATTTATATACATCTAGAAAGATAGGGTGATCAGGCCGGATCACCCACACCAGTATGCTGCAGCGCCAACTGCTCCAAATTGAATCACATTTGGTTGGTCTGGCTGGTTGTTACGGAGACCTGAGAACAGTAAGGTAGTGATTACTACTAGTAGTACATCTCTAGTGGTGTAGCTATCATCATTCGGAATCAACATAATTACCTGACAGTTTGATGAATATAGAATTGAGATTAATAGTAGAGTAGTTAAAATCAATAGATCATGTAACAGACAGCAGCACATGGGATAAACTAGTCTCTACTACTGCGTACTCCGTACTTAACCCCAGGTGCGTGGCCATTATTGGACCCATCCACTTTTTCCGCTTCCGCCTCTGCTCAGCGCTTCTTTCCACTCCTCATGTCAAAACAATCGATCCTTCTATCAAAAAGTTAAAGTCTTGACTATTGAGCATTGGGAGAACCCATCTTCCTCCACAATTCAGATTTCTTGAATCGCTGGCAGATACTCTGTATACCGGCAAGAGTTGCATGAACGCTGCTTGACCTCAACAGTCCCAATCAGCGTCCTTGTCATCGGCCTGTTGTTTTCTTTTTTCCCCATTAGTATCCCCCTCGATCCCCTCCGATATTATCGTCTCTTATTACTCTAGCCCTCCCCCTACTTATCGTTCATTTGCTACTCCCTTCCCCAGGTCTGAGAGCCCATTCGCTCTTAAATCCACAGCCTGGACGGACACCAAGCAGGACAGACCAGACAGACCTTCAACTCGGGAGGATTCAGATTCCAGACCATCCCATCCCATCCCATCTGATTGTCATCGTCAACTGTCACATCGCATCTCACAGCTACCAACAATAACACAACATCATGGGTGAGTGATCATCTATTTACATCTTTCTTCGTTTATTTTCTTTTCTTTTTCAAGTCCTCGGCATTATCAATCGTCATCACCACCACAACCACAACAACACGTATCCCTCTGTATCCAGGGTATCTCTGTTGCGTCTCCCCTCAATTTCTCCTCCATACAAGTGCTCTTTACTACCTTACAGAGCACTGTTAGCCTTGTGTCGCTCTGCTGAACAATCACCTCCACCTTTTCCCTTCTGTCAACCCCCTGTCTTGGCCTCCTCCAAAGCTACTCTCAGTCCAATCACTATTCGAGGTCCTGCACATACCGTCGGCTTGGACGCTTGACATTCAGCATTCAACACAAACTATCTACTTTGTACCTTAGTTTTCCCTCCCACCCTCCGTCCCTTCTCCCCCCAACCCAAAAATCATCCACTACCATCGTACTACTGTACCTACTACTGTAGGAACCATCACCACACCCCCTCTTCCCATCCGTTTATCCACCCGCTTCATCCCTTCATCAGTCCATCCAATCTTTGGTCCCTCACTCCATCAAAAGTTCGTTTCCCCCAACATTCCCGGAACTCTACCGCGCTGTCAATACCAGGTAAGAGCCATCGCTAGTCGTCCGCGAGCGAATCATCCTGGTTGAGAGAGCGCTGCATCCCTTCGGATCCCTACGGGATTCCAATCAATCGTTCCCATCCCTCTCTCCCTCCCTCCGTCACCTTTGCCCTGACACTCCCGATGATCTGACAGATACACATGCACATGCACACACACAAACTGGTTGACAAAGTGTCATTGATTTCTCTTTCCGTCTGCACCCCGCTATTTACTCTCACACAAACTCATCTTTCTCGTTTCCTTTGATCGTTTCGTTTCTCCTACCTTTTACCCTTCTCCACCTCCCTAGCTCTTGCTTGATTATCTTCGCTGTTCCTATTTCCGATCGCGTTGATACTGGACTTCTGGCTTACTTTAAGTGCTCGTCTCCAGCCGACGTCTATCGACCATACCAAGTAAGTCATCTGCTTTACTGTCGTGCTCTTGTCTAGAGTACATTCTACAGTACATCACCTGCCATCAGACCGTCACTCTCAAATGTCCTTGAACCAAAAGCATTCTTCCCTTGCTCAGAAATGAGTTGCCTATGCCTTCATAGTTCCTATTTCCTGGGGCTGATGGCGCGCGGCTGATGATGCCGGGTACCCACTGTTCCTATGGGCTGCATGTAACATAGTTCCGACCTCTCGTTTGCACTCAGCACCATGTTGTTTGTCTCGGGATTCCCTCTACCTTAATTGTCTCAATTTTGTCCTTCTTCACTTCCGCGATTAAAAAAATTTCCTTTCTGTGTGCCCTTCTCCCCGGGTCCTCAACTCTCTGAGACTTGCGCGTTGTCGCGCAGGCGGTGTCACCTGATCTCCCGTTCTGCCGGTTCTCAGCGCTAGCGTTGGGGTCCTCGAAACTCGGGAAGGACAGTTTCAGACCCATTATTGGAACCCGCCCCCCTTGAGACATTACATTCCCGTCATTTCCTAGCCTCTCATTTCAGCCATAACCCTTTCGCTACTCGCGCTTCTTATCAATTTCTCTTCTTCTACTTTTGCCGGGCTCGGTCCAAACTCGTCGATGCCTTCCGACTCTTTTGACACTGACTACGCGCAGCGCGAGAGGTCTCGCTCGCCCCGCCGACGTTCTCGCAGTCCTCGACGAAGCCGTCGCTCGTACTCACCACGCAGTCGCTCTCGCAGTCGTGACGATTATCGCCGCAGTGATCGCCGGTCTCGGTCCCCTATGAGTACTGCTCAAGGCGCAACTGGAGGACATTCAGGATCTGGTTACGGTGGCCGCAGCAGTTACCCTCCTTCGAGATCTTTTGAGGATCGCTCAGTCGCCAAAGAACAAATGATGCAATCAGTACGCGAGTCGTCCCAGCAGGACCGCCGGGTCTATGTGGGCAACCTATCCTACGATGTCAAGTGGCATCATCTCAAGGACTTTATGAGACAGGGTGAGCAGGGTCATATCGTGTCGGCAGTGCGACGCAGCTTTTGTTGGATGAAAACTTGTGGCTGACTTTGGGGGAATGATTTTCCGCATCGTTCATACAGCTGGAGAAGTTATCTTTGCCGACGTCTTACTACTTCCCAACGGAATGTCGAAGGTGGGCACCAATGCGTAGCGTGGCTGGCTTTTTCTTTTTCTTCTTTTCTTTTTACTTCTGGATTTCCTTGGCTTCTTGCATGGACGATTTGGGTTGACGGGCTGGGCCTGGCCGTCCGGACATTGTAGGGATGCGGGTGAGTGTTTCATTCTCTGATCACCTCTTGAGCTCCGCGCTAACAGTATGTTGCAGGATTGTGGAATACGCTACAAGGGAGCAAGCGCAGAACGCAGTCAACACGCTTAGCAACCAGAACCTCATGGGTCGTCTTGTCTACGTTCGCGAGGTACGTCCGCGGCCCGATGTGTGCGCGTCTCTCGCCCATTGTGTAGGCTAACAAAATTGGACTAGGACCGTGAGCCCGAACCACGCTTCACTGGTGGACCTCCCCGAGGAGACTTTGGGGGTCCTGGTCGAGGTGGCTTCGGAGGCTACGGTGGCCCCCCGGTGGTGCTCCTGGCGGGGGTGGAAGACAACTCTATGTGTCTAACGTTTGTTGCCCCTACTCGAATCATATAATGCTCGGTCATAGATCCGGTTATAAGTATTGACAATCTTGAATTAGCTCCCCTTCAATGTCGGTTGGCAGGACCTGAAGGATCTGTTCCGCCAAGCTGGTAAGTGCAAAACCGTTCCGCGGCAGCCATCTATTGGCGATATTGCCCATCCATATTAACGTTTGGATGCCGTGACAGCCCAGCAAGGTGCTGTGATTCGTGCCGACGTTCACACCGACGCAACTGGCCGTCCCAAGGGCTCCGGCATTGTCGCTTTCGAATCTCCCGAGGATGCGCGCAACGCTATTCAACAGTTCAACGGCTACGACTGGCAGGGAAGGACATTAGAGGTCCGTGAGGACCGCTTTGCCGGTTCCGGACCCGGATTCGGCGGCCGTGGTGGCTATGGTGGCTTCGGCCGGGTGGCTTTGGCGGTCGTGGTGGCTTTGCCGGCCGTGGTGGATTTGGCGGCGGCGGCGGCTTCAGGGGTGGATACGGCGGAGGCGGTGGTTTTGGAGGCCCCCAGAACTTCGAGCCCGCCGCATCGGCTCCTCCCAACCCATTCACTGACTTTGCAACCTCTGGAGGAGAAAAGAGTCCCATCATCTACGTGCGCAACGTGAGTTTTGCCTTTTCGACTCACACGGCTGGTCATCTCCGCCGTCGAGGAGCTTGTACTAACGATTCTGATCACCAGCTGCCATGGTCTACTTGCAATGATGATCTGGTGGATCTCTTCTCCACCATCGGCAAGGTTGAACGTGCTGAAATTCAGTACGAGCCCAACGGTCGCTCTCGTGGCACTGGTGTAGTCCAGTTCGACAACGCGGAGACTGCGGAGACTGCGATCGGTACGTTGCCGTTGGAAAATATCATTGACCGCACACAAACTAACTCCTCGTCAGCTAAATTCACTGGTTATCAGTATGGTGGTCGTCCTCTCGGTATCACATTCGTCAAATACATGAATGCCGACCAGGGCCAAGGCGAACCCATGGAAGGCGCAGAACCCACTACCGGAATCACGCAGGATCAAATCATGTAAATTGCGGGTATTATTTCCTGGGAAAAATAGTTTACCAGAACTTGCGATGTATTACTCATAAACACCAGGAATTGATGACATACTGACCTGCATTTCATAATTTGACTATGTTTCCAAGTTTCTTTCTACTATTACACCTCCCTATGCTGTTTTGTGTATTTGGTTATTGTTGAATGGCAGAGCTACCACTATTGCAATAGGAAGGAACGCTTAGTTTCTCAAGGACATGGAGAGTCTTCTTCCTTAAAATAGAAATGAGCTGTCCCAGGAGCGGACGTCCTGTTTTATTTTTCCTTCAACAACACGATGCTACAAGAAGCAGCGCCGGGATGGTACTAGCTATCTGGGTTTCCCTCATCTGCAGTTCGTGAGGCTTTGCGTTGATGTTGAAGCAACACTTTTTTCTGTTCGAGGCAGTAATCTCTCTCCTACTGACCATGAACACCTTCCGTCATCTCCCGCAAGTTCTGCGACCGATACCTATAGGGGAATCTCAGTAATAGTTCTTTCTTCGCGGATACTTTAATCAGCTCACCAGTACTTTTCATTATGCGAAAACCATGCGCCGGTGAGACGACACTGGCCAAGCCAAGGACGGCCTGCAGGCCACTGACAGCTTCCCAGATTTCGAACCACTCAGAGAACAGCCTGATTCTTCTCTTCAGACAAAGCGTACTTTGTAATCGAAGTCGGAAACATGGGACAGGCTTTTGAGACCAGCTTCCCGGGGACAAGTGGCAGGATATCCTGATGAGGTTTTGAAAAAGTCAAAGTCTGGTACATTTGAAGAAGATCTTCTGCAGCTTGATTCCTAGGGACGAGAGATAGGAGATCCTGATGAGGACAAGGAAAGGTAGGCTCAGCTGTGAGACGAGCGTCGGAGGAAGAGAAGCTTATAGTATGCCGAGCTGCTACACATAGCTGGCCAGTTGGTTCCTTAATAAATAAAACCAGATCAACTCGCACAACATAGCCAGTTCTATGCTAAATATACAGACGTGGCCAAGGCTGGGCTGTCCTCTCATCGTCAAAGTTATACTCGAATGGCCCATATTTGGTTTTGGCTGGCTTCGCGGGTGATTTGAGGATCTTGACAAGCTGGTCTCGACCTCGAATCGTCAGAGAAACAAAAGGGACATAGGTCACCTATACCAGCGTAGTATGTGCAGGATCTCACTAGAGCCGATTGTCTCAGTGAATGTCTCGTAAATTCTTTCCGTGGATGGAGTTTCAAACACTGTGCACAGTAGGCCCAGCGGCGGTTCTCGAGTCGGAGGAGGAGCTGATTTCGCGGCACATACTTACTGTTCACGCACAGTATTGGGTTCCTGATACGCAAGAGTCGTGGAAATTCAAGATCTTTGTGCTTCGCTATCGTCCCGAATAGGCCGAAAAGATCTTTGCAGCTGAGGGATAGACACACTCGATCGACTAGTGAGTGGTGATGGTAGATCTTCTGTAAGGTGCTCTCCTCCAGACGGAGTATGGCGGAGCTCTGCACTCTCTTCCAAGAATGAAGCAGCCTGAGGAGCATCTTTCGACATCGCGACATCTTTCGAGTCTTGAGGGCGAACGATGATGTTGAATGTGAGGCAGGAGACTGGGTTCGCGAGAGAGCCAATCTGGTCTATGGACATTTTGTAACATCGAGAACGAAAAGACTCCAGGGCTGCCGTCTTTGTTTGAGAATTGTGTCTTCGTAACGTCCTGATTGCAAGTTCTGATGCCTGTTTTGTCTGGTAAACACGCAAAATGATGCTTTAGTTCCTTAAATCGATCAACCATGGATGTTGGCAAGACCTGCTGCGCCCAGTCAACGTGTGTTTTCCCCCTCTTCTAGGACCCTGAATTGAAATGCGCACATCCACTGAAGACATATCATAATGTCCTCTTTCCGTTCCGCAACAAGGAACAGGAGAGGATCATCCCCTAAGTAATCGCAGTGCCTATATCTATTAGCTTTAAACTAAGTCCGAGATTTAGAAAAGGCATTACCTGATCCATGGCCTCTTGATACAGTTAATATTGTTCTTGGTTGAAACAGCATGTCCTGTTTGGATGATATGAGGGCCTCGCCTGTAGTACTCGGGGCGAGGCTTTTTATTCCCCCTGTGTGGCAGAAGAGTCTTACTTTACCGTGTAGTTCCGCCAGTAGCGAAGACCATCGAAGAAGAGACAAATAGTTCTCGGAGAAAATTAGGTGATATGATATTTGGGAAGGAATATGACGGCGGAAGAAAGAAATGATCGATACAGGGTTCGACTGCGATTTTATTGTGAGCAGGTGCCTTAACCACTGGGCCAATCGATCTATTTGTTGATGATGGGGCAATATTTGAATTACTTGACATTTAGAGGCTAGTAACATATGCCACGGCCATGATAAAGCCTGATATCGGGAGACATAGTCGTTGCATTGTGTATTAAGGTACTGCTTGACCAGATCTGGTTTGTTCTCGACAACTCTGCATGCTGCTCTTGGTCTAGCCGTTCATAGCGTGTGGTGTGGTAGTAATCCCTGGGGATTTATCTATGGTGAGATTGAGGGTCCGATATCCATATGCTTCAGAGACGCGACGTGTATTTCAGGAAATTTAAGAATATAGTACAAGGAAGCGAAGCATCAGAGTCAATGAGGCATGACAAAGGAAATGACAAAGGAAACAACAAAGGAAATGCATCGCACCGCATGGGGATTCAAAGTCAAATCAAGCGCGCACGCCCGAGCAGACAAGCAATCCAGATCCCCAGCTCCACAGCCGTATCCAACCCATCCATTCATTGGAAAAAGAAAACGCCAAGCACTCCAATTGCAAAGTATAACGGTTCGTACCGTCGGCCCCGGTGACATCGTCACCAAAAGGAAAACCGAGGAGACTTTCAGCCAGTGACGCTGGTGATCACCTGTTGACGAAGTATATAATGTACAGAGAAGAAGAAAAAAAGCAGTTGGAATTTCAGTGTTTGCGTCAATCAGATGCTTTCACGCAGGTATATGATTTGCGGGTGGGTAGTGGCCTGGAATCTGTAGCTCAAGCGCAGACACACTTGGTTTAGATCGCCTCGCATCACCTTCGGATTTCGTTATATAGGAGCCGTAGGCTCCTTCCGAAGTAACTTCAGACAACGGCGTTGCTGCAGCGCTGCTCATGTTGGATGGAACTCGTTCGTTCTTCACGTTCTCACGAAGCTGGTGGCCGACACCATTACCTTCGATCATGGGAGTTTCATGGTCCCCGTCAATCGAGGTTGGGACGGTATTGTGGGTGCGATCGGTGATGTTCGTCGTGGTCGGGGCAGTGGATCCGCTCTCCCGCCTGTTCCTCTGCCGATTCAGTGAAGGGTCGCGAGAACTCGCAGAGCCCATCCCGGCGAACAGCATGGGATGTACGTCGCTTGGTCTGTCAGAACCCAGATTGTCTCTTTGGTTGCCCAGAGCGTTGGTCTGTTCCTGTTGCTTCTGACGAGCGACAATGTCAGCTGGTCCCATCCAACCGGCATAATATCTTTCATTTCGCTCGGGGCCTGAGAGCCCGTAGTTCCCATCGTGTTCTCCGACCGCGTTTCGAGTCTGGCTACCATCTCGTCCTGAGATAGAAGGATTCCCATCTGCAAAGGAAGCTCCGTCGGGCAGGGACCCTGCAGCGGCAAACAGGTCGTGCCCGCCGGAACTCTCACCGCTGGATGGAGACAGTGGGGCTTGCAGGTGGCGATCAATCTGCACGTCACTCGGGAAACGGCCACCAGGCTCGCGAGGCGCAGACGTCGGCCGCTCCTGGCTCAAGACAACTGCCTCCGCTGCATACGGTGTGCGATCGGCCTCGTCTTCATCCAGATCCATGCTGGTCCGAGCACTCGCGCCACTCACACTGCGGACGTGTCGCCTAACGTATGCATTACGTGCTTCGCCAGTCTTGGAGATCAAGCTTTCGATGTCTTCGTACCACGCCATCATGGTCTCGTGTGATTCTGCGCGGAAAACCCACGAGTGACCACGATGCATAGGACCGGTTTGTCGCCCTTTGAGCATGAACTTGTGCGACGTCGAGTCCGGCTGCGAGTGTGATCCCAATTTCTGCTCCGGCAGGTACAGTGACATCACTGGCGTCTGCCATGCTACCCGATCGGCAGACTTGAACTCGTGTAGATGAGTCGGTGACAAGACATACCTATTCTCTAATCAGAAAAAATGGTAAGACATTGACAATGAGATACTTACCAGCCGGGTGTATAGCTCTTCAGATACTTGCTCTTCCGCTCCAGCATGCCGGATCGAACTTCAGCCGCAGCCGGATGATCCTTGCCAGGGTAGGTGATGTTCTCCACGTTCCGGAGAGAAACGCGGGGATCAACTAGTTCGTCGGTATTGGCGATGAAGTGGTTCCATTCGTGGTCATGAGGCATGGATATGGGTCCTGTCCGGAGCTTCTCCACAGTGTCATAGGCCTCATCGGCTTCTCGCTTGAGGATACTGGCATACGCATTGTACGCCTTTTGTATCTCACTGACGACAATCGATTCAAGTTCGCGACCGGAGTTTTCCAGGTTTAGGAATGCCTACGGCGGGTCAGTGTTTGAAGTCTGTAGGAAGCTTCAGAAAGACTCACACGGTGGAGGTAGTTTTCCTCCTCGATCTGCTTCTCAATCTGTCTGTCGACACCCAAACGAATAATGAACGGGTCTCCTTTGCCTGATGTAGCAGACGGATCGGTATCGACCAGACCTAGCGCTTCGTGCAGTTGGCGAACCGTCTTGCGTGTGTTCTCTACTTCCTTGTCGACGGAGTTCCGGAAATCACCCTGAAGACTCTTGATTTCTTTGGTCTTCTTCTGCAGGTCGTTGCGAAGGCCCATGAGCTGGTTCACGACCTCGCTCTCCACCTCGGCAGCCTTATTCGCTTCTAGGTAGCCCTGACGGTGGAAATCGCGCAAAATGTCGGTAGCATCGGCGAGACCACCAGATTTGAGGAATGTCGGAGGGATCGAAGCGTTATTTACTACATTCGACGCCGACAAGTACAGTTTAGACCGGGTCTCGTAGGACTTCTGGACTTCCTTGAAAAAGACGATGAGATCTTTTAAGACCTTGCGCCAAGCTACTATGCATTAGCAAATTATTGATAATGGAGATAGATGCTCCGAGGAGGGATCATACCTTGAAAGCGTTGCGCCATGACCTCAGTCGGGTTCCCGTTCGTCGGGATCGGGACATAAAACGCACTGTGCTGATCATCCGCGCCATCGACGCCATACTTTTCCTTATCACCCAAGACCAGACTCCTCACACTGCCTGCGCGTAGGCTCCGGCGACTTCCGCTGCGACGCATGCTGCCCTTCTTGCTGAGCGACGATTTCTTCTTCAAAGTAGTTGATCGTGTTGGAGTCGCTGAACGGGAATGTGACATCTGCGACGCGGAACGTTGTACACCAGAAGTGGACGGTCCATCGAGCACGACAGAACCACGCTGACTGGCCGCGTCAAACTCCTCATGAAAGCGAGGATTGTGAATGTTTGAAGGAGGGTCGACAACGGCACCGTGAGCGAAGTTGTGGCCTGAATTGCTGGCCACAAAGGAGTTGGGTCTGGAGCCGGAGCGCAGGCTGTAGCCTCGATTTAAGAGAATGGATTCGGTTGGTGGTGACAGCGGACGATATGTATCCTGCACAGGTGTATGCGCCCGAGCGGTCATTGCCATGGCTGGAAAGGAGGGGTTGTTCCGCAGCGATGATGACGCTACCCAGGATAGTCGGGCGGTGCAAGTCCTGTAGTGAGATAAGGGAGCGCTCCAATCAATGCGTTGTCGGGTTGTCCAGGAATGTCGGAAATTGAACGGGAGTCCGTAGTAATAAGGAGAACGGGAGGAGCGAAAGGAATGATAAAAGAATCATAAAATAATCATAAAAGGAGTCGGCCCTAAGAACACGATCTGAATATGAATCAGGGTAGTCGAGTTTGGTTACCAGGCGAACGGCAGTGTCGATGGTCTGGAGCGAACTGTTTTGCGGGGGGCTTGAATCAGAAACCAGACTGCCAAAGAAAAGCGCGCCCTTTTCGCGATGGCGATGATCGGGGTCAGTTTGGGAGCATGTAGATAGCTTAGTCTTGAGATGGCTTAGGGAGTAACTAATATAGGGATTCGTTTAGATGGTTCAAGTATGAGCCCCACAGCTCTAGGGAGGAACTATCGAAGATGGGAATCCGTCCATGCAGGGGAGCTATGAGAGGGAAATTAAGGAGAGGATCTGGAAGCCGAATGGATACGGCATAGTAATTATTTAAAATCAAGAGATCTGTGATTATAATCCTGAGATCGACCAGGGAGTTTAGAAAGAAGTACGTAGTCGACATGATCATGAGGGGATGATGAACAGTTTAACTGCTGGACGGTTCCGGATGACGTCTACGCTCGACAAGGACAATGGAATGCGACGTTATGACGACCCAGGGGAGGGCTGTCGGGCACTCACAGAACGGAATTCCCGGGCCAGTGGAAAAACGAAGAACAGAAAAGCAGAAGCATCAACAGTAGTTATGGAATTTTGACTTTCCAGGATGTGGGCAGGGAAAAAGAGATCGCTACGGCATATCTATACAATTGGTATTGAGGTACAGGTACGGAGTACTGCAACTGCTTGCCGTCTTGCTGGACAAACTACGGACCTCCTTTTCTGAACAAGAGAAAGATGTGCAATTCTAATAAGGTGAGGCATTACAGTACTATTAATAAACAATAAAATGAATATCATTTAAATGATGTTGCCTATTCCTCTCCTAATCGATAATAATAATCCAATAATCCGGAGATAATGATGATCATGAAACAGTACCAACGACCTAGGTAGCAAAGTACCAAAGTACGAACTCCGAATGCCCCCTTTTGAGGACTGAAGAGTGGCTTGTGAAAATGGCTTGGACTTCATTAAAGTGGCTGTGAACCACTTACTTTTCCAGCTGATCTGGACAGCAACGGCCACTAAGAAGCTCGGAATCATGCTGCGATACACCCAGTGGGTACGAGTCGTTGTATTAATGAGCCAGAGTACTCCATACCCTCCTCTAGCGCTTGCACAAGTTCTTCTTCATAGCTTCGATGGGGACCCCCCTTTTCAAGTGGCGACTGTAATACGCAAGTCGCAATTAGGAGACAAAAGCAAAAAAGGAAAAAAGGGTAGGGGAGAAAAGGAGATCGGCCCGCTGGAAGATCGGAGCCTTTGCTTTCCCCATCTAATGAACGCATCCAAAACTGTCATTTCTTCGACGTCATGCAGGGTTCATCGTCTGTGATGCGCATCAGTGTATACTTGCCCAGCATCTGGAGCTCGAACCTGAGTACCTCTGTTTTTGTCCACAGAGTACCAATGGCTACTACCAACCTTGAGTCTGCGCAGGCATCAACATAATCTGCTTGGGATTAAATCATACCTTGGCTCGTATACATCAGGTACCAAGAACGTGCCTTGTCCGACCACTCGCAGAGGTCAATTCCCCTCTTTCGAACCATGATTCTTGATAACTACTCCAGATGATGCATGATTCATACGGAGGAGATCTCCATGATAATTCAGTCCCGGACATGTTCGGATCAATCTGATGGACCCCAAATCTCATGCACCTACGAAGATACTTCGGTAGGTAGATAGTACTGCAGTATGCCATCAATGAGTATGCCTGGTTTCATGATCGAACAGGTATTATTTCGACAGCACTGCTGTCAAGCATGCCGATCTCTTACTCGCTTTCATAGAGCATAAAAAGTTTGTAATTAAGAGTACATTATGTCATGCTGAGGGCAAGGGGTACATAGTTATGAATAAGGTGATATCATATTCGCCCCCCCGCATGAATTATCATGCACACCTTAAGTTAATCTTGACCTGCAATCAAGTGTTCTCCCCGTCTCCCATCGAGTAATTATCTTTCTTTCTGCTATCTAGTCATAACTTTCACTCTTGTTGAAAGTTATAGTGGTATAGTATTTCGTAGGCGGGCTGTATCATGATCTGTCACCACTATCACCACTATCACCACTACCACCACTGAGATGATTGAAGTTTGTCCTTAACATATGCTAAGCGCACGTCCATAAAGAATATTGTTAAGACGTTCTGACCATTCAAAGCAATTCCACTTCTCAGCTATTGTAACTATTGTCTCATGATCGACCGTCCGAGTTAGGCCGCTCAATGGCTGCAATAGCTGCATCCATTGATAATCGTTGACCAATTGGTCGAGGAGACGTAAACTTGTCGCATGCTATCGTCAACTCTCTTCTCCTGACGCTATCCGCTCGATGTTTGTTGACCAAAGCTTAGACTAGTAAGAAGGGCGCTCGCTCAACAATCATGAAGAAATAAAGATATCATTGCGCAAAGCATGCCGGACTTGCTAGCTGAAAGGCATCCGACAGGAAACGATAATTTACACATAAGAGACTGAAGACTGGCACAATTGAATTTGCAACGGACATCGATTCTAATCACTTTATGATGCGGGTGCGGCGGATGTGGGAACCTCAATGCCGTATGTCTCCTTGAGTCTCTCTGCGCGTCTCTCTGCGTATCCGGGGCCGTAGATACCTAAGGCAAATGATTTAGTAAAGCCGCCATAACTGTGATGTCCTGAGAGTTTAGAATTAACATACCTCGTCCCTCGCCCAACTCGGCAAACGTCTGCTCCGCTGGAGTCCTGTACGCCTTTCTGAGCTGTGTACGGCGATCATATTCATCTAGATCGCTCTGTGCCTTTTTACCCCACAAGGTTCCGCCAGTGTACTCGAAGGCGCCCATGGCCGTTGCCAGAGCAGCCCCGTAACCCAGAAGGGCGGGGAATGTCCGAGCTAATGCAAAAAATCAGCAATTGCGACATGTGCATATTTCCAGAAAATAAAACAGACCTCGAAGACCCAGAATAGCTCCGGAGAAGAAACCGCCGAGGGCTACGTTGTAGTGGTCGTCCTTCTCCCGCAGGTTGGCCGAAGCGTTCTTGACAAACTCGTAGGTACCACCCATTGCGGCTAGAGAGCAACTGTCAGATAAATTCGTAGACCAATTGATCTATTAGATATGCATCCGTACCGAAAACACCGATTGTGCCGCCGCTTCGCACGAAGACACCCCAGGGTCCAACGTTCTTCCTAGTGAGGGTGTTCTGGACGGCCGACGCGAAAAGACCCACTGCACTGGTAAGCATGGTGGTCCTCATCGCCGCCGAGATCGTATCCTTCGGATGGTAGTGGTGATGCTCATCTTGCGAGGCCATGGTGGCGGCTTAGGCAGGAATTGTCTGCTGGATTGCCGTGGACAGGTCGTTCGGTCGATTGAGGATGTTGAATTTGGGATGGTCCGGTTCTGCCACTCGCGACCGCTTTCCCTAGAGTGGAGCTCCATGTGAGGTCAATGAGCGCAAATGACCGGTAAGTAGGCATTTATTTACTTTATTTTGAAACCTGCTCTTTCAGATATTGTCAGTCCCTATCACGTTTCTGATGATATTTACTCTGTACTGCAATATCTTGTGCTGACCGAGAGCGCCTTTGTCCTCAAGCTTGCCGCTTGTTTTGCCTATAGAGTGTCCCCGCTATCCTGCCTGCTATCTTGCGACAAGGGACAACTGTTTTCCAGCAGTTACGACCAGTCCTTTACTCAAATATTTCCGCGAACTTTAATATACATTGTATGGGAATTGAAATATTGAAGAACATCCAAGCTTTGGGCCTGGTGTTGCAGGAAACGTGAGCTCTGAAGGGCATACCCATGTCGTCTCCATCAAGGTCCGGTATGTAACTTTGCTGAAGATACCCATCACCTTCTTGCATGATGCGCAATTTGCCAACACTCACATTTTCTACCGTCTAGGCAAGACTGCCCCACGGCTCGTCCAAGATCTCTACGATTACGATCCCGCCAATCCTCCAGGCACAGGCCGCAACCTTCTCTCAGAAGTCCCTCCAGTTTTCCCTGAAGGTCATGAAGGTCCACTCGACTTCATCTCGCCGTCAGCTTGTCACCATCAGTATATGACCAAATCGAACCAGAGCTTCCTACCCCAAGCGGAGCAGAAAAGGAGTACCGGAAATCCCTCCAAAGTGTCAGCGGTTTGCTGGAAGTGTCGATATCATCTTCAACTTGTCGTTAGCTCGACTCCCGGCATTGGTCAATCCAGTCAAGGGTTCCCGGATCACCTGCATCATCTAGTCTATAAATCTGGAAGGCAGAGAGATGGCGCTTCGCCAGCGGAGGTATCGCCTAAGGGACAGACTATAGAAACCTTTCAATATGAGTGTTCATATCTCACATGTCCTGTGACGGTGTCTGTGCGAATCGCATCTCCGATTCTTGCTGACGAATGGGTGCGGCTGCTGGTAGACCCTGATCTGCTGCGGCAGCGGGCGGACGAGGCTATTGCGACACATCCTGAGCGTTTGGAAGGCGTTGGTCGACCGTCGCCTATCACGGTTCTAGAGAATCTTCGCACTTACATATCCAATGCCCTTCATAACAGTCAGCATAGCAAGTCTATATCTGCGATAAACAAGAGATTCATGGCTTGTTTCGGCGTTGAAGGAAGGCCGTGCAAAGACCTGTTGGAATTCCTTGGTTTTTCCGTGAAGGTCTGTCTCAATTACCTCACTACGGGTGATAGATGCATTTCTAATCTTTGCACAGAATGAGGGATTCTGGGAGCCTCCCAAACCAAATCCTTGGGCGGAGTATCCTTATCAAGACCAACTGAAGATATTTCTCGACGACGTTATACATGAACTCTCCGCACTTATAGAGCAGCGGCCTTTGGCAGAGAAGAAGGGTCATCAGGTGCAGAATACCGAAACCCCGGCGTTGAGTGATATCCTCTATGCAATGGATGCTCTGGATTGTGAGTCGTTGCCTTGCAAATTCCGCAAAATGCGTTGCTAACATAGTTCCAGATCCCAAAGCTTTGAGGGCGAATGAGTTCCAAATGGCACCTGCACCGTATGGTAACAGCAATCGAGTCTCATTCGCAGAGTGGCTGACCGAATATCTAGTTACTACGAAGATTTGGGTGTCGTGGAGGACATGTCGGCAGCGTCAGTTGTTGAAGCATTCAATAGGCAGGTTTCCATTGACCCAGCAAGGTCACCGCTTTACCTACAGTGTCTCAAGTCTATTGGAAACTTGAGGGGTGGCGATGATGCCCAGGTCATAGAAACGGCGGTTCAATTAGCGTATGCCGAGGGTCGATACACACAGGAGGATATTGTGGATGCTTACAGGTACTTCGGACTTGATCACAATGACCTTCGCCTCACCGACGAAAGCATAGTTGGGAAGTTCTACGCTTTTATCAGTTCTACTACACAGGAAAATGAATCGCGCATTCGGCTCTGGAGAATCGGGGATAGCAGAAGAAGTGAGCGTATCAAGTCCGCGGCGGAAGACAGTGAGCGATTCCCTCTCTAAATTCCGCTATATCACTGTACTAATAGTTGAACAAGGGGTCACCAATGTTGAACAGGCCCAGGTCTTCCTTGGTGTCGATAGTACAACAAGCGACGAGTTCGTTCTGACGATGTATACCACGAAGGTAAAGGGCTAGTCGGTTCTGCAGTAGGCCTGGATGCTGATTGTGTTCAGGTTAACGACAACCCGTCGACTAGGGATATTGCAAGGCGTGCTGTCGAGCTAATTGCGGAAGCTCGAAAGTCGGCCGTCTTGAGACATTTTCTCAAGACGGGCGAAATGACAGCCGGGGAAATGGATGTCGCCGATGCCTATCGCTTGCTCCAGATTCCTGATCGCACCGTGGACGATGCAGCGATAATGGCAGCTTACACAATTTGTGTTGATGAAGCTCCTGGACAAGCCGAGCGATACTATCAAGCCTTGAGCATCATCGCCAAGGACAAGAATAGCTCTCTACTCAGCAGTATGATCGCTGGGTCGGGTGCCGAATCTGGCCGTGACTTGTCCGAGTGGCCCGTCGGACTGCAGAACATTGGCAACACCTGCTATCTCAATAGCTTACTACAATTTTATTTCTCCATTCGCCCTTTCCGAGAGATGGTCCTGGACTTTGAGAGTTTCAAGATGGAGCTTGATGACGAGAGTTTGAGCAAGAAACGCGTTGGTTCTCGCCAAGTCCTGAAAAAAGAGGTGGAGCGTTCTCAGACGTGTAGGTGTCATCCAGTTCTATGTGCGATATCCGAACGACTGACCAATCTCTTCATTCGCAGTCCTGAGAGAATTACGGACGCTGTTTCAAAACATGATCACTTCGTCAAATTCCTTTGTTACTCCTCGTCCGGAGTTAGCACGTTTGACGCTGATTAGCCCGTCCAACGAAGCAGCGATTCGGCGCCGCTCTACGATATCTATGACCAGACCTGGCGGACTGGGAGACATCAATGGCATGCCTATCATGGGTCCTCTCGGCCCGCCTCTGCCAACGGCAGATCAAAGTCATAGTCCAACAGATGCCGAGACAGAAAGGCCCAAACGTAAAACAACAAGCGACGTGGATAGCGAAGCGACCCTTGTCTCGGAAACTGCCAAGCCAGATACGTCGGTGGCTCCCAGCGAGGACAAGGAAAACGAAGCGCCACTCGGGGATGCCGTGTTGACAGATATCCCAGTATCTCAAGATATGGAGAGCAATCTTTCCCCCAAAGATGAGGCACCGGCTATCACTTTCGGGCCACCGAATCAGCCGCCTCCAGTACCTCCGCGACCAACAATACAAGTTGACCCACAAAAGCAGCTTCTGGAGGAGGTAGAAATAGGTGCTCAGCAGGATGTCACTGAAGTGATCAACAATGTCCTTTTCCAGAGCCAATGCGCGATCAAGCCGATCGCATTTGCCCAGGATGGTGAACAACTTGACCAAGTGAAAGAGTAGGTTCTAATGACGCGTAGATTCGGTGAATGTATGGCGCTAACATATGATTGATAGCTTATTCTACGGACGGACCAAGTCATATATCCTTGCGGAAGCAGGTGTTCGGTCCAAGGAGGAATGGTGGTGTGATATCAAGGTCGATGTCGCGACGGGACCTCGTGATATTTATTCAGCGATCGATGGCGCATTTGATGCCCAAAAAGTCAATGTCGATGATACCGTCGTGGAGCAATTCGGTGCCATTAGCAAGCTACCTCCGGTCCTTCAGATCCAAGTGCAACGAGTACAATTCGACCCAATCAAGAAGAGCTCTTTTAAGTCCACCCATCACCTTGAACTCAAGGAGACGATCTACCTTGATCGCTATATGGACACACAGCATCCTGAGATCATGAATCGACGACGGCAGTGCTGGGAATGGAAGAATACGTTGAAGACTCTTGAAGATCGCCGTGCCGAGCTGCTACGCCAAACCGTAAGGGATGACATATATCAGTGATGTGTTAAAATCTAATTGATTTTAGGAAAATGACGGCCTCGACTTGGCAACTCTGTTCGATAGCGCTAGAGCGGTTATTGAAGATCTGGATCAACTAAAGGCGGATCCTGAAACTGCTGATGAGGCCCTCGACATCAACCCACAGCTTCCATCTGAGCTAGCCCAACTCTCTCAGATTGCAAAAGCCGAATTGAACTGTGAGCATTTCTTTATTGTTTGAGGCACTCGCACCATCTTTAGCTGACCCTTTTCATTTCTAGACGTCGAACAAGAGATTAAAGACACACAAACCATGATCTCCAGCCAGTTTGTCGACTTCAAGCATTTGGCCTATCGGCTATATGCGGTCTTTGTGCACCATGGGTCTGTCGAGTTCGGCCATTATTATATCTATATTTTTGATTTCCGGAAGAATGTCTGGCGAAAGTACAACGACACTGAAGTCACTGAGGTGACCAACACGGACGAGATTTTCAAGAACCAAGAACGTCAGAACCCTCCTACCCCATACTTTCTGGTTTACGTCAACGATGGTCTCAGAGATCGCCTGGCCGATCCTGTTTGCAGGCAGATTATTGAAGATCCTGCACCCAGCGAGACTATCCCCTCGACCGAAGCTATTGTTCCCATGGAAGGGGTCACTGCGACGACCTTGACACCTCAACAGGACCTGGACATGGAACCGCCCGCCTACGATGAGGCTCTGGCTGATACTCAGAATTCAGGTACGAAAGCTGTCCTCGATGTGAAGTGAGCGCCTGTCGGTGCGGCGGGTCGCAAGTCTCGTGCTCCGACACGGTCGGCGAACAACGAGGCTGATAAGCGTGGTGTGGAATAGTAGGAACAGAGAAGGTCTCTCCGACACTTTCCACGACCGCGAATCCACTTAAACGCAAGAACGAAGGCGACATGAGTTGTGCGTGATGGTGTACTCTACGCAGGGGTTGTCTGTCTCGGCCGACTTGGTTGAGTTCCTCCAGTCATATTATGTCTTCTGATACCTGTGCATACTAGCGGGATTCGATCGATTACTTTTTGTTCATGTAGATAATGAAAGATACCATGAGGCATGAATAAAATGACCTATATCAAGCACGTGATTCAGCCATGATAAGTCAGCGGACAGCTGAAGCGGCCCGCGGATCGGCACCGGAAAAGCCAGAGGCATCGGCTGCCAAAACGGATGAGCTGTCTGTCACCCAGATTGCAAGCGTTCTGAAGTGCTCTGTGCGCATCCAGATGGCAGCCACTGTAGATCGCGAAGAGAATAGTTTGGTTATTAAAAGTAGTATTCTTGTTCGCATTGTGTTTATCCTGGAGTACATAACCGGAATGCTACTGATAATTGGCTGTTGGCGCGGAGTGCGGGGTATTTCCGGGGAAGGACGGCAGGAGCGGCTGCCTTTCCGCAACTCCGCGAATGGCCGCTCGTTTCCAGCTTCTTATATTTCTCCGCACGCCTCGACCTTGACGGGAGAGAGCTCATAATCTCCTGTCCTAGTCTTCATTTTTCAGTCTAAGGATTTCTTCTGGTGGCTGAGAACGAGCATTGTTAACGAGTGCGGACGTTGCAGCTTCTGTCGAGCTGTGTTCATTTCCTCCCTCTTTGTACACTCCCTTCATAATGCCTTCACAAGTAGCTACGTGTCTGCGCCTTGCGCGGCAATTCTCTGCTAATCCTGCAAAGGTACTCGGCACAATATTTGGAATGATGTGCCAGACTAACAACTGCTCTCTAGCACCAACGGTTCCTCGCACGAGCATTCTCGAGCAGCCTTCGCCGGAATGAGATCAACAAGGTGGTGGCTTCTGCCGAGGAAGCAATCAAGGATATGAAACCCAACTCCACCCTTCTTGCCGGAGGATTCGGTTTGTCCGGTGTTCCCGACACACTGATCGGTGCCGTGCGCGCCAACCCCTCGATCACAGGCTTGACCGTTGTCAGCAATAACGCAGGCGTCGATGGTGCTGGCTTGGGTCTGCTCCTCCAGTCGAAGCAGATCAAGAAAATGATTGCCAGCTACGTCGGAGAGAACAAGACCTTTGAGCGGATGTATCTGACCGGCGAGATCGAGCTGGAGCTGACTCCACAGGGCACGCTGGCCGAGCGGTGTCGTGCCGGTGGCGCCGGCATCCCGGCCTTCTTCACCCCAGCGGCCTGTGGAACGGTCGTTCAGACCGGCGAGCTGCCGCTCAAGCATAACCCCGACGGCACGGTGGCTCAGTACAGCCAGCCGCGGGACGTCAAGGTCTTCGACGGCAAGAGCTATGTGATGGAGGAGGCGATCAAGGGTGACTATGCCTTTGTCAAGGCGTGGAAAGCGGATAAGCTGGGTAACTGCCAGTTCCGGTACGCCGCGGCCAACTTCAACGGCGCGATGGGCCGCAACGCCAAGATGACCATCGTCGAGGCCGAGCACATTGTTGAACCGGGGGAGATTGAGCCAGCTGCCATCCACCTGCCGGGTATTTATGTCAAGCGCGTCGTCCAGAGCACGGCGCCGAAGAACATCGAGAAGTACACTTTTGCCAAGGAGGATGGCGACGACACTGCCGCCCTGGGCAAGGGTGACACGGCCGCGAAGCGGGAGCGCATTGTCCGTCGTGCCGCTAAGGAATTCAAGAACGGCATGTATGCTAACCTCGGTATTGGCATGCCCATGCTGGCGCCCAACTTTGTCGATCCCTCGGTGGAAGTGATGCTTCAGTCGGAGAACGGTATTCTCGGTCTGGGCCCTTACCCTAAGAAGGGTCAGGAGGACGCGGACTTGATCAACGCCGGCAAGGAAACCGTCACCCTCATTCCCGGTGCGGCTGTCTTTGGCAGTGATGAATCGTTTGGCATGATCCGCTCTGGACGCATCGACCTGACCATTCTGGGAGCGATGCAAGTGAGCGCCCGTGGTGACCTGGCCAACTGTGAGTCTCCTTCCTTCCCTCATTATTTGAGGTGACTGACTGTAATGTAGGGATGCTCCCTGGTAAGATCAAGGGCTTCGGAGGTGCAATGGACCTAGTTTCCAATCCCTCCGCCACCAAGGTGGTGGTGACTATGGAGCACACAGATAAGAAGGGCAACCCCAAGATCGTCAAGCAGTGCGAGTTCCCTCTAACGGGCAAGACATGCGTCAGCCGAATCATCACCGAGCTTTGTGTCTTTGACGTCGACTTTACTGACGGATTGACTCTGGTCGAGCTTGCTGATGGGGTTACTGTCGAGGAGGTCCGGAGCAAGACGGAAGCTCCATTCAAGGTTGCGGAGGATGTCAAGCCCATGCTGTGATTTATTGCTATCGTACGCTGTGGTGAAGCAAAAATTTGGAGTTTTATCTGATACCTATGGCTTGAGCGTGATTGAATTCGGATTGTACATAGCATGTGTTGTATGCCACTTATATATAAATATCTTGTGCCTTGCTCTTTTTCTCTTATGGATAAGAGACTTTCATTCTCATCCAATCGCGTCACTAGTTCAAGGCTCAATTGCGATACGACCGTCCCGGGCTGCATGTACTTCTTCTCCAGGACTGTGTCCACTCTACTTGTTCAGAATTATTCGGTATATCGCATCCTTAAGATCGACTCTGACGTTCAAAAAATGGCTTGCTGATCGATGCATTTCCCACGTGGGCATCTGACAATGATCGACAGGGAATGAATTCTAGAAATGGGAGAGGAAAATATGGATTTCGCTGGAGACAACCATACCTCAAATCTTTGACAGCTCCACGAGAGAAACTCACCCCGGAGCTGAAGACGCCGGAGGTGGCCATGCCTGTTTGGCGGCAACTATACGCAGGCGATGTACGCGCAGCAGCTCATCGACGACCACAAGGCGCACGGCATCCACCCCTCGCGCGTCTGGCCGACCTCGCCGAAGGGCGTGAAGATCATGGCGCCGCCCATCTTTGCGCTGCTGAATGCCACCGCGGATGGGGAGACCGTGCCGTCGGCGTATGCAGTTGCGGCGAAGAAAGCCGGGCTGGATTGGTTCCTTCAGATTCCTGCATGGCCGAGGTTTCATATATAGTGATTGCTCGAGCATACGGTGTACAACGTTTCGACCTCTCATTATTAGTCTCATGGCCTCGAAATCCCACTCTAAATCATCTGTAGGAGCATCTCTGCATGGAAGGGTAGTCCTCACGTCATATTCCTCAAGTCATCAACACAATGATGGAGCCAAGCATTCGTGGAATTATGCCCTCCGACAACGGAGAGAATGTCACCTGATTGACCACGTGCCTCAGTGCGCCGGGAAAGTCTTTCTGTTCCAACCAATCAGACAGACAGAAACCTTTCTGCCAAGAAGCTGCTAATACCGCTTAGACTATGTTCGGCAGTTCCTCTTGTGTCAACAAGAGGTTAGTTATCCACTCTAGTGCTGCCTGATGAGGACAAATCGCTAAGCATTTCCTCAATGATCAATCAAACAAGCCTCTGTGCTCCGTTTATCCGTTCGTTCCGAACAGTCCGTTCTACAGAGGCGTATCTATCTGAGTCTGAGAGGCCAACAGTGAAACGCCAAGAATGATCCGACAAGGCCTCGTCATCTCGTGGGGATCTGTGGAACACACAAGCGGCGAGATCACCTCCTGCAGTGCTGCAGTCACCGTTGGAGATCCAATAATGATCTGGAAACGGAACGTAGTGAAGACTGAACTAGGCTCGGCAATGTACCTGATCAACGGCTCCTCATTTCCCCTTTTCGAAATTATACAAGCCTTACGAGTGCTTTTAGTCGGATGGGCTGCGATGGATCTGACCCGCATTTTCTTGTCTTATCACTCTGTCGCAACATTAATTGACACTCCCAGTGTCTTTCTCTCCCCCCTCGACTTTTCAAGTCTCTCACAATGCTGCGATGGGCCTTAGCATTATTGTTGCCGCTCTTCCTGCATAATGTGGCCGCACAGCAGCTTGACGAGGATCTCATGTCCTTCGTGACGGTAGGCTACTTCTGTTTCATTTCTTTTTCTCCGCCTAACAAACCGACTGCGAGAGATCGATCGCTGTGCTAATACGAGATCTACCACCTCCAGCTTCCTCAAATACGAGCCTTGAAATTCGACGTCCACTACCAGGATCGCGACCGTGTGAGTCCTGGTTATTGGTTCGTCGCTCCGTATGGCCAGATCGAGCCCGAAGCGCCGACGCACCGATTCGAACAGTATCAGATTGGACCGTATATCTACGATGGCGACGGCACTCTCGTCTGGGCTGGATCGCCCATGTTCGATAATCGGAACGTTTTTGATTTTAAAGCTGTTCACAGCATCGGGGATGAGCCGCATCTCTCGTTGGTTTGGCAGCATTCATGGGACTATGAAGATCAGGGCCATGGTGTGATTCTGAAAAACAACTATGAGATCCAAAAGAAGCTCCCCTTTCGTGAAGATTTGGGCTCCTTTGATATACACGAATTCAATATCCTTGGTGACGGCAAAACAGGCCTGGCGATGACATATCGAGAGCACGAGGTCAGTCTGGAGGATCTTGGGCGCCCTGAAGAGCGAACGGCGATCCTGACCGGTGGGTTCGTGCGGCTGGATCTCAACACCGCGGACATCTTGTTCGAATGGGACTCCCTCAACCAGGTTCCCTTGCACGAGTCCGTCCACTATGGCCCCGACTCGCCGACGGAAGGACGTCCCGGCTGGGACTATGTGCACGCCAACTCGGTCGATATGAATGCTGCGGGAGACTACATTGTGTCCTTCCGCTTCACCAACACCATCTACCTGATTTCGGGGGTGGACGGACGCATCTTGTGGCGGCTCGGAGGCCAGGGCCAGCACAGTGACTTTGTGCAGGATTTTACCTTCTCCAAACAGCATGACATCAAATTCGTCGAGTCCAACGGTACTCACCACATCATCTCTTTTCTCAACAACGCCTCGGACGAGGATACGAATGACGAGCCCGTCTCCTGCGCGCTGATTGTGGAGCTCGACACCGGCGTACAACCGATGACAGCCAAGGTCATCCGGCGCTACAACCGCCCTGACGGGGGGCTGACCCGGCTGCGTGGGAACGCGCAGCTGCTTCCCAACGACAACCTTTTTGTCGGCTGGAGTGAACATGGGTACATCACCGAGTTTGCCCCCGAAGGCGAGGTCCTGCTGAGTGCGATGTTCAACTCGACTCGCTTCTCGACCTACCGGGCCTACAAGTTCGAGTTCACTGGCCGGCCCAACACGCCGCCCGACCTCGTCGCCTCAGTTGCCGGGACAGACGCATCCGATCTCGTGACGACGATTTATGTCAGCTGGAACGGGGCCACCGACGTTGCGCGCTGGAATTTTTACGCACGCGCTGCAGCCAACGCCCCGCCCGTCCTCATTGGAAACACCACCAAAACGAATTTCGAGACCATTTATATCGCCCACGGATACCTGGACTGGGTCTCTGCCGAGGCGGTCGATCACGCCGGCAAGGTCCTGGGGGTATCGCGGGTCCATCGGAGCCGCGTGCCCGGCAACTGGGCCGCAGCCGGGTTCAAGGGCGAGGTGGCAGAACTGCATCCTGCTGATCCATACCTTCTGTACCTGCAGAAAGAAGCCAACCAGCAAAACGGTACCAACTCAAGCATCCCTGCAGGAGTCGAAGCAGATACAAGCGGTAACAGCAGTATCACACCTGTCGACACTGCGGAGGAGGCCCTCCGGATGGCGCACGAGACGTACGAGCTGGTCCGGGACTTTGGGGCTCTGTTTACATCTGTGCTGGTGCTGTGTCTTATCGCTGGGATTGCGGCGTGTGTGTATACGGTGCTCCGTCGGCGGCGCACGAAGTCATATCAGCACGTTCCGAGTGAGGAAGGGCTACCCGAGGAGCAGATCCGGCTCCGGTCAACGACTCATGAGTGAGTTTGTACATATCTGTACAATCTGTATATAATATGTTATGATTATTTCAATACCTAGACTTTCCACACGATGAAATGCGCCATTCTCCCAACACAACCGCCTCCGGCTTTTCATATCTTTGCATCTACATGAGGGCTGTGAAGGGTGTATGAAGATCTGTAGATATCTGATACTGATATCCTCCCCAGAAACAGACGATACGATCGTATACGCAATCTGATTGGCTGTTAAAATATATGACAGCGCCAAGAGACAGATTCTTATTCTAGCCAATCAAACCACTCGATTCAGTCCATTTCGCTGCTGCTGACGATTTGCTTTCTAACTTGAGTCATGCAATAGTCTACAGTAGCAGTACTCCGTATATAAAGTAAATATCCAATTGCATTGGCAACTGCAATCTAATCTCACCTCAATTCAATCCAATCCAATTCAACCACCGTTTCAATCAAAATGCTCAACCTCACCCTCCCCACCGCCCTCGTCCTAATCGACAACCAAGCAGCCTTCACCCACCCAACCTACTGGGGCACCTCGCGCTCCAACCCCCTCTACGAAACCAACCTGTCCTCTCTTCTCCAGGCCTTCCGCACTGCCCGAAAGATCAACCCCTCCCTCCCCCTCGAAATAATCCACGTCTTCCACTCCTCCGCCTCACCCACCAGCCCGCTCCACCCCGCCGACCCAAGCAAAGGCGCTCACCCGCTCGACTTCGCGCAGCCCGCAACAGACAACTCCGAGCCTGTCTTCTGGAAGAACGTGAACTCGTGTTTTATCGGGACGGGGCTGGAGGGGTATCTCCGGGAGAAAAACATCAGGCAGGTGGTGTTTGCGGGGTTGACGACGGATCATTGTGTTTCGACGACGGTGCGGATGGCGGCGAATTTGGGGGTTGGGGATGTTTACCCTGACGGAAAGCCGGCGGTGGGTGTTGATGGGCAGCAGAGTGTGAAGGCTGTTGAGAAAGGGGTTGTGGTGCTTGTTAGTGATGCGACGGCGACGTGGGCTAAGGGCGGGTTTGATGCGGAGACGGTGCATAAGGTTTCGGTGGAGAGCCTGAGGGGGAGTTTGCGGTGGTGATGAGTACGGAGGAGGTGACCAGTTGTCTAGAAGCTGCTTCATAGGTGGTTAGGGAGTATTCGCCACTGCTGGTGGGATGACAGCGGAGATCCTTCATTATACTTCCAGTATAAACATGGATTACCCCGAGGTTACCGTTTGGGAACCAATGATGAATTCGGAATACCAGAGTCCTGACATCATCATGAGTGATCGATATATATATGTATATATAAGAAATGCTGACCTCAACTCTTCCTCAGCTTATGCGTATTAAGAAAATAATTACCTCTCTAGTGAACTCCATAGTCCCATACAATGTCCTTGAGACCCATCACAACTACTATCCGGACATCCGTCCGCTTTAGGCCCTCCCACTCCTCCGAGCCTACCATCACCCAGAGCTATCCAACAAGGGCGAGAAATGCAAGTCTCTCGTCACAGCTAGAACTTATGACTACTAATCATGGTATAATTAGTCTACATCCCGCCCCAATACCCCGACAACTTTGAATCTCCCCCCTCATCAAGAAAAAAGACAGCAGCGGCCACGAGAGATGGGAGGAGATTGACTCGACAGTAAGCGAGGCGTCGGTCAAGGCTGATCGGGGCGATGTCCAATTCGAATTGAAGGAGCAGGACATCAAGAGTAAGAAGAAAGTTCGGCCGGATTTCGAGCCTGAGCCGACTGTTCATGATATGTGATTATCAACTGGTTGCCATATGTCTTTGAGGTGCGATGCGATCAAGAATGTCACTTATTGGTATCATCTATATCTATCGAAATTGAACTAATAATTAAGCTGCTTCTTCAACCTCACTGCACTTCCACCTTCCTGTCGTGGACATCCCGAGCATGCTGCCCCGGGGTGACGGTTCGACCTCCCTTGGACGTCAAGACGCCACCAGTAACTCCCCCCTTGGTAAAGAGTAGCGGAATATCCTCCAGCTCCAGGCCCTTAGTCTCAGGATAGAAGCAGTAGACCATGGGGATGAAGGCGGCATTCAGCACCGCCAAAGATAATGAACGTTTTCCACCCGATATTCGCTATACTCCGTCAGTACGTCTCAGAAAGCACTAAGAGGATTGACGGATGCATACCAAACGCAGACCAAACGCAGTCGGGGTAATCTTCACCACCGCAAAAACCGCCATCCAGTTCCACCCGGACGCAATCGCCTGCATCTTTCGTGCGCACGCGCGTGGTATTGATCTCCGCCGGATAGAACCACGGTACAGGCAACCAACCCAAACCATAGAACAGCTGGAAAACAAAAATAAACGCCATGGTACCGTACGCCGCGCCCTCACGCTCCAGCGAGAGCAGGTATCGGAACCATCACGAAACAGAGACACAGGCCCCCGAGCAGACCATCAGCAGCGTGCGGCGGCCGAAGCGGTCCATCAGGAGGACGGGGGGATGGCGCTGCCGACGAGATAGGTGCACTGCGCGGCTGCCGCTGAGGACGAGGGCTAGGTTGCGGCTCATGTGCATATTCTCCTGGAAGAGGACGGGGGCGTAGTAGTTGATCATGTTGGAGCCGGGAACTGAGTTTCGCCGTTGGTGAAGAACTCAACAAATCGAAAGGGGCCGCCGCGCTGTTCTTCCTCGAGGCCGGTTTGGATGTCGAGGAGGGTTCTGCTGACGGTCTCGTCGGCGAGCGGCTTGTCTTCTATTGCGGCGATGACCATTGGAACAAGGACTCGGTGAAGCTGGTTCCGTAGTCCATCCTTCCCTCGTCAATATCATGGCATCCTAAAGAGAGAGGAAACCTACCAAAGTAGGCAATCACAACCCTCAAAATCGTAACCGTCCCCTGGAGAGTCAGTAAAGCGCCTCGAATCCCCGCCGGCGAGCATTCACTCTGATACACCGGCGCCGTCGACGAGTTCATCCCGTTCCCGATCCCCGTGATGATGCGCCCAGCAATAAGCTGCGCAATCACATATACATCTCTGGGCCATCGGAGTAAAGACTCCCGAAACGCGGAGGCCCTCCCGGGGGAAGATCGACAGAACAAAGACTGGCTGGAGGATAATCATTTCAGAATGGGAGGGATATAGTGCTATATCGCAGACTGAATTATTGGGCGCTTGATATTTAGAGGATGTATGGGCATAGGTCATTGGCAGAAGCTACGGCAGAAAGAAGCTTGGTGGCTTGTCTTACCCAGTTTAATATAGTAGAATGTGATCATATATTAGCCAAGAAAGCCAGTACTCCAGAGTCCAGACAGCCATGTTTTAATTGAAATGAGTCAGTCCTCCACAGAAATTTTGACCCATAAAGTGACAGTCAACACCATGGACAAACTAGCTATACCAAACCAGTCAAATGTCATATCAGAGAACCAGTTCTCTGACCGGCTGGCAGGTACAACTTGATCGACGTGACAGCTAAGAAACAGTGATAGTAGCAGACCCGCTGCTTTGATAACCCTCCGTCGCAACAATCATATAGTTAAATTCTCCCAGCTTCAGACCCGCCTTGGTCCACGCATCAAAGTGGTTCTTCGTCGTCACAGTGCCACCCACCCGGTTCGAAGTCCGAACAGACCAGTACTGGTCAAAGGTAGCCGTGCCCTGGATCGACGGCGCATTTGTTCGGGTCGTCTTGTAGATGTTGTAAGTGCCGCCGTCGCTCTCGACGGTGCCGAGATGGGTGGCACCAGTGGAGGGGTTATAGGAGCCGTAGCTTTCCACGATGTAGTACTCGACCAGCGGGTTGGTCATCCAGCCGTACACGGAGAGGTAGCTGTTTCCGCTGGGCTCCCAGGAGCCGCTGTAGGTGACCGCTCTGAAATCATTAGCTTGAACCTTAACAAGCAGGGAGAACAAGAAGCGTACCTCTCACTGCCTGGGTTCCATCCTTTTCCAGCAACAAAGTTGCCGCAGTTAGTCCAGTCGACTTGGTACTGGCCGTCGTTGCCATTGGTGTATGTCACCTTGCCGCCGCCGTCGGTCCAGAAGGAGTAGAAGTAGCCGTTGTTCGTGCCAGTCTGAGAGCTGCTGAGCTGCCGCTTGGCTAGCTCGACGTATTGCTCCGAGCCGGGTGCAGCCAGCACACCAGCGACGGTGGAAAGAGCGAGAACGAGAGAAGAGAAGGAGACCATATTGCAATGGTTGCTTGATTGTTTGATTGCTTGATTGCTTGATTGCTTCGATGGTGAAGAGGAGGTTCCTCGTGGCGATCCCATCGCTTAAGTAGCCATTGTTTCAATGGATTCAGCCGACGAAGGAATTACGAATCCGCTCGTCAAGGCAAAGCTAAGGATTTCAGGTAAATTATCTGTTTCATGTTGTGATCGACACCCACTTTGCCGGTGGGCCATTAGATAGATATTATAACTGGATTGAAGGAGTGATCGGCAGCATTGTCACAGCGAACTGAGACATGAATCACCTGGAGCACTCTAGGTCTCAGGCGGAATGCGACATGAGAGGAAGATTGCTGGGTCGTATGATGAGCTCTCACGGTTGACAATACAAGATCAACCGCATTCCCTGGTTCCCATTTAAGCTAATTGATTGCCAAGGATAGGGCCGAGCACTACAGAGAAACAACTGGACATCGTCTTAATGCTTGTCTCGCGAATAAGCATCAGAGGAGCTATAATGCGGGGGAGGTGCAGTATCCCCGGAATTGCGGTGTACAAAACATGGTCATTGAATATACTTTTAGCGGATAAACAATGCCTGAGCAGTAGGATTATCCTGTATAAAACGTGGCTAGAATTAGCCTATATTTTGCCGCCAGCCGTGGTGCTGCATGGTACTTTAGCCGAGTGTCGACTTGTCGAGAGAAACTCGTCGGCAAAAGTGATAGCTAGTGCCAGATGTTATTGACTTGTTGAACCTGAAATAATAATGAATATGAGAGGACCGTCAATAAAAGAACATGTTTCATCCAGTTCCAAGGAAAACTGGCTGTTCTCAAAGCACATGGAAGATTCATAAAATACATATATGCGGTCTGACGCTCATAAGTCCCCTAAATATACCTCATTAAGTGCATACGTTATAGCCCCCATTCTCCATTTTCACCGCAGCATACGGCGCCCCAACACGATCCAGCACCTTGACCTCTCGAGGCTTGAGGTACAACGGCACCGTCGCCGCAAAGTACTCCTTATAGTACGGCTTATTGGCCTGGACCTAGCCAATATTAGATCTTGCAATATATCCTCATTATGTTAACCAAAACCTACCTCAACAAGCCATTCCTTTGGTTTTGACCTGTCCCAATCAGCTATGATCTTGCATATCATCGGCAGACTACGTACCAGTTTTCCACCCATGTGATTGTCCCTGGGTTCTCAGGGTCTTGATACACTTCAAAGAAGGTGCATTCGGGCTCTGCGATGACATGCTCGTATACTGGTTTGAATGCCTTCCAGAATGCTGGGAGATTCGTTGGGTCAATGTAGACTGTCATGTGGAGGGAGATGCCGTGGAAGTTTGTCATTGCAGATGAGAGGTGTGTGTGAGCTTGAATGGTGGTGATCTTTTCCCGATTGACAATTGGGATACAGTCAGTATTTATCCTCGGGATTAACGTTGAGGTGGTGATCATTGGCAGGCTACGAAGCGTCAAGCATAACGTTATGCTGGCGCTTGGCGTGAACCCTACGGTTTATTACTGCGCAGACATGCGATTTGGCATTGAAGATTGCTCATGTTGCCATGCCATGTTTCCATATCCGAAAACTGCTTTTGGAAGGGAATTGACTATTGAAACAGATTGCTTGATAGCTTCATTATGCAGCTCTATCGCTGATGTTGATCTTGATCGTAAGGAGTGACACATTCGGTATTACATGATAGTGAGAGACAGGCAAAAGGACGCAAGCTCCAATGATAATTGGAGCCACACAGCAAAGACACAGACACAGACACAGGATACTCAGACAGGTATTAGAAAAGTACAGCAGGGCAGGATACACATTGTCTTTTCACTCCTTCACTGATCGCAGTCGCAGTCCTCGGAGTCATCACCGCCCGCGGACGAGTCGTCACCCTCACCAGCGTCATCACCGTAGTCGTCGCCGTTGTCACCGGTAGTCGCATCGGCGCCGGTCTCGTCGCAGTCCTCACCATTGTCAGAGCCCGATCCACCAGTCGCAGAGGCACCGGCCGAGGCGGTCGCACCGGCACTGGCTGACGCAGTGGCAGAGGCCGAGGCGCCGCCGCTGCCAGTTGCACTGCCGCCGATGCTGATACCGCCGGAGCTGGAGCCAGAGCCGCCTGCACTTCCACCGGCGGAGCCGCCAACAGAACCAGAGCCAGAGCCAGAGCCAGAACCTTCGGTCGAGCCGGAGCCGGAACCAGGAGCAGAGGCACCCGTGTCGCCGCCGGCGGAGCCGCTAGCAGAGCCGCCAGTAGAGCCGGAACCTTCAGTCGAGCCGGAGCCGGAGCCAGTAGTAGAGGAACCAGCGTCACCACCTGCAGATCCTCCGGCGGAACCACCTGCGCTTCCCCCAACACTGCCAGAGCCGCCAACAGAGCCTGTGGCGGAACCTCCAGTAGAACCAGAACCAGAACCAGAACCAGTAGTAGAAGCACCCGTGTCACCACCTGCCGAACCGCTCGCGGATCCTCCAGAGCCGGTAGCTGAACCGCCAGTCGAACCAGATCCTGTAGCAGAAGCACCGGTATCACCACCAGCTGAGCCGCTGGCCGAACCGCCAGCACTTCCTCCAGCGCTGCCACCAGCAGATCCTCCAAGAGAACCACCAGCAGTACCAGAAGCGGAACCGCCCAGGGAACCGGTAGCAGAGCCACCGGCGGAGCCACCAGCGGAACCGCCGGCCGAACCAGATCCTGTAGCAGAAGCACCGGTATCACCACCAGCTGAGCCGCTGGCCGAACCGCCAGCACTTCCTCCAGCGCTGCCACCAGCAGATCCTCCAACGCTACCACCAGCAGATCCACCAGCGGAACCTCCGGCCGAGCCTTCGCCGGAGCCACCAGCAGATCCCCCTGCTGACCCTCCAGCGGAACCTCCAGCACTCACTCCTCCTTCACCATTTTCGTCACAGTCTTCGCCGGCGCCAGCGCTGCCGCCGAGGCCCAGGCCACCACCAAGATGACCGCCCAAACCACCACCGAGATGACCGCCAAGTCCACCACTCAGAAGACCACCCAAACCACCGCTGGCGCCAGCGGAGCCACCGGCTTCACCCTCGCAGGCTTCACATTCAGCGGATCCGGATCCGCCAAAACCATGGGAGAGCAGACCAGACAGGAGACCGAAGGTACGGGCCTTCAAGTGAGATTCGTCCTTGGAAGGGTGGGAGATGGGGGTCAGGAGTCTGGCGGCACGGGTCGGGGCGTTAGAGTCCTGGTTTTGAGAAAGGGTATTCACCGGCGCAGCCAGTGTTGAAGTTGCCGAGAGGGCGAGAAGAGAAAGAGCGAGATGCATTTTGAACGAAGGGAAGAACGATGGTGTTTAGTAAGTGAGAAGAATAGGAAACGAGAGGAAAAGAAGGAGGAGATGCTTCTACCAGAGGAGCAGTGAGTGGATTGGTGGATGATTAGGAGGAAGAGGATGGGAAGTTGAGAGGTATTTATGCATTGTGGTTGCTCGTTGACGTTGAAGAGATATTCTTCCTGGCCTTTGCAAATGTATGATTCTATTCCGAGCGGATGAAACGATGGCGTCAAGAGGGACAGGGCTTGATGGTGATCCGAGTTTTGGACAGAGACAAGGACATGGGGTGAAACCTGCTAAAGCACCCCGAGCTGGGGCTCCCAGGGCTGATCGAGTAGCAAGCTACTTCGGGTAACATCGTTGCTACATAGTTCTGCAGAGGCTGATGTGATAGATCTGTCCACCATGAGTGTCAGTTTGTCTTAGGGAAACCATTGAGCTCAATGGATGTGAACAGAAGTGAATTATGCTTAGCATCATGACATTAGGACACGACCTGTATCCCATGACTGCAACGGCCGAACACATCATCATACTCTACAGTGCAGCTTGCAAAACCGGTCTCGAGCCATTGCGAATAGAGTTACCCTGGTGGAGACCCCAGCCTTAGCACGAAAGGTTCAAGAGCATCGCACGAACGAGTTCCCATTCTGAACCTTCCAGCTCCTGATCAAGTCTTGTTTTCGCTCAAGCTCAGGTTTTGGATCGTCTGATGCCGGCTAGACCATGCGATCACCAGGGGTTTACCCCGTAGTTCAGTTTGAGAAGTTCTAAATTTGGTCTTCCGATTTACCCGTACCATGCAAAAATCATCGGAATGCCCCTTGGGTAAAGAAAGCGAGAAGAATCGAGATGTAACGAACTAGTGATCTGCCCTCGAAAGCAAGCATGTGTCAGGGATCCAGTGTAACATTGGAACTTGGTTCAAAGGTAATTCGAGGCCTCGGTATGGACTGGCTGCATGAATTCAGTTTCCTATCGGTATGAGTTAGTCAAGGACTCTGTTCAGCCTGTCTACATCCCGTAGCAATATTCCCGAACTCACCAGGTCAAGGCATGTGAGAAAACATCAAACAAGTGCCGAGCCTGAACTCCTGAGCAGTTCCTCTGTCGCAAACCATGTACTAGCAGGGGCTTGAAACTGGCTAGTAGGTTCCAAAGTGGATATTCCCAAACTCCGATCTTCGATGCCAAGCACCGGACTGTTTCTTCTTTCTGCAGGATCCTTGGAGGCTGGAACGTTCGGGGAAGCTGTCTCACTCCTAGGCGACCTATGCATTGGCTCTTGATGCCAGAAGAATCATGAATTGACGATGTGTCGCCGGCTTTGCTGAATTCTCTATTCTCACCATGACCGTGTGGGCGTTGTAGTGTGCAAGTGGATGAAAGTGAAACGGATGGGTCCGACTAGAGGTAAACCACCCCTGATGCCAAGACCTCGCCTATTGCCCCCAGCATCTTCCCCAACGTTGATCTACTTACTGATCGATAATGGGAAAGTCTTAAAATTCTTATCTCAGGAGTGATATCCCTGTTTTCAGCCTTGTGCATGTCGAACTTGAGTCAATTACTGCTAAATATAGTCATTGCTGAAACTCGACTATGCACTCGTGAGGGCTGCAGCTATCCCACACCCTGGAACTTCAACATATGGCGCAATGTATATTGCCTCAAGCTATACCGACCCAGTGCTATAATACTGTTATAGTCATGTGCGAAGCGTTTAGTTTGCCTATTTGCGTAAACGTTGACTGGGAATTCGGATACTGATCCGTGGTTGAGATAGACCGTCTACTCTTTCTCTTCCTGTTGGAGATATAGGTCCAAATCCACATCTTAATTCACGTACTATATCTGGAGCCTGGCAGGCGCAGCATATGCTCGATATAGTAGCCATTCCGAAGCTCAATGCTTGGTCAGGCTGCGATGGCTTCAGCAGCTATCCTAAGACAGGTGATTATTCAGATCACATTATAGCTAAGGCTGTAGACCCAAAACCAGTCCCCCTATGGTCCATAACATGAAGGGATCGGCTGAGATTATTCCAAAAATTGGACCATGGACTATGGAGTACGGGCCAGAAGCGATGTTTACCCAGTCCAGCATGAACGGATGTCCTGCCTCAGCAGGTCGCTCCACTGCATCCACTGGGATACCGGGAAAGGAAAGACAGACGCGATGTAGGATAGAAAGACAGGGATAGGGAAGAATTAACCATGGTTATTCAAGGTTACCGCTGAGATCGCTACCAACTATCCAGCTGATTTCATCCGACTTCTTCCGATGAGCATCTTCGATAGGAATTGATCATTATGTTATTTCAGGTACTATGATATGTGCTTTTCCCTACTGATCTTTCAGTTGAGCCAAAAGAATCTTCGAAATCAACGCAGCATCATTTGAAGTCACAACGCTTTTTTCTTCCACATATCCTCAACCAGACTGTTTAGTTGTCAGTGTTAGGGTCGGAATGACAATACCTGTCATCTTCAGAAATCCACCAGGTGACACTCCAGCTCAGCATAACGGTACCTGATTTGCAGGGGAACAAGACAAACATAACGCTTCCAGCACCAATATACCCTCTACCGAAAGATTCTCGGAATCTGGATCGAGCATCGTAACTACCCCAAGCCGAGATGGTACGCCGCTGACTTCATGTCAAACACACGCCGTCGTATCTCTCCATCGAAGCTGTAAAGGTCCACGTCCTGGGCAAAAGACCCGGCCGGCAGTGAGAGACAATTAGCCAGGGCCCCTGCGACGTGAATGTATGGATGAGTAACTAATGGCCGGGATGCTTACTACGATGGGAGTCTAGAACCTAGGAGGGAGATCAGAGCACGAAAGCTTTAGTCACTGTGTATGTTAATGTGCTACAATTGTTACTAAGCAGCTGCTGCAAGATTCAGATGAGATGATTGTCATTGGTCATAATACTAATCATAAAAGACATCGTCACGGCATAAGTGGATATCAAAACCAGTCAACTTCAAGCGTGCGAAAAAAGATGAAACGGGTATCATGCTTAGAAACCACGCTGGGTGCCCAGGGTGCCACGGTTGTCCAAGTCGGAATCAACACGGGGATCCACCTTGTTCATCAGGTTGGAGTTGTGGGGTCCGGCGGTGTGAGCGGTAGTGCCAGGGGCATTGTAGCTGTTGGAAGCAAGAGCCTCGTGGCGGGCGCGGTTGTCCCGGTCAGAATCGACACGGGGGTCTACCTTGTTCATCAGGTTGGAGTTGTGAGGACCGGTGTTTGTGCTGGTGTGAGTGCCCATGCCAGTTCCCAGTCCCATGCCAGTCCCCATGCCGGTGTTCATACCAGCGCCAGAACCGTAGGCGTGACCAGTGGTTCCGTGGGTAGTGCCGCGGTTGTCCATATCAGAGTCAACGCGGGGATCGATCTTGTTGGCAAGGTTGGAAGAATGAGGACCGTGGGCACCTCCCATGGCCTGATGGCGGGCACGGTTATCCATGTCGGAATCGATGCGAGGGTCGACCTTGTTCATCATGTTCGAGTTGTGGGGGCCGGCGTTGGTAGAAGTCGTGCCGTAGGTGTTGTGGGCGCCGGTGCCGTGGGTAGCGGTGGTACCGTAAGTACCACGGTTGTCCATGTCACTGTCAACCCGAGGGTCCATCTTGTTGGCCATGCTAGAGCCGTGAGGGCCATAGGCACCTCCCATGGTCTCATGGCGAGCACGGTTGTCCATGTCAGAGTCGATACGGGGGTCGACCTTGTTCATCATGTTCGAGTTGTGAGGTCCGGCGTTGGCAGAAGTCGTGCCGTAGGTGTTGTGGGCGCCGGTGGCATAAGCGCCGGTGGTGGCTCCAGCACCAGTGTGGGCACGGTTGTCTGAAAGAGTCAGTAAGTCAATCAGGAGGATCGAGTCAGTTCTTCTCACCTCTGTCGCTGTCAATGCGGGGATCAGCCTTGTTGGCGAGGTTGGAGCTGTGAGGGCCATGGGCTCCACCAATAGCTTCATGCCGGGCGCGGTTGTCCGCATCAGAGTCGACACGAGGATCAAGCTTGTTCACAATGTTGGAGTTGTGAGGGCCGTGGGTGGTGCTGGTAGTGCCAGTAGTGCCAGTAGTGCCAGTAGCAGCAGAGTGGCCATGGCCAGGCTCGATCGGGCGAGGACCGTGGGTGCTGGTGTGAGCGACCTTTTCACCATCCGGGCCCCGAGTTATCGTGGCGTGAGAACCAGGGTGGTGGTCTTTAAGTAGTGGTTAGCATTTGCAGAAGAGCTTGAGGTGCGAATATAACGTACCACGGTCGCTGTCAACACGGGGATCTAGCTTATTGGCGAGCTTGGAGTGGTGAGGACCATGGTTGGTGGTAGTGGTATCAGCAGTGGTGTGGTGAGTGCCGTGCTGAGCACCAGTGGTATTGGAGGTGTGGGTGGAATCGTGGTGATGGCCAGTAACGGCGTCCTTGACCTTGTGCATGAGTCCAGACATTATGACAGGTTGTTCGTATCAGGGTATATGCGAGGATAAGAAAGTTCAAAGATGATTGCTTGATTGTTCAGTTTAGTATGCTAATTGTTGTATGTTGAAGATGGAAGAATCTGAAGAGCATCTCGAAGCTTTATATCTTCAATTCAGCCATGAAAACAAATGACGTCAAGCCTCAAGCTCCATTCCAACTCAATTCAAGCGCATTCATCTCATTCACTCGTGGGTCCCTCCACCTCGAACCTGTCATATCAACCCCTGGCGGTACCTGAATGGAGCTGCCACATACCGGTCTGGGGTTATATCATATGTCGTCATACCTACGATGCTGGGCCATTATGTAACTAAAGATCACTTCACCAGCCACAGTGATAGCGCCACAGCGGTCACCTTCGCTCTAGGCCTTATATTATGATATGGTCATGGTCACTTCGTCAATAAAACATCCCAAGGTGTTACTGGTCAGGGGGATTGAGGATGAGGAGATCGTGTATCGATTTTCGGTAGCTGTGTAGCTAGGGTTTTCCACCAATCGGCATGGGAAGATGGCAACATGGAGGGACAATCAACCCAACCTTATCTCAGCTATAAGCCACAGGGACAGTCACAACTGTCACTGCTTCTTATTTTTAGAATACAGGCTTCAAGTTGCACTTGTTGCAGCAATCAAGCGTCTGGGCAATATCGCTGATCATGACTTCAGCCTTATGTCTGAGGCGCCTGAGTTAACTGAAAGAGGTTAGTCTCACATGACGCGGGACAGCTTGACGCGTTCGCGGTGGATATCTGGCCTCAGGCACTGTGCGCTGATGTCATCTGTACTGTCAGTGGTTCAGGACCAGTACATTGTGCTACAGTAGGTAACTACGTACTACAGGTTTCTACCAGGTACCTACTCTTGATAAGATCAAAGGACAATTACAGTGATATCATACCCTGTGCAACGAGATAAGTTCCTTCCACAGTGGAGATTCTCAGTCGTAGCCTAGAGCAGCCTTTACTTACCCCTTGCCCACAAGTCATTTCTTCGCAACCACAGGCAGAATTTGTTGGGATAGATCTACAATTACACAGCTAAATGCTCCATGAGATCATATGATCTCATATGTGTTTTGTCCTGTATCTACATTGGTTTCTTACAGTGTACAAGTGTACAGAAGATGTCGATCCTTGTGATCCTAACTCACCATGAATCATGGCGCCAAGTAACAGTAGAATTGCATTATTCAAGCATGATTCTATGTCCAACTTGCAGAAGGCATCTAAGCCCTCTTGTTGTTGATGCCAAGAAGCTCAACCTCGCTGTAATCCAGTAAGTCAGCTCCCATCTCTCTCCAAAAAACACAGTGATAACTTACAAGATGAGGGTAGAGTTGCCAGGGATGACAGGAGGGAAGCCACTAAGATGTAATGTCAGTTTACTGACACACGATGTCAGCTGTAGACACATACCGAGCGCCGTAGCCGTAGTCACTATCATATCACTCATTAGCAAAGGAACAGTATGAACTGAAGCTCAGGCAAACTTACGGAGTAATGGTGAGGACAGCCTTCTCGCCAAGGCTCATTTGAGGGACACCCTCATCCCAACCTATCCCCGTCAGCGTCCAACATCCCAGCAGATCCGTATTAAAATAAGGTACCCTTGATGACACGGCCAGTACCGATCTGAGTCTGGAAGGGGTCGTTCCGGTCGACGGAGCTGTCGAACCTAGGGTCCACCGTCAGCAATGTAGTCACAGAAAAGCAGGGAATCCTGCTCATAAAGACAGTGGATAGCTGTTATCGGCACCTACTTTGAGCCGTCGGTCAGTTTGCCGGTGTAGTGGATGGTGACAAAGTCGCCCTTTTGGGGGAAGTCGACGCCGTTGCCGGCGGACACGAGTTGCTTGGTGACACCCATTGTGATTTCTGGTGGAGGACAATAGAGGAAGAACGAGATAAATCTGGAGTTGTATTGAGATCAGGGGAAGGAGGAGATTTTTGCTGAATTTCCATCTCCAGGGCGGGGTATCTCAACAAAGCGCGCAGGAGGTGGGGGCACACCCCACCATTGCAGCTTCCTATTGGTCAGATGTTGAGAGCGCGAGATTATATCATCCTTGGCATGTGATTGCCATCAGTTGTCACTAATGAGCTGTATACAAACCTACAGGTATCAATCTTCAACTCTTGGATGGCGATAACTTGTCATTATTGCTAGAAATCACAGTGGTAGGTCTATATACGTCGTCATCATCATTAATACATTAGTCTAGTATAACTTTTTGACCCTCAATTGCCCATATTCGGTGAGAATAGATGAGCTCAACCTAGACAAGGATGTTAGCAATGCAGAAAGGATGAGCAATGATCTACTCTAAACTACAAGCACAGGCGATAGGAGCTAGTGTTGTTGCGTTCGGTTACCTACCTAGCAAATCGAATCAAGAAGCTTGTGCCAGTGTGCGACAACCTACCTGCGGTAATCATGCATATAGCACAGTCTATTTTATGACTGCAATGGCATGTATCTGTGGCGTTGGATCGAAAATGTAGTCGTCAATTACGAAGAGCCAAGGGCATCGCGGCAGGAGTAAGACGTAGGTAGAGATGTTGACAGATCTGCCACGCTCGCTCTGAAGCAGGATGCCGAGAAGCCATGGCTAAAAGCCAGTGCATGCCTTTCTGTATGTATCTTGAAATTAGCTCTGTATCCTTGGCTCCGTGCCTCATGCGAGAGTCCAACTCGATTAACAGCACAGTGAGGGCTTGCATGAGATCATGCAAGATCCAGCACCAGGGAGCAATGCGACTCAGCCAGATAATGTCCGGCTCATTAGGCAACTGCGAGAGCATATTGCAGGCCGCATTGGTGCAGATTTCCGACATCTCCTTCCATCTAGAGCTCGTAGCTTGACCACTTCGCTCCCATCGGTAAATGGCGATGCGGGCAATGGTCATTTTTGCGCTGTAGAACTGAAAAGCGAGACACCATCGCTGCGTCTCAAATGCCGGGTCCTCCCGAGGGCGGCTGAACTGGAATGGCTCGGGCAGCCTTCTTTGCAGGGAATTCATGGTCGAAATAAGGTCCTCAAGGGCTTTTTCCACCGAATAGCTGCTCGACCTGGTGGTTGCCGGAGCGTACAGCAGGTTGATTGCGCATCGCATAATCCGGGCGAGTTCAACGGTGAACAGAAAGTAGAGCGACGCGCACGGCTTGACGGCGGGAAGATAGGTTCCGGCATCCGGAGCCGTTGACGACAGCAGGGATTTGGAGAGAGCACGTCGAGCGTTGGCATCCGCCAGCAAGCGAGCAACAAACGCATCCCCAAACTGGTCCTCGTCAAAGGGAAGGGGCAACGGCGCCGTGCAGAACTGATTTGCCACACTGTACGGCCGACCCGTCATGACTGACAGAGTAGTTTCGAGGACGAAGATTGACCACCAGACTCGACAACGAAGCTCTTTCGAGATATCCAAGGTATCCTTGCTAACACTCCTAAGATGAAGACCCATAGCGATAGCGGAACGAGTTGCCGTACCGGATATTCTCCAAGCCCTGTCAACAGCGGTGTCAGATTAAGCACAAACGAGTCAAATTTAGTTATATTCGATTTTACTTACCTATTCACTTGGCCAATGATCAGCAGGTAAAATGCAGCAAGTCCTTCGATTTGGGCTTGTTGAATGTCAGGATGAGGAATCAAAGGAGTGTCGGCCAATCCCAGCTTGCTTCCCCGGGAGAAGTATATCGATGGGTCGTGCCATTCGTCGGCCTCATCAAAACACGTCAAGCTCAAATGCTGCGCAGCAATGGCAAGGATCAAGTTGAAAATAGCCAGCCATTTCTTTGGTGGCTTGGATTGAGGCTCGGAGTATAACCGTCGATACTGGTGTAGAAATACCGTTTTGCCGACAATGGGGAACCCAGGATGCACCATGTCAAAGTAAGTGTCGAGAAGTTCGTCTGCGACGTCTTGCGCAGGGATAGTAAATGACTGCACCGAAAGATCAACCGAGAGCTCCTCGTCATCTAGAAAATAATTGACGGAACTGATCGAGTCTGGAAAGAAGTCGTCTTGAGTCTCTGGACCTAACCATGAGGCGTCCAACCGGAGCCCTTTGCGCTTCAATTGATGCAACCATGACCTACCCGAGTGTGCACCAATGAATCCTGTCGCCTGACTTATCTTGTCCTTGTTGAAGTCTTCTTCGATGGGATCGGTGGTCGGAGTTACGAGGCGGGTAATAGCGTCGATGGATAGATCGCTGCTCGGGCTGAGACTCGCAGGCGGCGTCTCCTGTGGAATTGTTAGTCCGAATGGTTAGGGTCGTCTCAAGCAAATCAAAAAGGAATTCACCTTTTCCAGAGCTTTAGCGATCAATGGCTGGTCCTTGGCATCGGCTCTCGGTTGAATGCGCCGCAGCAAACGGTAGAATTCCTTCAACCGCTGCTCGAGATCCTGCAGTCGCCTCAAGATCAGGTCAGTAACACGCGTAAATGTGCTAAAGCATTGGGAGCCAGTAGCTTACCTTGCGACCTTCTCATTCTTGTTAGCTACAAACACGCACTCGGCTTTTAGCTCGCGGCATCTCTCACATGGGGATCCCCCAGTGCATTTTGCCTTTTGCTCTCTGCAACTAATACAAGCTCTGCTCGCTCGCCGGGGCCGAGGCTTTGCCGTTGTGATGCGCGGCAAGCTGACCTTGGGCAAAGACTGAGTTGATGGTGATTGTAGTGGACTATCGTCTGTCTGGATGCCACCTGGTGAGCCTTCCCTTTGACGCTTCCGTATCTGAGAAGCCTGACTCCGGGGGTCCATAGGGAAAGAAAATAGTCAAGTGATGAATTCAGACATAATGGAAAAAAACTAACTGCACAAAAATTGTTTATGATTTATCTTGAACGATGAAGTCATTCGGACCTGGACCTTGGCTTTTAAACTGCAGAGGAAGTAGATCTGCCTGAGCCACATGTGTATGGGCCCACAGCTGTCAGCTGGCCTATTTTCCTTTTGGGGAATGAGTTTCCAGAAAGTTCTTGTCGATTCCTCCCATTTTTGGTGTCGCGCAGCCACAGACGTAATAGTTGTTCTTGTAGGCTGACTGCCATTAAACAAATGGATTCAGGGACATGCCAATTACTTGCCTGGATCTCCAATCGCAATTGGAATTCAGGATCAGTCAATCTGCCCTAATTGATCTGCATAGATTAGACAAGTGGATTGGACTGTTCAGGACTCAAGAAGAGCGGGATGACCTCACCGGAGAAAATGAATAAGCCAGAAGGACCCACCTGTCAAGCCACTTTCATCAAACAACTAAAGCCACAGCGAATATCCAATCATCAGGATGCATCTATTGTTGTGCACCTACCATGGTTTGCGTCAGTCTGTGGGGATTGCGGGCAATTACAGTATTATCACTCTTTCTGCTTGCTAAACAAACACACGGCTGCACGGTGCACCCTACCTCTAGCTTGTGCCAAAACAATAACAACCCTTAGCGAGTGTCGATCAAGTCGGATCGTTTCCGAGTGTTCCTAGATTGCTCTCGGAGATACGACGGATCTATAGCTTCGAGATACTGCTGCTGTGATGCTATCCACAAGCCAAGTCACAACTGCTAGCAGCCTTTGAGTAGCCAGACAAGGAGGTCTTTATGTCCAAAAGCCATGAATATGTTGCTATCTCTGGCAACTGGCTAGTTTCAATTCCAGTAATCTACTTGAGGATAGACATGTTCATATCTTCAAGGATAACACTGATCTAGATGACCTTGACGGTTCAGCTCTGAAACATGTTTCAATATAATCTTCATTGAACTGCAAATCAAAAAGAGACAGTGTCAACCGATAGCCGAAGTCCCGAGCGTTAAACCATTGGCATGATCTTCACCTTGCTGATAATAATACTCAAGTCGTCAACTGGTCAACTAGTATCGCGTGTTATTTATCTTCCAATGAATTCCTTTCGGTGACATTCTGTCTCATTTCACACTAGCCTCTTCTGGTCATGCAACTATAATTCGAATATATATTGACTCCCGCAGTTACCCCAGTGGGCCCAGTCTCAGAAAATACTCAAGACACTCGGACAGCATCGCTTCAGATATATACAGTTGCCCGAGCGCTCCCAAGTTCGGTAAGTGGCTTCTACAACAGCCTGCTATTGTCTCCATTGCTCTTTTCAGAACATATTCAAGAAGGAAACAACGATACAATCCAGTATATTGACCCTATATGCAACGAGTACCGTACAAAACCCCCACAAAATCCACCCATCAAATCACCACCATGCCATAAAACACAAAAGCGCCCAGCTTTTTAATACACCAAGCACTTTTCTTTTCTTCCCTTCCTTTCCACATCCACAGAAGAAACGGAATCAAGTACACCGCGCCCTCCTCTTCTCGATATAACTCGTAATCGGCCCATCCCCACACCTTGCATGCCGCACCAACTCCTCCTTCAGCGAGAGCAATGCATCCCGCAGCGTCTGCACCTGGTACTGCAGCTCGCGTTTCGCAAGCGATAGGGCCTCGAAGCGGGATTGCAGTTGCTGGATGTACTGCTTTTTCTTGGAGCGGCATTTCGTCGCCGCCACGCGGTTCTTGTGGAGGTAGCGTTGGCGTTTGATGGTGTTTGTTTGGGGTGAGTCGGTGGCGAGCGGGGAGGCTGGTTTGGAGAATGGTGCGCTGAGAGCTTGGGGTTGATATGCTGATACTCTGGGCTGGGGTGCGGGGTTGCCTCTGCCCAAGGGAAGGCGGGCTGGTCGAGGTACAGAGGTTGAGGGGGGAGGTAGGCGTAGGTGTAGAGTTCAGCGGGAACGGTATAGGCATATGCATCGATGATGTTTTTCGATGCTTCTGGGGGAAACTGGGAGAATTGGCTGGCGTAGGGGGACTGTGTTTCGTAGGCGGATTGATTTGGCGAGAAGGATTCCGCTGTGATTGTAGTTGTGTAAGTGCCTGTTGAAGACGGATAGTATGGTGGTAAGAAGGAGTTGTAATCATCCGGGCTATAGCTGGGAGGAGGGTATGATTCTGTCATTTGAGTGCACATATTACGTATATCACAACGGGGAGTGGAGAGTATAGTTGAGGAGAGTAAGGACTAAATCAGTCTGCCTGAGGACTTAGCAGCCATCATATATGCTTGCCACCTCGTAAGCTACACAGAGGGCCGTCTGTACAGGGCCGACATCTGCGCGACATGATTACGTTTAAGTTTCTTTGTGCATAACTCAAACGCCTTGTCTTGGACGTACTTGAGGTACTTTTACGAGTCATTGGTGGATGAAATTCAGCCTGTGTCCAAGATGGGCATGTGTATGGCAACGGCATCAAGCGGAGATGACTGGCTCTGAGCAACAGATACGAGTTGATGCTCTCTTCCCGTGTCGCTGGTTGGAACCCTGATAATCATCAATGATATCGGGGCTTACACTAAACGAATCAAGCCTATCGCAGTGCGAGGTTTCTTATCCCGAAAGCAGATACCCCTTGCCTTTTCGGTCCTTTTTCCGAAGCTATAGACAGGACGGACTGGTTGATTAGGCCTGCAATTGACTGTGTCGGGATCTCGGTCACAGTACATTAGAACATTCTACGTCCCTCCCTCTGGTAGCTAGAACTGCCAAAACCCGGGGTTTGCAGTCTTACTTGTATCCCAGGTTCCCTGGTTGGTTGGTACTTAAGAGAAGGCTGATTGCATGATGCGTGCATGGTGGAGATGATCTCCATTATTGTTCAATGGGGCAGAGAGGACCTTGGATAGTGGCGTTTAATCTGAGACAGACTATGTCCGGCATAGCCGATTGTTCTCCTCGCTCAGAATACTTTTGACTGTTGAGTCATGCATACATCTCAAAAGGACCTACAGAGCTGCACGCGGTGGACAAAGGTCGACGATCGACCCACTCGACACATTTCAAGGCAAATTGGTTCTCGAAACTAATCTGCATGTCGACATACCGTGTAGGAGATCATTTCCGATATTGTTCTCATTGGTGTCAGGATCAGACTCCAGACACGGGCCAGCTCGAGTGATTGTGGGGTTGCCAAGGAAGAACCACCATCAGGCCATCGGACCCTCGAGTGAGGCAATTGAGACGATCAACATAATTTTCAACGGGCTCTGAATGGTTCGGATGCATTCCCCGACGGTTGAGTCGACAATCATAAAGACATACCCTGATACCCAGGCCGGAAGTCAGACGCTGGCACTGGGGGAGAAATGAGGGGTAACAAGATCAACAACACCAGCCCCCACCACGAAACAGGCAATCAACGGGATCGTCGATACTCTCGATGGGATACATTTTCTGAATCTACCAGATACCTTGCTGATGTTGATTGGATAAAGGATTGCTTTTGGCTCTAATGATGACGCGGACATTAATGTAGTCAGCGTTTGGAGCTAATAGCATACAGTGTTTCGCTGCTTCGCGGATGGTCTTTGATAGCTTCGAGGCCCTCGACGGCTACAATCGGCCAGTATGAACTGAATCGTCATGTTTTGTAATCTTCAGCCCATCTTCCTCTGACTTGAGTAGATGTCATCAAGAAACACGAGTTCTGTGGTGGAATAAAGTGCATGCAAGATACCTCCAGAATGTATCCTTTGGGTTTCGGAAAGGATTCCGGCCTTTCCTGCTCGGCCAGCCTCGTCTCCAGCTGTCTTCTATTGGCGGGAGGTAGCCGGGGAATTTACCAAAGGTCCCGCAAACTCAATCCCTGTTAACAAACGGGGGAGATAGGCAGTACTCAAGTCGATAAAGTGGAGCAGGGCACAGGGCACAAACCGGTTCTGAGGATGATTGACATTGAGCCTCGTGTTGACTATGAATAACGGGGAGGCTGCGATACCTTGCACATGTGTCCAGTGTTCCACAGATCAAGCATTTAGCTCTGGGCTGATCGATGGACACGGCTTACTATTCGTGGATTATCAGACGTCTTTTAAATAGGATGAACATGATACATGACTAGTCATGGCCACATTGACGAATGTGGCTGTCTGATCATTGAGCTGAAACACTGCCAGGAGAAACGCCTGCGTCCTAAAGCCGGAGAGTTGGAAGCAGTATCGCTAAGCATCAAGGGAGATCGTATTCGGATATGGCCCAGATCAGATTCTCCGAGGACCCTGTTAGAAAGTCTTGCCATGAAGTTCTCGGGAGAATACCCGACCAAGACCAAATGTCGAGGATACCTTGTTTGCTGCTGCTCACTAAAAAGCTGCTACGACCTTGGCGAACAGTGAGAGAAACCATTATAGGTAAATGGTCAGCGACGTTACCCGATTCCCCTTTTGAGTTTCCCCGTTTCCGCGGACTTGCTGAGATTTCTAATGGCCGGAACGTGACTCGATCTCGCTTCGATACGTCCTGAGTGCCGGCTCCAGTCAAATTCTTTTCCTCTCAGTGATCCTCATCTGAAGTCGAAGTAGCCCTGGCAATTGGCCTGCTTGAGAGCACACAGTCACAAAGTCAGTACAGCCATATTCAAGTCCCCTCGCAGCTGCATCACTACCATCAGCGAGCATGTCGTATTGCTTTACCCTCACAGCTACACTATCTCAGTCCTGGGGACAGATTCTCTCCGCCCCTCTTTGCGAACAACGACGCGACGGAGCCTTGGTATGATAAAGACAACGGTCTCTGCTTCGGAGCATTGGTTTGGAGGTTGAATGTAAAGGCACTGGTCCGTGTTGAGACCGTGCCTTTCTCAGCTACTAACAGTTATTTCAGAGATCCAGGGTGAAAAGGTTGGCACTGGTAGCAACTATTTGGCCTTCGTAGGGAGGTCACTATACACTGTACACTTTTTACTTGCGAAGAGGGATCACCATCTTGAACCTATCTGGCCCAGCGAGTGGGGTGTACTCAACTTCGTCCGACCTAGCAGATCTTGTTCCGGATCTGGTTGAGCGCCTTTCGCCGTCGAGGAATTTCGTACTCGTTTTATATACCGCGGCAAATCGTCTTTTTGATGGCAGAGTTGTAGAGTCACTGTTGACGGTGGCGACGGTGGTGGATGAAGAAAAGTTCGAGCCGAAGACGGGTGGATAGTGGTGTTCGCACAGGTAGTAGAGGGCTTCAGCTATATAAACCACATCATTAGTATCTATACTCACGCAGATGATGATCACCCGAGATGTCAATGTGTACTGGTAAAGTAGGATCTGTCAGAGAAGCATCAAGATGTACCTTTATCTTTGATAGACTTACTTTCATAACAGCAAAAAGACATTGGAGGTTCTCAACAGTTTGGCAGTGTTTATCTTTACATAACAGTAGGTCACATCGCAGGTATTCCACATGACTATAGACTTGATTGAGAAGGCTTTATGGATTGATATGATGAGGTAGTTGGTGGAGGTTGGACGTGATGGTATGAAGGCATGTGGTGCTGTCTGAGAAAGAAAGGGGGAGGGACAGCACCCCGTCAGCAAGACCGCCCAAAAGCAATTCGGCTCATGGTGTTCTTTCTCGATGGCAATTTCCGCGGACAGAACAAGAGGAGGACATCTTCCAATAATGTGCACTTCCATAATACCACGTCCTTTGCAGGGGTTTAACTCTAGGTCGAATCCCTGCCTTGTCGATTTCGTCTTATTATACTCTTAATTCTTTTCCGCCCACCACCTCATTCATACTCGTTGGGAGCTACCAAGTGCAGATGACATGAAGCAACATTTAACAGAGAGCGTAGTTCTGGCACCAAAAGCCAAAACTTTTCTTCTTTTTGACTGAAACCTATTCATCCTTGAATAAATGCCCGAGGGCCTGGTCGAAACGCACCAAGAGGGGTTCTTCCTATCTTCTTTCATCAACCATAGCATCACTTCTTTATTATGGCCACCACAGATCAACTCTCTATTCAAATATCTACTGTTTGAATGCTCAACGAACTTGAATACACGCTCCTGCACCATGACTGCAAGTCTTCAACAAACCCAAAGCCTTCTTACGGCGCTAAATATCCTCCACTGATTAAGCAGATGTGATGTCCTCCAACGTCAGTATTCCTAAGCGCCGACATGCCAGGGTCCAACAATTCCATACCAAGAGTTCACCGGCGCTTAGCCTTCCCAAAATAACCAGCAGATAAATGACTTAAAAGAGCCTCTCGCACACATCTCCCATTCTCTCACCTCTAACGCTGTCTCAAGCAGCACAATGTCTCTCTCAGCAATATGTCTCGTCCTCCTCCTCACCCTCGCCCCAGTCACAGCAACTTGCTACTGGCCCAATGGCGACACAGACGACAACTACACCCCCTGCCCCAACAGCAAATCCTGCTGTCTCAAAGGCGAAGCCTGCCTCTCCAACGGCCTCTGCTACGGCGCAACCCTCAACATCGCCTATCGCGGTGCCTGTGCCGATAAATCCTGGCCGGCCAAGGAGTGTCCGCATGTTTGTCTCGACTGTACGCGTTCTCCGTTTGCCGTCTGGCTTTGACTGATTTGAAAGTAGCGATCCCCGACCACTGGGCAAATCTTTACTCGTGCCCCAATTCCTCGACGAATGTGTTCACGTGCGGGTATGCGGGGTGGGCGACGGACGTCTGTAGTGCGAATCTGGGGCAGTGGCTGTGGGTGAGTGGGAATGTTGAGGTTGCGAAGAATGGGAATCCGAGTCCGTCTGCCTCTGCTTCCACAGTGCTGGACATTATCACAACCACGTCGTCGGTTTCTGGTTCGTCTACGGGGACGCCGAGGGGGACGATTACGAAGGATATCGTCACGACTACTGGGTCTGAGTCTGCTACGGCGACGGGGACAGGGACAGGGACAGAGACGGGTACTCCGAAATCGACGGATACCTCTATCTCTGCGATGACGCTCGGCGCGGGATTAGGGGTTGGACTCGGCGTCCCACTGGTAGTCGTATCGGGGCTACTAATCTTTTGTATCCGGATGCGGAGGCGAGCGCCGGCAGCGCCAGCACCGCCGGTCAATGAAAAGGTCTACCCTGGAGCTGTATACTACCCAGGTCCAGCAGAGATTGCCACGCAGAGACACAATATGGCTACGGAGCTGGAGGGGTCGAGGCATGTTCTGCCTGATCGACCAGAGTTATACGGGTAGTTAGTTTATGCTCTGCTTGTATTGAAAATGTATATTTCTGCTCAAAGCTGCCACCACCCCGGCGTGGACCATAAGTCGATCGTACTAGCCTGCCCCTGCACATCAGCCCACGCCGCGGGAGTCACCCAATTAATACAATCCCAAACATCCTGACTCGACAGGCCCAGTTCATTTCCCGCGTACGCCACCGGAACGGTCTGCGGGACCTGGACCCCCGACTGCAAATCAACCGGATACACCCGCCCGGCGCAGCAGGGGACATCTCATCCGACGAGTCCACCGACACGGTCATCATCCCCAACCTCACCAACGACGCCCGAAATATCCTGGCAATGAGATCCAGACTCGGCCGCGCAGTAGGATGCCACGCCTCGACGCGCGCAATCGCCGCCATGGCGACCTCAACCTGCTCCCTGCACGACTCCACCATCTTTATGTCCGTATCCCCCTCCGCCTCCGCCGCAAGGATACTCAACGTCAACAGCGGCACCAGGCTCGCCTGGAACCCATGCCAGATGACCCCCCACGCAGCCGGCGGACTCTTCGTCTGCGCCTCTGCAATGTCGCATATCGCCTCTCTCGCGAGCAGCTGGCACTTCTCAATCGCGAGGCGCTCTTCGGTGTGGAGCGTGATGGCGGGAACCCGGCGGAGGGCATAGCGGAGCAGGACGGGGCGGTAGAGGAGGATGCGCAGGTTATGCAGACTCCAGCGCATGCGGGTGCGGGCTGTGTGGATTGAGTCCGGGCATGGTTCGTAGGTCTTCAGGAGCGGTGGGAGCTGCGCGTACCAGTCTGTTAGCTCGGCGTCGAGGTCTTGGAGTTGAGAGTAGGGCGGAAGAGGGGATGCGGCGAGGGCTTCCTGGGCGCGGGTGGCGATCTGGCAGAAGCGGATGTTTTCGAGGAGGATGAGGGTGGTGGATGTGTTCTGTTCGGGTGTTAGTTGATGAGTGGCAGGATGACAAGAAGGAAACAGGCGACCATACCGCTGGCGGCTTTGTCGAGACGGCCACCGACGAGCGGCCTAGCGTTGGCCGTCCGAGGGTCATGCAACCCCATGTATCGAGGCAGTAGAGTGACCACCAGATGCGCCGGCGCAGGTCGACGGGCACAGACGACGACTGGAGCGGTCTGGTCTCGCTCGCGTCTGTGTCTGTGGTCTCTTTGTGTAGGCCTAGCGCGGTGGCCATCCGTACCGCGGCTCCGATGAGCACGTACGCCAGGTTCGGCTGGCTGATGTAGTGCAGGTAGTGGCCGGCCATGATGCCGAGGGTCTGGACAGTCTCGATGTGTGCGCTGCCGAGGGATTCGAGGGAGAGGTGTTGGCGCGCGCGCTTGCAGTAGACGATGTGCGTGGTGTCGTCGCTGGGGTAGAGGGAGATGCTGCCTAGGGCGAGGACCATGTTCATGAGGGCGAGCCAGTGCTCGTCGCGTCGGGTGTTGGATACGTAGGTCTGTCGGAAATCGGACTCGTCCAGGAGCGGCATGGAGGGATGGATGAAGTTGAAGTAGGCGTCGATGAGTTGGTCGCTGGCTTGGGACTCGGTTGATGGGGCTATGGGCACTTGCGGTTTCCGTCTAGGCTTGTTTCTCAGTGGAGTTGCAGTGGACGGTCGAGCAATTGATTCCGGATTGACCCAGCTGATCACCTTGAGGACGGCATTGATGGAGGAGATGCCCAGGTAGGTGGACGGCGGACGCGTCGCTATCGAGAGCGCGTTGACATCATCCGACACATCGTCCTTGTCATTGACAGTATTAACTTCACCACTCTCAGCATTTCCCATTGACATCGCCTCCAAAGACGATCGCGAGTGATCCTCATCCGGACTCTCTGGAGGCTGCGGAGGGGGTCGATCCGAGCCAAGTATACTATCTCGCAACAGATCCAGGAGCTCCTCACGCGTCAGAGCCACAAGTGACTGCAGCGAGACCGAAGGAAACAATCTCTCCAAAACAGATCGGTACTGACTATCGGCATGGGAGCCATTGCCTCGCGTCCCGCTGTGTGGTACTCTGGGATCCGAATAGCGGCACAGCTCGGGCTTCTTGTAGTACAGACACGGCTCGCAAGGATGCGTCCCCGTGCAGCGGATCTTGCGTCGACGACATTCCTTGCAGGCTCGTAATCCTGGCCGTCTTCCTCGCCGTTCTTCTCCAGTCGCTGGGCGCGGGTTACTGTGGCGGAGTTCAAAGGTGTGGAACATTTTTCAGTGAATGTTTTCGTAGAAGCAAGTCGAGTAATCGTTGATACTTTCTTCAGAGAGCATGTTTGAAGTCGTCAGTTGAGTAGATGGCCGGTTGTGATGACTCTGTGGTGATCGTGTCAGGCGTGTCCAGATTGCCCACCCACCCCCTACTCCAGTTCTTGCATAATCGATCATAATAGTGATAATAAGACTATGGCTGAAATGAGATTGAAGTTGCCACAGTACTTGCCCCGGATTCTACCCCGCACAGTGAGATTACTCTAGCAGCCAGGAAGCTAACACACATAGTGTGACTATCGGGTGTGATGGGCATATGTGCTCTCGGACCCTGTACGCCAGGATAACGCATAGCTATCTGAACGTATCACAGTCTACTGACTAGCAACTAGCAGAAACAGGAAATCGCAGCAGTTATACTTCAGGTGCCAGAATTTAGGCTGTCGAGTACGGAGTTGTCCATTATTGTGTGTCAGTTCTTGACACCCTGGCCTTAGTCGGTTTCAGATAAGGTGTCTCCGGCTAATGTTGTCAAAACCCGAGTCTGCTTCCCATATGCATAGGAGAATTGCCAGGGGGTTTGATTTCAAGGTCTAGGGGTCTCAAGTTACAGAAATATAATATGTATCAAACAGCCCATTTCCATAGAGGTATCAAAAAAATCACGGGGAGCTGGGCCTGACCCCTAATTCATATCTACCCACTCGCAACTTTGCAACAAGATCAGACAGGGTTGACTTAATCTGAAGTTCTGCTGTCCGTGTTGAACCTTCAAAAGTCTTCTTGCAGAATGACATCCTACCAGCTGACGATGGCCAAGTGGACGTGAACTGTTAGCGTGGAATCTCAATGCCGAAAGGACTAGCTCATATCAAGGAACGGGATTCTTGCCTTACCTTATCAGGAAGCTGGTTAGCTTTAGGCCCCGATTCTTGATATACTGTCACAGGCCCAAGTTCGAGGCTTTGAAGTCGGCTGGGGGTTAAGCTCATCGGATCGTCGGGTCGAAAGCCGGTGTAGGCTGAAATCTATGATCTATAAGCGCTGAGGATGACAACATCATTTTGTTATGCACCTGACTGTGAATATGTGACACCCACGCAGCCATTGCTGAGGAGTACGCTTCCCCTGCCGTAGCACTGTGTGCTCTCACATGGTGACAACAATGGCCATCCCAACTGCCTTACGAGGCATCGATCATGAGAGCGTCACATGATGCTTTCGCGGCTATACTTCACTTCTCTCACTTCGTCAGAGATATTTCTTCCCCTGACCAATATCTGTCCGCAACCATTAAATGGAACGCCAGGTAGTCTCAATGATCCGGCCCATACTGACTACAAAACTGAAAATTCAGTCCCCGCCAGAAGATGCAGGCATGCGCCAGGTCCGAACGCTCGTCCACTCCCTCAAACTCTTCCCTTTCAGAGACGGCTTCGTCACTCGGTGCCAAGACAAGCCTCCTACGCAACGCAACTTCAGCTTGTTCGCGAAAGTAGCTGATTACAATGTCTTGAATACAGAACAGGTATAGAGCGCGGTCAGACTGTTTACATCGAATGAGCTGCTTGCGGCCCAGGAAGGATCACCTGAGAAGGCTTTCAAGGGCGTCCATGGGCGGGATGGTCTCGAGGAGACGTTACGGACCCGGATGCGGAGATTATTCCGGAGGTATTGAAGAAGGTTCGTGCATGATGTCGCCTATCGCCAGAGGTAGCTTAGCCTACGAAATGAGTGCTAATGTGCATCAAAACTGATCTTCCACCGAGGACTCATTGCAGTGTCAGCGTAGGCGCATCAGATGAAATCCCATGTAGCGACACGTCCCTGTGGTCATGCACTGTTTCACGGGCAATACGGCTGGCTACCCTCCAGCGCTTCAGTCGCCGATTTCGAGTCGACCAGTGTGGAATTGTAAACCTGGCCGCTCCGCAGGCACAGATTGAAATGTCTGATTCAAATGACGAGGGACAGGGACCCGCGCGGACTGACGATGCCAATCAATCTATTTCCTGTAGCTCCTGACATTCCGGCGCGGTTGAGGTTCTCCTGGAAGCTATGAAAAGGGGATGATCTCCTAGAAATAGCTTTGCAGCGGACCGTCTCGGCGTATGAGGTGGCTCGCTGTGTTCTTCATAGAGCGGCTGAGCGATCAACGCAGCTGCTGTACTTTTTGCTGCGATTTCGGGTCGGTTGTGTGATCGTTCGGGTTGGATGATCGCCATCGAGGGACTTTCGTTCGGTAATGAATCATGGATGTCCTTCCAGTCACTGAGAGCGCGCGAGGAGGATATGGCATCAGGGTGATTTGGCCCTAATGTTTTGTTGCGAAGCTCAGAACATTTTCCCATTAGGCCCAAGGCGTCCTGCAGCTTTCCTTGAGTTTTCCAGGTATAGGCCAAATTGTGCATGCTGAGAAGAGTATCAGGATGTTCACCTCCTAGGATGATCTTGCTCATCTCTAATACTTGCAACCCAAGCTTCTCGGCTTGATCCCATCTTTCCTGCCTCCAGTACGTTAATGCTAGGTTTGCCATGCTGGCAAGAGTATCAGGATATTCAGCCCCCAGCACAGTCTTCCTTATCTCTAATACTTGCAACTCAAGCTTCTCAGCTTCATCCCGTCGTTCCTGCGCCCAATAGGTTGACGCTAGGTTTGCCATGCTGGATAAAGCAGAGAGATGATCGGACCCAGTTTCCTCCTGTTTGATCCTTGTTAGCTCAGTGTATAGCACCTCTGCTTCACTCCATCTTCCATCTTCGTAAAGGCAATCTGCAATATTCTGAATCAAATCAATATACTCTTTCCACTGCGCTGTGAATTCATCATATGCAAGGGATAAGGCATGTGGGAGGTATTCTCGCCAGAGTCCTCGATTTGTATAGTTGTCATCTGGGAACACCTTGCGCATCTGATCAGCGGCCCTCTGGATCCAGTGACCAAACAGGGCATTCTGCCGTAGCCAGTTCCTCATCGCAATATGCACTAGTCTGTGTAGGTTTATGCCCGTATCTTGGCTGTTGGTAAACGCGTATGCATTCAGAAGTCCCAAAGCATCAATTCCGCGTTTGCTGGATTTGGCATGGGAAGAAGGGACTGAGGGATGTTTCGTGAATTGATACAGGCCATGAAAGATAGAAGGTCGGCTGCCAGTGGGTCCTGGCGTTGGATCTGTTTGAATGAGATCAGCCATGTGGTGATCACTGGATTCTGCAGATCCTTATAGCGTCCTTCATCCTTGAAGTCCTCGCTCAGGAGTTCCACTACCTCTGGTTCCTGTTCTTGTAGAAGCGCAGAGTAGGTGGACAGGCTCAGGCCATTTTTATTAATGTATGCCGATGCCTGCGAGATTGCCAAGGGGAGGAAGGCCAGTTTCTCCAGAACAGCAACTGCTGTGGGATGATCCTGAAGCAGACCCTTATCTACCAGTGACCTTTCGAGAATTTTCAACGCAGTGTTCTCATCCACATCTGGAATAGGAACGATATTGGACGATGTTAGCTCCATAGCAAGTTTCCGGTTCCTTGTGGTGAACAGAATGCGGCCTTGTTCATTCTGAGGGAGAAAGTCCTCAAGAGCTGGACCTGCACGATCATCTGACAGCCACATGTCCATGTCATCAGCGTTGTCAAAGATCAGAAGCCACTTTCCGGCTTGCCTGGAGCTGAGGTATTTTTTGACTTGCGCTTTGACTTCTGCCGGCTTCACATCGTGAAGTCCAAGAGCTTGCGCGATATTCAGGTACGTCTGCTCCATCACCTCATAGCTAGTGCATGCAAGCCAGAAGATCGAGCACTCCGTATCTCGATCCCGTATGCGGTATGCAAGCTCCAAGGCCACTTGCGTTTTCCCAACTCCTCCTAAACCTGTAATGGCAACTTTTCTGGGCCCATTCCAAATCATTCGCGAGAAAAGTCTTGCTCATGACATCGAAGATTTTCCTGGGAATTCGTCTCTCTCGTCGCGACTGGCGGCCCGCCAAACACAACCAACGGTGCAACCCCCGTGTGGGAGCCCTTCATATCCATGTACAAAGACGAGGTGACTGTCTACTACTCCGATCAACGGGATCCTCTCCACGGCCAGAAACTGGCCCACCAGTCGACGCGAGACCTCATCCACTGGGGCCCCGTCGTCAACGACGCAGCCTATGCGAACTACACCCTGCGTCCCGGCATGACGACAGTTGCTCAGATCGGAAACGGGAAGTACCTCCTCTCGTACGAACTGGCCAACGCCCCCGAAGTCCCGTACGCAGTCCACTACCGTATCGCCGACAACCCGCTCAAGTTCGACCAAGCGACGCCTTACCTGCTCACGTCTAGAGATGGGACGATCCCGTCCGCATGCCCGTACACCGTCTGGACGCCTGTTGGTGGGCCGCACGGTACCATTGTCATGAGTGATGGCACCTACTCGGAAGTCTTTATCAACCGGGACAACGGCAACCCCCGCACCTGGATCAAGGTGCCTACCGGTAAGGGCGTGGCGTATTCTAGAGCGTTAACAGTCATGCCGGACCCGAGTGTGATATTGTTCTTCAATGGGGGTATGTTTGGTGAAAAGAATACTACTGTTACGGCGGGGGAGTGGATTGTCCCGAGGCATCCTGATCACTTTTAGGGTGTATGCTCCCTTCTCCATATAGCTCTCTCGCGCAATCACAATAAAAACCAAAATGAAGAATGGTTCTTCAAGGAATTCTCAATAGGCTGAAGAAAGCATGCAGACGGTAGTAGCATTGCTGTTACTCATGCAGCAGGGGGATTTACCCGCGCGTTGTTAATATCCATGATGTCTCCGGCGGGTAACAGGGATATAAAACAACTATCAAACAAGATCACATCCTTAGGGCTGCTTTAGTCCTTCCTTCTCGGCAATCAGCCTGGGACAACTGCCGTCTCAGGGATGCTGAGGCTACAACCATTACCACTACAAAATCAGAAATTCCTCAAACTTCCCTCCCTTAATCTCAGAAAGCAGCGGAGTAGGATGTTCTTTCTGGTCCTCCGCGATGCCCTCGACGAAAACGTTTCCAACCATACGATAATGCACCACATCTTCGTCGGTGTTGCGGAAGCCCGAGTCCCGCAAGGCGATAGGACTCATCATTTTGCCCGAAAGAATTAATAGATCTCCTTCCTGAATGTGCCCAACGCTAATGCCAAACCCGCCCGTTGGACAATTCGTCAGCTGAAAGACCGTCCTTCCTGCGAGGGATGGCAGATCCCGCAGGAGCTGTTTCACAGGTTTCGATGACTGGGTAGAGTCGGGAAAGTCGTCAGGAGAACTGGTGAGTTGTTCCAGGGCGTTGAGGATATCGTCTATTGCGAACGTCTGCTGCATCTCGCCATGGGCAAGAAAAGCCCAGACTAAGCGTTCCGTCATGTTCGCCTCGTCAACACCATTGCCCCATTCGGAGGCCGGCTCATTAACTGCATCCAGAATCCGCCGGGCAATTTCCACAGTCTCGTCCGGGAACTTGTAAATGATTCGAGTCCTGCCCACCCTTCTGGCCCAGAACCGTAGCACGTACTTGCCCGGAAGCAAGGACAAGTTCGTCATATAATCTTTCTGCTCCCAGTCCTGGAGAGACTTGTCGATCTCCTTATATCTAAAACTGCTTCTAGACGTTGAATCCCGATAGTTCGGCACCCACGATGGGCTGGGGCCACCCAGGATATTCCCACGGGGCCCGTTGTAGAAATGAAACATGTTGAACACGAAATCGACCCCCTCGTAGACCAAAATCCAGAGCGTGATTTGGAGCGCCACCTCGTCCGCAGTATATTCGTAATCGACGGGGTACTTCTTTTGGACGCCGTCGACCATGGAGTACAACGCGTAGAAGCGGTCGAGGGGATTGTAGCATTGGCGCTGGACGGTCAGATCGAGCACATCCGCAAAGGATGACAGACCTTTCCGGCTGGCTGCGATATCGTGTGCAAAGTCCTGCATAGGATTTGACTGCGTGAGTCGTTGCAGCGCTTCCCTCAGGCGGCTCTGGAGCTTCCGGTGGTTTTCAATGTCGGCTGCATCGCCCGCACGCGGAGCCACTTTGTCGAGATTTTCCATGAAGGGGTTCAGAACCTCCGGAAAGTGTAGACCCAGATCGACTAGCGAGGGGAGGGTAAAGGAGATGTTGCCAACCATGCACACGGGGAGCTTCTCGGGGAGATAGTACTCCTGGAAGGTCCACATGCGTCCCCAGTATGGCGCCGAAACGATGTCCAGAAAGCCCTGGACAGCGTCTAGAATAGATCCAATCGTGTCGCGCTGGTTCTTCCGGCTCCACGGCCGCGTAATCATCCGTACGTCCTGGAGGATGCCCGCCAGACTGCTTTCTCTTTGCTTGATCATCGACATCGTCCGTTCCATGTTGGAATTTATTGGTCCGAGCCATGCAACGACAGAGGTTGCGTCCTTGTAGATACGGCCCATGAGAGGGAGCTGGGTGTTCTTTTCTTTGACGTGGTTTTGATCGATGCAGATAAAGTCAATCCAGATGAGGCGCTTCTTCCGGGAATGTCGAAGGCATTTCAGCGCTGCGTCAAGGTTCGTTGTGACCTGAAATGGGATGTCGTTCACCAAGATTTCCACCTTTTCAACAACATTTCCCCAGACATATGAGAGAGCCTCGAATTGGGGTGAGTGGTTGAGTGACACGGTCTGCAAAGTGCATCTCACTGGGCTTTTTCCATTCTTGTCGGGTAGGATAGTGAGAAGGCGAATCTCCGCAGCCTCAGGATTGAGAGGAGAGTACGGAAAGGAGTCCGAAGGATGATTCATTGGGGAAGACAGGCTTTCTAATACAGATCTAAGCACGATCCGGTGAGATGTGAAGATGTTCGAGATGGAGATGTAGACATATCCAGTAGTGTTGGCCGTCCGAGCGCTTTGACCAAGTCAGCTTATACACGAAGGCTGGGATCCCCGCACTTCCGAGACAGAAGTCAGAGAGAAGAGAATACAGCATTCAAGTATATCTGTTGGAATCGCTGAAGGCTCTTGCCGTTCATGGATCACTAGTAATTACTATGGCCAATCAAAAATCAATGAAGGTCTGATTCTTCTAAAGAAATGACTGTCTAGCTCCTATTTATATCTTTGGTTAGGGCCAGATTTAAGCAAATTCAAACATGAATATTTTACTGAGAGTATCAGTGCGAAGTAAACCTTTTCTGCCTTCCTAATTAGGTAAGCAGTACTATAATTTAATACACCCCTCAGCTGAGCTGATAGGCAAAGCTACAAAATCTGCAGCTGTTAAAGCTATATCTATCTCCTAATTAGGTAATTATATTCAATTAATAGTGTAGATTAGGTTAAATGTTTAATATCTTCTACCTGATTAGTTAATGAGCCTAACCATTCTGTAAAAGTTAATATACTTAATCTTTAGTAATATCTTTGTCAGGCCATCTGCTGGCAGAGATGAATTGTACACCTGCATGAAATCGCATGGTTATACAAGAAGTAGGCATCAGAATGGCAGGAACACGCGGGTCTCTTGTGATATCTGTTCCTAGGTCAACAGCCAGCGCGACACTGTATCTAGTCCTTGTTCAAGACCATGCTTCCCAACTTCCAGGCCCGTCCATTCGCCATATTAGTTGTTCTGTCATTTGACATGCCGATCCTCCATGCCCCTAGTGCAGTGAAGTCGCCATGTACACTGTGATACGTGCCGACTAGTCGGCATCGCTGCACCTTCATTTCCTCATCCAAAAACATCTCTGTTTCCGCCTGGTCGATCACTGGCTGTAGAACATAAAGTGCTCTGCTGGGCTGAGGTCTGCTTTCTGTAAGTCGGCGAGGATCGCCTCCCACTCAGAAACCGCCAGATCTTCCCCATACTTTACTCCTTCCCCACGACCTGAGCGGATTGGTTTGATAATAAACTCATCCTTAGATACCTTTCCTTGGTAGTACATGTTAACGATTTGTTGCAGCTCCTTTGACCCAGGGATGGCAGTGGGTATCATCCTCTTTCGGAGCAGGTCAGCCTGCTCCTTCACCAAGACGTGGTGCTTAATGACGAGGTCGTCTAATTCTTGGAGAAGAATTCCCAGAATGCGCTTGTCGTGGATGAGAAGCATAGTGCGAATATCCTGTGCGCTGCAGAGCGCCAAGTGTTGTTGAATTTCCGACGAGAGCGACGCAAATTCATCGAGAAACAGCTGGAGTCTCACTTGGTAGATACGCTCAAGGCCCGCGTTCTGCACATCTCTCGATGGAAGTGATTCGCTATCACGAGTGCAATGTAGGGCATACCCGGTTGGTGAAGTAGCGTCGGGCACAAGACGCAGATCGGCTGGGGCCACGATACGGGGTCTCATTCGCGTCCTCTCCTCCGCGAAATCTATAAAGGACTCGACCAGCGGAGTTTCTTCTCTAACTCGAACAAGATGAATAGGCAGGGCCGGGTCGAAAAGGTCGAAATAGCGATCCAGCATCTGGCCAGGATCTGCTGCGATGTCAAGCCAGCGTGGGTTAGGGCCCAGCTTTTCCAAGGACCTGTAAATCCAAGCATTCAAGTCAATGCCATTGGATGCGAACCGAGCATTGATTTCGCATATTTTGAATCCTTCGGGGTCGTCGGCAGGGAGGAGTAGGTCCGGTCGCCAGTTCCCCTGGTGTCCCTCATACGCAGGGAATGTGTTGTCTTCGCTGCATTGATATATCCACTTAAGACAGGGTAATGATTAATGAACCACACTCACACTAATGCCTATTTCATAGTGCCATGGCCATACCTGAAGCAGCTGTTCTTCGCGACTCTCAAGGGGCATTCTTGAAGGGAAGTCAGCCTCTTTGTCTGCATACCATCTTTGCACTATATTCGTCAAAGCGCGTGCAAGTGCCACATGGAAATGCTCTAGCTCTGTCACAAATTGAGTGGGAATCAATACCGGATGAGGACACATAAAGTTCAATGAGTAAGGGAGTGTGTGTGCCCCTCCAGTGTAGCTTAACAACACAGAGAGATAGGCATCCTGATCAGACAGTCTATCATCACGCGGTGCACTTGTTATGGGAACTTGCACACCTGCTTTTCTAGAGGCCCCCACACAGATCTGCGGTATATGGGAAAGACCAATGCTACCCATCTTGAGTTACAGGACAAAGATGTCTACTAGAAACCCAAAGAGCAGACTTGAAATTGTTGTTGGCTTTAGTTCTTATGCTGTGATACAGACAATGATTATATATGTAAACTGGCAACAAAATGTCGGTTTGAATTGTATTTGGAATGGAACTACGGAGCCCGCCGTAACAAGAAGAGTGTTGCATCCACCAATTATTCCGGGATGCCAACGTCAATGTTACATGGAGGTGTAGATGTGCTACATTTATCAGTAGGAGCCGTCATCCATTTTCCGTCTGATTTCAGATTTTATTTATGAGGAAATTTCCAACAGCGAGCTGAGAACCTGATCCTATAGTTGATGTCATCACGAGGTTCCCCTATCCACCAGTGAGGTCCGTTTTCATCAAATGCTTGAAACTGGCTGATATATTCTTTGTGGCGAAGGTGTTTCGAAATCTGGCTGGATATCAAACAGAGAGCGCCCCCCACTGTCATGTCGGTTTCGGGAGGAATCCAGAATTGTAGTGATCATAATATACGGACACAATATACTGGGAACGGTAAGTAGCCACGCCCAGACAATTTGACTAGAACCTTAGATAAACAACAGATGTAGGTCAGCGGATGGAACGCTACGACGGTATTCAGTGTCAATGACCAGTTGACATTGTACGTTGTCGGATTCGGCGAGATTGGAAGATGTTTCCGTGAGCCCGTATCTCCCCTATCTTTATGTCCTGGTCCCAGAGCGCTTCACTCTATACAGCGGGTGGCTTTGGCCCTCTAACGTGCTTGTGTTTCTTCTCCATATTGCTGCGCGCCGAGCCCACCATAGTCTCCCACAAACCTGCAAGATGGACAGCATTTCTAAGTCGCCTAACCACCAGCAAGTCTGCTGGTCAGTCACAGATGCAACGCGCGAACCAGTTCCAGCGATTGATGCCAAAAAGGAAGATCGAAGCCGTGAGGCAGAAGCTGAAAGAAAACTAATCCACCATCCTGGCTTTAACCCAAAGGACGAGACTTGTTCACCTCACCCAATCATGACTGACAAAAGCTTTATCATGCATATGGAATTTTTCAACGACGCTCTTGTGAAGGCTGTTGTCAATATTGTAGATCGATGGTGGATGGACACCGATGCCAACTTTCCGGCTAGAATGCCTTTGGAAGCGCCAGTGGAGGCAGCGTTACAGGTGGGTGATATTGCCTCCATGTCTCTAAACTAGACGACTGATCAATGCTAAACCCGTAGCTAGTGGATAGACCAGCAAACACGCAACCAGACCTTCCCAGAATTGAAGGACCATCTTGGAAACTGGAGACCTGATTTCCTCATCACCGGGAATGACAACGCCATGGGCCCTGGGTTTCAGATCTGCGAAATCAACAGCCGCACGCCTGATAATGTATTGCTTCGCAGCGCGCACAGACACCGCAGAATGCGCCAATTGATCGGAGCCAGCTCCGGTCTGCAGCCTGCAGGAGACCCCGACGATTGGGAAGCGAGCCTACTTCGTCTATTTCACACACACCTGCCGGTCCATATCCTTCGAGGAAGAGATGAATTCGGGCGACAGGAACTCGTGCAAATGATGGAATTGAGGACCGGGATCTGTCCGCGAATTGTCCATGTAGATGAATTGGAGTTGAAGCCTGACGAGTCTTCTGGGACGGGTTATTCGCTCTATTACCAAGGCGAGGGCGTATCCGAAAAGATACATCAGGTGGTCTCGACGCTTTTCCCAGACGAGTTCGGCCTGCTGCCGCAAGGTATGCTTCGACAGCTAGCAACGGTGGCAGTGAACGATCTTCGGATTTCCTTACTTGTGAACGATGAGCGTTTTCTAGGCATTATATTACAAGAGCTCGACACTCTAGTTACCAAGCATGGCATCCTAACTCCTGGCCAAGCCAACGCTCTCCAACAAGGCCTAGTACCTACACTGCTCCCGGGATCCCCAGAACTCAAGCGATGGATGGAAAGAAACAACAAAGGCGAAACGAGCAAAGACAACTATATTCTAAAAGCAGCACGCCAAAGCCGCGGAAGTGGCCATTTACTTGGCGCGGATCTCTCCCCGCAAGAATGGGCAAGTATCATGCGTGACATGCAAGATCCGAGTATCCGCCCAGGCGCTACATCCTACGTACTCCAGCCATTTGTACCACAGGTAAGACTCGATCTAATCAGTACGGAAGACGAAGAGTGCCATGGAAGCCTCATGGTAGGTTGTTATTATACTGTGAATGGTCGATTTCTTGGTCTTGGACCGTGGCGTTCAAGTACGGGGAAAATCTGCAATGTTTATAGCGGCTCGGGGTGTGTGGTTTTGTATCCGGTTACTCAGGTCGATCTGGATAATTGAAGGGCTTGGAGAAAAGTATGTATAACATGGTGTGCATAGAAATGCCGCTCAGGCAAGGGGGAAAAAAAAAGCTATGTTACATAAGCGTGCGTGCAATTTCTATGTCATGGTTTATATTGACACCATGAGTCACCGCATGATTGACACTATGTCTACGGCAAGCCATTGGGACAAAACTGAAAAAACGCATTTAGGTGTTCAAGTATTTAGACCGCTCAGAGAGTTGGGCTCTTGACTAATCGAATCACCAACATGACTACGGGCGATACTTGGAAAACTGGTAGCATGGTGATGAAGATGAAAAGAAACAGTAACTAATTTACAAGTGTGTGTCACCAGATTTATCCCTCGTAATTAGGGTGACCCTCCAAAGATTTTATGACCCTCAGGTGCGGTGAGGGTCGTCAGTCTACGACCCTCCCCTCCGGAGGGGCGAGTCGCGGGTCGGTCTGGGTCATGGCGACGTCTAACCACTTTGAGAACAGGCGTTGTCACATGACCGTCACGTGACATATGTTCTACTACTACTTCCCATATTAGCTATCATCCATACTAGTTAGGATCATCAGATATACATTTCCATTTTCCACCATACATTTCCAAGATTGTAGTATAGGCATACTATAATTGGTAGCATGTCTCCTGTTTGACTAGGAGCACCAACCTCTTCCGACCTCCATGAAATTGAAGCGACATCCGCAACGGATTTCACGCTGACAACTTTTATGAGATTAGACGCTGTCTATGTTCTGCTTAGGAAGATGACACAGCAACACACTACTATAATACTATAATTTATGAATCTAACCTCCTCTTCCCCTCTCACTAATATAAATGAAACGTCTGGCCCGGCAAGACATTCTCTATAAGATAAATAAATTAAAACTAATCCTTTAGGGTGCTTTATAAGATGTACTACCTAGTTAAGTCTTTCTACTAGACTGCCTGCACCTGTTAACCTCAACCACCTTCCCTCCTTCTACATCCAACATCCCATCAACACTAGCTCATTAAAGGAAGAAGGTCTAACTTATAGCAAATATATTCCCCTCCCTTAGTAAAGGGAAGTCCGCCTCAACAGAAGACACCCATGGTATGAGTTCTAGAATAGGGTCTGGTTATACTAGAACACATAATAGATAACCCTCTAGATTAGGCCTAGCGAGCTACTCCCTTGGAGACATAGAATAGGATAATCTCTCCATGCTAGAATTACATTAATCCCTTAAGGGTGATAACATTATTATTACCTAAATAAGGGATAAACTGAACACTCTGCTTGAACTAGACTAGTAACTACCTAAGGATCCCATAGAGGGGCCTTTAGTTACTAAACTACCTCCTAAGAGCTGACTTAAGGTTTTAAAAGAATTATATACTATGAAGCAATATAAACATTCTACTATATTAATTATATAGCTTTAGAATCACAGGAATGACTCCCCTAAATTTAGTAAACTAGTTAATAGATATATTATAGCAGTTGACGTTGCTAAAGCATTGGGTATTATATTAATAATGGGCTGTAAACGCATAGATAAGCTATATATAGAGATATATTTAGGCACCCCCTCATCTGAATGCTTTAGGACACTCTATAACATATTACCCACCATAATAAAAGAATTTAGAACAGGTCCTAACTACTAAGTGGATAGATATGACCTACTAGACCTTAACACTCTCAGCTACAGGGGCAGTGTTGATGTTAGTATTACTAATTACTTTAATACTACATAGAAACAGAAATGGGACTAATGTGCAGAAGAATGCATCTCTTAGCTTAAACAAGCTATTAAGGATTAATGAGCCCTCACTAAGAGAATATAATGACTTGAATGAGAATCCATAGCCAGGACTGAACATGAATATTGAGCCCCCAGACCTTGAGATCTTACTGAGGACATCTACAGTCCCCATAACTATAGCCCTTGATAGTATGATGACCCACATGACGCTCACTGTTCCCATGAGAACTGAGATGACCCTACACAGAACACAGGATGATACTCTTTATGAGATGTGTATAGCGGGGCTGACTTACACAGGTTTAATAACTACTAGAGAAATAACTACCATAGAGGTGGCATGGGTAGACGTCACGGCTACAGGGATAATGAATACACTAACTATGCTGCTAATGATATATGTGATAGTCAGAGTTTTCTAATTAATGGTAATAGCTGTTATAACCCTTAAGAAGAAGAACATCCCGCATACATGAATAGAAGGGAGGACTACTTTAGATGTCAGGCTAGATGCCAAGCAGATGCCTATGATGACCTACCCTATAAAAACTTCTAATATCCTTTCATAAGTAATGGCTCCAGGGCGGCGGACAGACTATTCTAACTTAAACTAGATGATGTCATGATATTTAATCCAGCCTTAACTAACATGAAGTTCTTTATACACAGAATTTAGATCATAGCTCAATAAGAGGGTGTATAGTCTATTCTAAATATACTTCCCTTTTATCTGAAGGGCCATGCATTAACCTAGCATACTAAGCTACCTAATAACATCTAGGATAAGATGGCCTAGTCACTAGATGCCTAGATAAGAGCACTTAACAAAGAGTTCACAGCTAACCTAATTAATATAAGACACAAAGCATGTGAATTACATTTCTCATTCATCTAAGCAGATGATATGACCCTCTTAGACTACCTTATAAAGAAGGTCTCACTTCTACATACAGCAGGTACCACTGATTCTAAATCCATTAAAAGCAAACTATAGGAAGGTCTAGACTATAGACTCACTAGCCTTATCCCACCAACTCCGACAGAAATACTTGAGCAATTCAAATAGAGGATCTAGGTGAATAAGGCCGGAGCTAGATGTCTTTAGGATGCTAAATAATATAAATCTAAGTATAAATAATAATCCTTCATAAAAGATTATATAAAGGAGGATTGGATTAACCACCTACTATCTAAGCTTAGCAGGAAGCTACTTGATAATGTGGACATCAAAGAAGACTTAACAACTAATAAGGCTACTAATAGCAAAATGCTGTCTATCTAGAAATATTCTATAGGTTATAAACTAGCCAGGCTATATTACTACTGCGGTGGCAAGCACTGGGATAATAACTGCACTAAAAAACCTAAAACTAAATAGGTGAACATATTAGAAGTAGATAACTTAGATAATAAAGATATTAAACTGCTAGAGGAGCTTACATCAGATATAATATCTAAATCCTTAATAAACTAGATATAGGATGCTAGAAGGAGGATATTATCCCTAACAGATAACCACCTCCTTAACTATTATAGAATAGTCAGGTTTTATGCACCTTATTTATATTAGAGAGTACCTATAACACTAAAAACTGCTACATTGATACTAGATCTAAGTTATGCACAATCTCTTAGGAAGTTTACAATATATATTTTAAATAATACCTAACAGCACCACATCTTATACATATAAAAGGAATTAGCTAAGATACTATAACCTCTATAGAAATTATATAATTAATAATCACCCTTATAGACATCAGCTATAACAAGGCCATACTATGAGGTGACTTCTATATCCTTCCTAATCTCTCTAAGGGAATGATCATTGGCACGGACGCATGCCAATAGAATAGGATGATCATAGACTTTACTACAGGCACTATATCTATTAATAGACACAAGGTGCATGCCATAGCATCAAAACTAAGGCTAACACTCTCTTATAAGAAATATACTGTCTACACCACTATGGCTATAATGATATAACTAAATTAAGGAGCAGCACTACTAGTGTGATTCTCTAAATATATATTATAAGATACTACCATCTTACAGCTATCACTAGTACCACAGGTGGACACATCCTATAACTCTTTTAGCAGTCTGCCATACGCTCTCATCTCTACACAGAACACCTTACTATCTTACGCAAACATGGGCGACGCCTAGATTTATATTTGCAAAGGCTAGCTACTTAGATATATCTCTATACCCAGAGAGACAGCCCACATAGACAAGATGATTAACTTTATAGGACAGTTACATAATGATGAGATATCTAGACACCTAACAGCAACAGTTCTTAATATATTAACTTCTGACCTAGATACAACTCTGATACTAGGGACAATCAAGCCACCCTAGATAGACCTAACACTCATTCTAGATGCTGATGTCTTAGACTACTGGGGGATGGAATATAGCATATAAGTAAGAATAATTCTAGATAAACATAAACATCTGTTTAGACCTAGTATTAGTAGATTTAATGATGGTATACACATGCCCATCCCATTTAAAAATAAGACTAATATAGATAATCTAAAGTAAACACCATTTACTCTACTAAAACAGGACCATGATGTAATAGATACTATTCTTAATCCTATAAAGAAGGATAGCCTAGTAGAGGATGTCCTATTAGACCAGCCATTGCCTATTATATCACTAGCATTTATTATCTGGCAATAAGGTAAGCCTAGAGTTATTATTAATTTATACTAAGTGAATATAAAGCTCATGCTAAATGCATACCCTTTACCTTAATAAGATAAGATCTTAGGGGTGATGGGCGGTGTGATAATTTTTTTATTACTAAATATTATAAAAGAATTCTTTAATTAACTAATTAAATAGGATGATAGATAGAAGACCACTTTTACTACTTAATATCATGGATACAAACAACTTACTATTATATTAATAGGATTAGCTATGGTTCCAGGATTCTTCTAGGCTTATATAGAACACATCCTATCTTAATACCTCTAGGACTTTATACTAGTATATATAGATAATGTTATTATCTATAGCTATGACTAAGAACAGTACTTAAGCCACCTTAACTAGATTCTCACCCTTCTTAAAGACTCTGGCATAGCACTTTTACTTATAAAGTGCCACTTTACATACCTATCTATCAAGATATTAGGACACCATGTATCTAGACTCAGGATCAGCACTACTAAGGATAAAATTACTATAATTAGAGTAATAGCATTCCTAGACACCCTAGAAGGCCTTAAGAAAGGAGTCACATTCTTTAATTACTATTAAATATTTATACCACACTTTATAGTAATAGCCAAACCACTATATAGACTCAAAACCCTATATCTTCACCCAGGACCAGCAAAAGGACAAGCATAAAAATACTATATTACTCAAATAGTAGTAGATATTAGGGACACAGACATAAAATAGCTACTCCAGGACGCTCGCTGAGTATAGGACCTAATTAAAGAATAATTAACAACTACACCAATCTTGCATACCCTGACTTTACTAGACCATTCAAGATTTATATTAATCATTCAAGATTTATATTAATAGGAGTAAGGAATGGGGTTTTAGGATAGCTATATATTAAACTAATAAGGATAGAGTAGAACATCCTATCCTCTTCCTTTTAAAGTTACTAACTCTAGCTAAATAAAACTACACTGCTACTAAACTTAAATATACAGCCCTCATCTAGGCGCTAATACATCTTCTATAATATATAGATAGTAAGTTTACTATCATCACTAACCATTCTGCACTGGTAGATGCTCTTTAGTGAACCCTATAAGGATGGTCAGCATAGCTTAACTAATAGGCCCTCTTTCTAGCTAGGTTTCTTCCTTAAATAATAATACTTTACTAAAAGGGTAAACTCTATATAAATACTAATACACTTTCCTAGTTTCCCATACCAACTTATGAAGCAGACAACCCTCACCCTATACAGGACACCAAGCTCTAGGAACACATGCTGGTGGATAGAGACCTTCCCACATCCATCAACCATATAATAATAATAGGAGTAGATGAGACCTTCCTACAAGCAGTCTATAATAGGTTATCTGCAGATAGAATGTTCTATTCTTTACTATAAAGGATACAAGACTAACAGCAGGACGCAGAGAAACAACACAGGAAGATATAAGATAATATAACAGAACCTTATCCTAAACCCTACAGACACTGCAACACCAGCAGAGATACTAAAACAGACCCTAATTAGTATCAGAACTTCTTACTGCGAGACAGTCTCCTATTTAACATCAGGTTGCCTAACTACAGACTATGCATCCTAAAGAAATTCAGCTAACAGATCTTCCAGCAGGTCCATGACAACAGAGGACACATTAGATTTAATAAGACATATAAGATCCTGACAGATGAATTCTTCATGCTAAACATAAAGATAGACCTATAAATATACATCCTTAAATGCCCCATCTGTAGCATAGTAAAATAATCTAAATATAAGCCCTACAGATAATTCTAACTAGTCAAGCAACCCACTGAGCTTTTCTAGGTACTCTATCTAGACTTTATAACAGGACTCCTAGAAAGCTAGGGTTATAATACTATCCTAATAGTCACTAATAAGTTATTAAAAGCTATACACCTAGTTCTAGGAAAAGAAACCTGCACAGTAGAAGAATGGGCAGATATGTTCTTTACACACATGCTAAAAGACTAGGGCCTGCTAAATGCTATTATATTAGATAGAGACCTAAAATTCTACAGCATGTTCTGGAAATAGATCTTTTTAAAATATAAAGTTTAGCTCTATATAACCACTGCCTTTAATCCCCACGCGGATGGACAATTAGAGAAAATAAATAATATAGTTAAGACTATACTCTAATCCCTGCTAATCAGATAATATAAAGCTGGCTAGAGACCCATATTACCAGATATAGAGTAGATAATTAATATACTTCTATTAGTATCTACAAACACAACACTATATGAAATTCTGTATAGATGGATACCACAACTACTTCTAATAATAGGGGATAATAATAATAACTTCCTAATAAGATGCCATAGCATTTAATAAGCTGTTAAGGACAGAGTAGACTTAGTGATAGCATACATAGTGATTATATATAATAATAAATATAAACCTATTAAGCTAAAAGACTAGGTATATATTAAGATTATTAAAGGTATTAGAACTAGCTACTCCTTACCCTTATCTTTAAAGTTATCACTAGTCAAATAGGGACCCTTTCATATTAAAAGGAAGGTTGGATATCTTACTTATAAACTTAATCTGCCTATAATATAGAGAATCCATCCTATTATATCTATCATTCATCTTAAGTAAGCATACCCTAATAATATATACCACCGCACTGCCCCAAGGATTGAAGACGCAGCACCTATTATAGTTAATAGATAAGAAGAATATAAAATAGAACAGATCTGTCACGGGCTAGAATATCTCAGTCCGAGGCTTTACTCTAGCCGTCCCAATAGGCCACGAAGGTATGAAGTGGAATTGCTAGAGAAGGAAGGAAACTAGGTACAGGCGGCTATCATACTAATCAATGTAATAACCAGTCCTAATCACGTGATTGATCAGTTGGTGGTGTCCAGGCTGGACGCTAGTTGCTAGTTAGGTGATTACACAGCCACGTACATAAGGTGGCGCGTGTCATGGGGGCAGCCTATGACAATACCCCCTCCTTTAAGGCCACCTCTGGGGGCTGTTAATGGAAGAGGGCGTCCATAGCAGAACTTTGGGCTGTTGTCTTAGTACGGGGCTTAGCAGGGGCAGGTGTAGGTGAACCAGGCTGGGATGTAGTAGGTGAGCTAGAGTGACATGAGTGCTGATTGCATTCCTTAATCCAATGGTCATCAGAACCACAGTACAGGCAGAGGTCATGTTCTAGTTGGTAAGAACAGCGTTTAGAAGCAGGCGATTGAGAGTGGCGTCTGGAGGCAGGTCTAATAGCATGTGTGTGGGAAATCCTAATGGGGTCTGTATCCATTGGGTTGGTATGGTGAGTCTGGCTAGGTGCTGGTTTCATAGCAGGGTTCTTGACAGGCTGGGCATGATGGGTACATTAATTAATAAGCTGGACAAGCTCTACATATTCATTATATGAGAGGCTAAAGAGGGTGTCGTTCGTATCTTCAAGGGTCTGGTGAAGGGAGGGGCGAAGCCCTCTATATAAGGTGGATAAGTGTGAACTATCTGGCTATATAGTTGCTCCAGCCTCATACATAAGGCGCTTAAAGCGGGCAAGAAAGGCAATAAGGGACTTATCTTCCTGTTGCTGCACAGTAGTAAAGTGCTGCATGGCTTCCTGGTGTTCTCTGGGATTATGGCAAAGATGCTGGAAGAATGAGAAGATGACTTCTGCATCCCATAACTGGGTTTCTTCTGCAGATTGGCGTAGGTGAAGGACTGAAGCCTGTTGTGGCTGTTCTAGTTAATCCCATACATAATTAAAAGCATCAGCTCCAGTGAGCTTGTCTGATTGGAGTTTTGCTTGGATGGATGGGAGCCAGGTGCGCAGAGTATATGGTTTGCCATCAAAATGGGGAGGGTCTGGTAGGCGGGATCTTGACATAGATAAGAGCTGGGTCTGGAGTAGCTGGACGTCAGCTCGGGAGGTATTTAGATCTGCATGTAGGGTCTGGATCTCGGTGCGCTGGTTCTGGAGTTCTTGCTGGAGTTGCTGTATAAGTAGGAGGAGGGTGGATTGGTCAGACATCTTGTAAAATTTTCAGGGGGTCAGGTCTGATCAGGGGTAGTGAAAATTCTCTCTGAGGATTTGCAATAGCTTTGTTGGCTATTGTCACTACTAGCAGGCAGGTGAGCAATTCCAACTGTCATGGGCTAGAATATCTCAGTCCGAGGCTTTACTCTAGCTGTCCTAATAGGCCATGAAGGTATGAAGTGGAATTGCTAGAGAAGGAAGGAAACTAGGTACAGGCGGCTATCATACTAATCAATGTAATAACCAGTCCTAATCACGTGATTGATCAGTTGGTGGTGTCCAGGCTGGACGCCAGTTGCTAGTCAGGTGATCACACAGCCGCGTACACAAGGCGGCGCGTGTCATGGGGGCAGCCCATGACAAGATCATCTAATAATCTACAGATTAATATCTTATAAAGTAGAAGAAGGGTAATAAGACCTAGGAACCACTTACTAATATAAAGGAAGATATCCCTAACCTTCTTAGGTATTTCCAGGCAAAACAATATTAAAAGTAAGTAGATATAAAGTAATACTATTCTCTTCTTACTCTCCCTCTAAACTATCTATTTATATCTTACCTTACCTTCTACTTATATATAACCTTACCTTCTACTTATAATTTACCTTACCTCCCACTTACACCTTACCTTACATTACTAATCTTTTATAAGTATAAATACTCACCTCCCCTTATCTCCCTCTCCTATAACCTTTTATCTTCTATCTTCATCTATCCTTAATCTTAATATGGACCTGACACTTTACTAGAACCAGAATAATTAGAACCTACACAATAACAACATGCCTAGGGTTGATAAGATAAGCCTTATAATAAACACACTATTACTGCCCCTCACACATCCTTAGATACCATCAGATGGAGAGGGCCTGACTAATAATCAAGATGTATAGACAGTTATTAAACTATATATAGAAGAATAACCCATTCCACCTAACTATGTTAAGCTATCAGACATCTAGATATTCAAAATCCTTATAAATAAGTTAATCACCACGGATAATAGATACACAAACTAGCCTTTTAACTTTGCAAAACATGGCGGCATACAACCAGGATAAAGACTAACTAGTCCTACTATATTTATCTGAAAGGGCTTAAAACTCTACTTCCTTATTTTCACAAAGTATTACATACTCTGTGGCACTCCCTGCGCTAATATTAAGAATTAGCTATGCAGGACATGGGCAGAAGGTAAATAGAGAAATAAGGAACACATAAGATAGTTATATAATTTAGTAGAAGTTCTAAAAACAGCAAGAATAGAATATATGCTTATCATTAACCTCACTAACCTAACTACCACACTATCAGATACTATATAATATAAAGCACCTTCACTGGATGTTGATCCTACTAAGTATAATTAGGATTATATCTTACTAACTATTAATGACATTTCCTTTGTTATGAAACCAGTGACTGTTAAGAATATTACTGATATTGCAAAGAAGATAGTTATGTGTAAGACTAAGGTCAGAAATAAAATATTTACCTTATACACCTATAAACAGCCTATTAACACGCCTTCTGTACCCCTGGATGCATAGCCTAATATACATCCTCTATCCTCTAGTCCACAGCCTAATGTACAGATCACTAGCATAACTAATAATACTCACAGTTCTGGATCCTTAAATATATGGAATATGCAACCTGAGAGTGCTGTGCCCTTAAATACCCTGAGCTATCAGCATCTTAATAACATGCTTAGGCAAATTAACTAGACACCAGCTAAACCACCTAACCCTGCCATAACTTAATTAAACCTTGCTTCTGCATCTTCATTTAACTCTGCTATATCATTTAATGCTGACTTCCGCGACATTAAATGAAGATAGCTTAGTATAGAGAATAAAGGGGAATCTAACCCCTAGGCTAAGATAGCAAAATAAATCATCATTAATGGGGAACAAATAGAATATCTATATTAGGAAAAAGTAAAGGGACTTGTGACTATGATTAATATAATACAGGACATGGTTAACACTATGAAGGAAAATCTTTAATAAATGTCATTTAATACACTATTCTTAGTAGTAGTATAAACAGTCTAGAGGATGATACAAGACAACTAGCATGATAAAACTAGAGTTCAGGATGTCACTAATAATATGTGAGAAGCACTTGATAGGATGTGCTCTGTTAGCAGTTGAAATATGTTATATGTCCTTTTCCATGTGAACATGATAGCAGTTAAAATACAAACTTCATGAAAATGGATGATACATCTTACAATTTGACTTGCCCGAGATGGGCTTTCGCGGGATGGGGGTGCTGTCACATGACCGTTATATGACATATGTTCTACTACTACTTCCCGTATTAGCTATCATCCGTACTAGTTAGGATCATCAGATATACATTTCCATTTTCCACCATACGTTTCCAAGATCGTAGTATAGGCATACTACAGGCGTAGCCATCTTTTATACCTTCTTTTCCAAGCCAACGTTTATTTTCTCCTAAGGTGTCAAAAGGGTCTACAGTACTTCTTCTGCACAAGGGCGCGGATGCAAATGCTCCCGCCTTGCCTATCAAAGGGGCCGCTCAGCACAGCCGTCTAGACATGGTGCGCATGCTGCTGAATGTAAACTCCCGCCAGACAGAAGCGTGGTTCAACGCGCCATTTCTTTGGCCAAAGAAAATAGTCTTCCTGCCATGGTTGGCTTACTCGAGCGTCACTGTACGGAAGGAACAGATCACTGCACGAATGAATGTGGCGTCAAGTCTATGATGGCACTGCTCATATTCCAATGGTATGGTAGTATTTTGATAGAAAACTAAGCATAGAGAAGAGGGGGAAGAAGTATGTACATAGTGGGGAGATATGTAAACAGAGGGTGGAACAGTGCAAACAATCCAAACAGCCCTAGAGAGGTAAGTGGTCAAGATGGGCAGAAAGCTCCATGTAAGGAGGTCCGCGGGGAATATAGTAATGGATTATCACATTACCCCCCCTTTAGGTTCCGGATGCCCTCATCTAGGGTTTATCATCATCAGGGTGATCATCAAGGAATACATCATCTTTAGCTGCTTGTAGCCATTCTGGTAGGCGTATTAGCAGGCCTAGCATGGCTAGATATCAGGCGTGGAAGTCACAGAGCAACATTAGGGAGTTCCTAAAATTTCAGGCTAGATACCAGGCAAGATTAATATCATGACTAAGCTATCTTACCCAGTACTGGAGCTTGCAATAGTAGAGTTAGGATGCTAGTATCTTATTAACCTCCTATTCATCTTCACTATTAACTTCTAGCGGGGGAGCCGGGTCCTAGAGCTGGCTAGGCAGAGGAGGTGTAGATAGGGCTTTGTAAAGCTTCTCAGGTGTGAAGACAGGGTGGACTTTTATAGAATCTAGGAGATCTAGTTAGAAGGCATTCCCCTCTCACTTTATAATTTAGTATGGTCTAGCAAGCTGGTCAGCAAGCTTCTAACTAGGACAGTCAAGCTTCCAATCCAATATGGTAATGAAGATGTAATTATCAATATTAAAGTTAACAGCACAGTGATGCTTATTAGCCTATTGCTTCTATTAATATTAAGCAGCTTCTATACCTCTGTGAGTATATAACTAGATCTCCTCCATGCATCTAGCCATCTACTGTGCTTGCTCATGATTAACATTAAGGTCTGACAGCCCGGTAGCTGCTGACCAGTTAAAGGATGTGTATGGTTCAAAGCCTCTCTTAATAAAGAAGGGTGATATCCTAGTAGATTTACTTAGAAGCACCGCAGCAGCAAAATTTAGTATAGACAGCCACTGGTCCTAGTCATCCTGGTAATAATTAATAAATGGTTGTAATCACTGTGCAATCCACTGGTTCATGACTTCTGTTTAACTATTAGTCTGCGGATGATATCCTAATAATAGCTTAAGGCAGATCTACAAGACCTTATATAGTTTATCCCAGAAATCTAAGATGAACTAACCTCCCCTATCTAAGACAATTATTTCTGGTAAGCCAGTCCATAGGTAAATATAAGTAATAAAGAGACGCGCTATGTCATGAGCAGTAGTTATCTTATAATAGGGGATAGTAAAGGCTCTCTTCCCTAGTTAGTCCACCACAATGAATGTAGTGTTAAAACCTGTCTTAGAGCGCGGGAATAAATGGAAATCTATAGTAATATATTACTAAGGTTAGTTAGGGATTGGAAGGGGCTGTAGTAGACCTAGTAGAGGGTCTCTACGCGTCTTTATTTAATGGCAGATAAGGTAATTATCTATATAGTGGTCTACATCCCATCTCTAGGAAGTCTAATAGTAGTAAGCATGGATAAGTCTCTTCATCTTAGCCTTGCCTGGGTGTGCAGAAGATGGTGGGTGGTGGATTTCATCCAATAGGCAAGCATATAGGTCACCTTCATCAGGCACTACTAGGCATCCTTAGAAGAGTAGAAGTCCATCTTAGAGTTCCCATTAGTCACTACCCACCCATGTGAGCTCTTACTCAGGCTGGAGGCTGTCATGTAGTTAATTTACTTCAGATACCTAATCCACTATTAATATTAGGCTGGGGGTAACAGCTGCTAAGATTCAGGGGTTAAGGTAGTCTGGCTTGAATATTAACTGAATTTAGTGATTATCAGTCCCTTCTAGGTCTTGTGGCCTGGAGAGTGTGTTAGCTAGCATGTTAAGCTTCCCCAGCTAGAAAGTAATAAGGAAGTAGAAGCTGGATAGGAACTTATTCTATTAGGCCTATTAGGGGTTTAGTTGCTGTTTCTACATGAAATATTATAATGCTTAGTAGTCTATAAATATCTTAAATAATTTAGCTCTTTATAGGCCCTGCAGCTCAGCTCACCATTCTTCTAAAGCATATATAATAGCTAATAATTCTTAGTTATGGATGCTGTAGTTACACTCTGCTAGATTTATGGTTTTAGAATAGTAGGTAATAGGATGCCACTCTTCCCCCCACTACTAAGAGAGCATACCAGTGACTATGCTGTCAGAGGCATCTATCTCTAGCTTTATAAGTAAGGACAGGTCATAATAGGTGAGAAGCAGAGCTTCCATAAGGGCAACCTTTAAATAGTAGAACATCTTCTCATAGTTATCATTCTATGTAAAGGGAACATCCTTCCTTATTAATATAACTAGGGGTTTAGCAACATGACTATACTCCTATATAAACCTCTAATAGAAGTTATAGAAACCTAGAAATGACTGGACCCCCCTCATAGTGGTGGGAGTCTTCCACTTCTATACTGCAATAACCTTTTCTAGGTCAACCTGGATACCATCTATTAAGATGATGAAGCTAAGATACCACATCTTTATTACATAGAATTTATATTTCTTTATCAAGGCTTATAGGCCGTGCTCCTATAAGCACTGTAGAATAGCACAGATGTAGAGCTGGTGGTCTAACTTATTATTAGAATAGATTAGTAGGTTGTCAATGAATGCAGTCAGATATTGATCTAGGCAATCTATAAAAATACTATTCACAAAGTGCTGGAATATAGCTAGTCTATTAGTGAGTCTAAAGGGTATTACCTTATATTTAAAGCTGCCATATCATGAGCAGAATATGGTAAGGTCCTCTGAGGCCAAGTCCATGTAAATCTAATAAAAACCCTGGCGGATGTCTAGCTTAGTGAAGATCTTTGCTTTAGAGATATGCTCTAAAATCTCATTAATTAAGGGGAGAGGGTAATAGTCCTTACACATTATAGCATTTAGTTTGCAGTAGTTAACATAGAAATATAGTCCTCTACCTAGCTTTTCCACCATAAGAATGGGAGAAGTAAAGGGAGTGTTACTAGGTATGATGAATCCCTTATAAAGGTTGTCTAGTATGTATTCCCTCACTGCTTCTAATTCTTCTGCATTCATCTTATATAGGGGCCTGTAGCTAACTGCATTCTCCTATTCTAGTTTAACTTTATAGTCAAATTCCCCGCGGTGGGGAGGCAAAGTATCAGAATCATATTTGGAGAAAACATTAACTAGGTCCTAATAAGGTTCTGGTAGGACTTACTTAATCTCGTCTTTGGCAATCGCTGGACTATGGTTAGTTAACTAAGATGTTAAAGACTAAGCTGCAATGGTCAGCTGCTAAGAGAGGGAAAGGGGTTGTTTACCCCATTTCTTATTAATTAGTTTGTTAAGCTCATGGAGGGAAGATAAGAAGATGGTGGCATCTTTCTTATATATATATTAGTAGAAGGCTACTGCACCTATTATAGTAATATTAATAACAGTCTTACTTGGTGGGTGGGTAGGTTGTGATGTTAGTTCTATACCTCTTCCTTATAGGGCTTATTCCATCTTAAGGGCGCAATACTGCTAATTAATTTCCTCTATTCTTATAGGTTAGTATCATCTAGTCTTATAGAAAGGTGAAGTGGTGGTTATCAGCATTGCTAGGTCAGGCTCCTTAGGGGAATAGGGCTTGGGTGCCTCCTTAGGAGCTGCGGAAGGAAGCACTAGGGACTGAATATATAAGTATTTAGAGGTATCTAGGGACCCTTAGATTATTCTAGAAAAGGGGTGCCATGACCTTACACCATAGCCCTGTGGTTCTCCCATCAAGCTGTGCATATTTAAAGGCTTGGTTGCTGCCCTGGGAAGAACCACAGGGCTAGGGGTGGTTAGGGAGAGAAGAGAAGATGGAGCTAAGGGAGGGAAGATGTCCCTTTTATACCCTGCCCATTGCCTAGCGCGGTGCACCACGTCACGTTAGTGATCTCAGTTAATAGGTTGCCTAATTAGGAAGTTGCGAGGGACCTCCCAGTTCATCTATATAGCTATCTCATCTTGGTAGGTGGGTGGCAAAGACCAGATTAACTATTTCCCTGCACAATCCACTAGTATATGGTGTTCTGCGAGCCACATCCTTCCTAGTATGATATTATGGTGTCCCAGGTCTAGTATAAGAAATGGCATCCATCTTATAATGTGATTATCTGTGGCCATAGTTAATATGATAACATGGGTAAGAGGAATAGACTACCTTCCATCAAACCCTATAACTATATACTCCCTTTCTAGGGGCACAGTAGGTATTCCAAAATGTTAAGATATCTGGATAGCTAAGGAAGTGGTCATGCACACATATGTATTTGCTCTAGTATTAACTAGGGAGCTCATAGATACTGAGAATCTATTAATAAGGATAAGAGATTTTAATTAGAAACTATCTTCTTCATCACCTAATAGATTCCATAAGTCTAAGTTACACAAGTTAACTAATTTTGCGCCTAAGAAGGAGACTTCTCCTAGGCATCCTTGTTTTCTAGTTTGGGAGTGGGCTTAACAGGCTATTCTAATACTTTAAGCTGCGCAGCCTGCTTTATGGGGCAGCTGTAGCTAGTATACCTAACCTAGAAGCATGTAAAGTATTTACCCTCACTTATAAGATGCTTCCTAGTCTTATCATCAAGGTTGCTAGGAGCTGGGGAAGCTGTAGTAGTACAGCCATGAGTAGTAGTATTATCTATAGAGGGAGTGGCTACAGCTGGGGTAGTAGCATAAGATATTACTCTAGTCCCTCTAGTTTGAGTATTAGCGCCACTATTCAAACAAGCCTTAATTCTCTCTATATTCTTAATGTTTATCACTATATAGCTGCAGTAGTCTGTGAACTCCTGGAAGGTCTTATTATTATTATTATATATAGGTATAGTGAGCTCTTGCATACAGAGAGATAGTTTATTATACAGGTTATCTTTCTAGGTCTCCTTAGGGATGCTTGCTTCCACCATAAGGTATAGGAACTTAGAAATAAAGTCATTCCATTTGACTGATAGCTTTATATAGAGGGTGTTATATTTCCACTTAGTAACTTGCTTATGATTAGGGTCTGTGAATATGTTTTCCAGGTGCTTAAGGAGGTCAGTGGAGTCCTGGTATGGGTTAATAGTATCTTCTCACAGATAAGGGGTAATATGCTTCCAGGCGTTGCCCTCAGTATGACTAGTCACATAGGTGATTCTCATCATGGGGTTAGGGAAGTGGTTAGTGTTAGTAATAAGCTTCTACTTAATGGCTAGTAACTAATCTTTAAAATGAGGGTCCTTTCCATTACTAAGGAGAGGGGGTCTGGAATCTTTGCTGACTTACTACTAGTAGCTAAAGCCTGGGAACCAGTGTTTCTAATACCAGATCTATAGGCTACCTATAGGGCGAAGTCATTTCATTTATAGATTACCTCTTCAAGCTTCTCTCAGGCCTTGTTATGTTCAAGGTTAGCAGTGATGAGCTGGGCCTGGGTCTATTTATATTCCTAACAGATCTATTTATTCTGGCACTTAAGATTATCAGTCTTACTCTAGCTCTTAATAAGTTACTTATTTAGGAGAGCTGCCTCTGCACAGTTCTGGTTTGCCTTTATGTCTAAAGTGATGTAGATCTGGGAGATGGCTTCCCAGCAGTGCTTAGGGTCCATTCCCTAGTGGGCAGTGAATTCTTTGTAGGAGATACCATCAGCCAGCTCATAGGTGTCTTCATCAAGGCCGCCATTCTCTGTCTGGTTGAGTAGGGCAGTCAGCCTTCTAGCAAAACCTGAGCCTGGTCTAGTACACTGAGTGGAGGGGTTATAGGTTCTATTCCCAGCTCCTTGCTGGTTCTTAGGCTCCTTAGTAGAAGCTGCAGGTCTGGCCATCATTTATTCTTTTGTGATCTTAGTTAATAGATTATATTGTTATCTCCAACTGTTGGCGTCATTAGCACGCGAAGGGTTCTTTGCAAGAGGAGGTAAGATCAGTGCTTAACGCGAAAAAGAATGCGTTTGTTACTAGATCTTAAACCTTCTAATGAAAGAGATGATGCAGGAAGTGATGCTTAGTTTTATATAATGGCACTGCTCATATTCCAATAGTATGGTAGTATTTCAATAGAAAACTAAGCATAGAGAAGAGGGGGAAGAAGTATGTACATAGTAGGGAGATATGTAAACAGAGGGTGGAACAGTGCAAACAATCCAAACAGCCCTGGAGAGGTAAGCAGTCAAGATGGGCAGAAAGCTCCATGTAAGGAGGTCCGCGGGGAACATGGTGATGGATTGTCACAAAGTCCTCAGCTCTCATGAATGGGTGTGTACGATCCAGTTTTCTATGAACAAAGAAGTAGGCATTTTGGGGGTCAAGACCTTGCTGACATTTTGCACCTTACTATATTCTAGTAGTAGCTTAAAACCTCAACAACGTCTTGATGTTGTACTAGAATGTACGAGACCTCGTTGAATGAACCTTAACCCAGATATTAGGTAACAGAATAACGAAAAACCATCTTCTGATCTTTCTCATTGAGTGGCAGGTCGGTCTCGAGGACGTCGCACGATCTGAAAACAAAGGACGATACACGTTTCCTTTGACGTTTGGCCATCCTTTTTCTTCTTCGGCTGGGTCCCTGACAAAGCCCGGAGAGTCCCGTTAACTTTATCAAAGTAAGTGGCTTTCTCAGCCGCGGTCTTTCTTGTCGGTCCGTCTGGTTCTTTGCTATCGAGTACACAACACCAAGGAGACTCGACGGTAGACAATCTTCTAATTTTACCAGTCTTTCATATTTCCGAACGGTTTTGGATTGTACTATGGTTCAGGGATGTCGACTTCAACAAGGGAATGACCTCGAGGACTAACTGAAGGAGCTGGTCCTTTACTCCAATTCGGAACAGAGAGTTCTCACTGTGCATTAACTGCCAGTAACTGGGACTAACGTTGAACTCTGCATATATATATCAGCATCTCTCGGCCAGGACATGTTGATATCAAGATCGCGAACAACTAATCCATATACGCAAGATGGCCGACTTCCAATTTGGCCCCAAAACCCACAGGGATCGAGAGCAAGTGGTATACCGGACCTACGTATGCCAGATCTCTCGCTTTCTAGATGCTCATGGAATCCCCAATGTGCTCTGGGGGGAGCTTGTGATGAATATGCTTCTCATTCCCCTTGTGATAGATGTAAGTCCGCAGTTCCCCTGAAGCAGGACAAATGCAGCTGGAGGAGCTAACCACCAGACAATAACAGGGTATTTGCATCGTCATCCCCGACGAACATATTGACAAAGCGCGCGACCTCTTGCTAGCAGCTGGCTGTCCCCCTTGCCAGGCGGGGAGCCTTTGCCCCTTCTACCATCCCTACGCTTCCCGCGCCATCCCCTACGCACACTTCAACCTCATAGACCGCGGCCCCTTGGACTTCTACAAACCTGAGATATTCGGCGAAAATCCCCGGGAATGGTACACGCTGGAACTCTTCAAGAAGTCTGATGTGCTGTGGGGAGCGCCTGAGATCCCACTCAGCCCACCCATTCCCAATGATCCTGATTATTGGACAGTCACCGATGACCGACTTCCTGAAGTCGCCATTGAATACCAGCTAGGCCGCATTGTCGACGCAGATTATCCAGTTAAGATCCCCTCGCCAGCACGCTTCGCCGAGTCACTGACCCTCTTGTACTTCCGGGATAACTTTCCGGAAGAAACTGCCAGAGGGAACCACTGGGATTCGCTGCTAGTGGACATGAAGACAGTTCTGAAAAAGGACCGCCTTTACAAACTGGAGGACCTTCCATCACGTACTCAGAGCTGGTTCAAATTTCTGGACAAACCTCCAGTGAATAGAATGCAAGGTCGTGTGGGGGAGAAGTTTGCGGCGGCGATGAGGAAGGCCGGCGAGATCCCAGAGAGAAGTCCCTGGCCGTCGGCAGTTCTTGGGTTGCCTGGATGGCGTGAAGAGCTTAAACGATGGGATGAGGAGGAAGAGGAGATGAGGAAGAAAGAAGAAGAGGTGAAAGAGGAGCAGACTGCGTGATGGAATGATAGGTGGTTTTCTGTTTATTTAGTATTCGCCTATTTGTTGTTGTCGATTGCCATATTCTGAGCATATAGCTGCTCAACTTGCTTACCAGTTGAGTCAATGCTGTTGTTATACCTTATTCTGTGACTGTTAGAAGAAGATTCACCCTCTAGAGCAAGCCCACTAGTTGTGGCACAATGAAATGCTTTCAATCAATAATGTCTTATATCGGAGTGGCTCACAATGCCACCCTTAAGTCAATGATAACTAAGACAGGCTGTATGCTTCATACGAAGAAGTTTCACCCTCTAAAGTGAGAGTAATCCCAGTGGTTGCGGCATAATGGATACTTCCAATCAATAATGTCTTGTATCAGGATAGCTCAGAATGCCACCCTCATGTCTGCCGTAACTAAACAAGATAGATGCTCTGCATGATGTTGATAAAGAATTAAATAAGCCGTGCCTCCATGTATATCCCCACCCATGTTTGAAAGTGAACATCTGTTGCAAGGTGCAGTGATTCTTGAACCAACTGATGACTATAAATAACAGGATCCATTCCCTTCTTCACTGGCTCAGCCACTACCAACAGTACTACCAACTTCATTTCACCAAGCTCTGCAACCTAGTTTAAAAGCTATACCCCCAGAACCACAGAACAACTCTCAACATCGACATGACTCATCCGTCCGACAATGTCCTTGGGGCTGCACTCAGAGCTGCAGCAATGACGCTCATTCTGTCTCTACAAGCAATGCCAGAGCTGCGGGGGGTGCACATTGCAATCATCGGTGGCTTAGCGGTCCAGCACTATGTGGGAGACCGCCGGCGAACCTCGGTGAGTGCATTGAAGAACCCAATCCGGCAACGCATGCTAACGAGGCCATGTATCCTGGCGCAGGATGTGGATGTTCTGCTTTTCAGCCCTGATCATTCTATTGACACCCGAAGGATCCGCAAGGAGCTGGTCTCTGGATTCTCCCATCTCTTTATGGAGTGTGCCGACCCTATGTTCTTCAAGTACAGGCATGGGGACTTGACGCACTTGGTGCAGGTTGACCTCATTCCTCAATATCTGGTACGTCTTGGTGCCGCGGTCAGATAGACGAGGTCAAACTAACGTGATTGACGACAGCCTCCGTACCTACGATGGCTCTCAGCAACGTGCAGACAGACCGTTTATCGTTTATCGCCCCGTTAGACCTCATCGCGTACAAGGTCCATTGCTCTAGCAGGCGGCCCTGTCCGGATAAGCGGAAACAGGACGCCCAGGACGCGAGGATGGTCTGGGAAGTGATGTACGATCTGCGGCTCGTTCCACTCAACCAAGCGCAGAGCCGGGCCATTTTGTCGGGGCTGGATCTGATGGCAGCATATTCCGACCTTTGTGGCTGGATAAAGAGGAGGCTGAGACAATGGGTACATATGTGAGGGAGGACCATTCCGTCCGCGAGGACGAAGAAGTTGGGGGTCGATCCAACATTCAAAGATATAGTATAGAGCAACTAGTTGATGAGGTCCTGCTGGCCAGAGACTGATATAAATAAATTGTACTAGGGATGGCCTATTTGCAGGTGTTCAGAAAGTGGTTTAGTGTATGAGAGAACCATAAACGCGGACTGCTTGCTGGCAGACAGGATGATGTGCTGATTGAACTAAACCCCTGTGTATGGTAGCACTTTTGGCCTATTCACATATCCTAACAGACTCATGCTCCATAACAAGAGCTCACTGATCTAAGCAGATGCTGGAATGCCTTACTCCTTTTCATGCTTGCTGAAAACCTGGATACTCATATCTCCGTCTATCTATCCATGTGCCACAGAATCCTCACCAAACACCCTCCCCTTCCTGTCTGCTTCTTCTCTCCATTCATCCCTCTTTTTCACCAAGGAAGAGAAGAACACTAGCTTTGTGTCGACATCTCAAGCATGGCGCCCACTGCATTGACCTCAGGCTGTGGATTCTGCAGCAAAAAAGGATAATCTCCTACAATGCTCTGGATATAAGGTGATCCTCTACTGTGGTTGTGAAGACCAAGCCGCTCATTGTCCCTGATTTCATCGGCGATGTCTTGACTGCTCCTGTCTCACGAGCATGTCCTGCAGACGCTCTCCAGAAGTGACAGCTACTTGAACAGTGGAGCTCATTCTTAACATAGCTATTAAGCACATAGGTGTGCTTCTTGTGGGATACCTAACAGCTTGCTGTCCGCGCTGTCATTGACCACCAACGCTTGGTTGAAACTGACAACTTAAAGCTAACGCCCAACATTGCACGCTTCATAGAATGATTTGGATATCGGAAGCCATTATTGCAAGCACTCTCTATTAAGCAAATAATCATATACATACCACTCAGATTGGTCCACCCGTGACTAGCAGAGCGCTCGCCACATAATTGCCAACAACTAGACTGTCGGCAGCCTACTATAGACGATATCAAATTTCAGAGAGCTGATGCGTTCTCAGTGAATTCAGACCCGTATGTTGTGAATAATAATTAATGATCTCTCTCTTTAGACTCAGGGGAGAAATCACTATAGCTTGTTGAACTCATTATGCACCTGCTGCTCCAAGCACCAACTTTATCTTCTTGAACTGCTCAAGAATAGCCCTTTAACAAACAGTACCGCACAATTTACTCAACAGTGCGGATTTTCTCATTTCTAAGTGCCCACTCAGCATACTGCTGCTGATTCCTGGTCCACACACTCAGTGCGCGCAACTTCCCTCAAAAGCCAACAGTGCAAGTCTTCGCATATTCACCGCTTAACGCATCTATACAGATTGTGATGGACGTGCCTAGGTGATTCTAATGACAATAGGTTGAGGATAAGACATGAATGGGTCTTGCAAGTACTTACATAGTAGGAATAAGCCCTGGAATGGCTCTGATATTAAGCTCGACCAAGTCGAGTTCCCGTGGGCACAATCAACCGAATTGACCTGAGCCTCAAAACTGCTGTTCAGCTGTTCATTCTTCTGTAAATGTGTGATACTCCATTGCTCTGTTCAGCGGACATTTGTCGTTAATGCCTTGTGATCTTCCGCTCCTTTAGGTTATAAAGCACCTCAAAAGAAAACCACAAAAATAAAGGGCTCCACTTGAGTAGAGTCGGTTACATTCATACTGCACTTAAGAGCGGATGGTTTATACCTTGGAAGAGATATTTAAGGTTGGTACGCCTGTTCTCAAAGTGGCAGGCCGTTGATCCAAATTTTCTGATTGGATTAGCAGAAGTCTGTCCGCCTTTGACATTTACTATTCCTTCTATGGGGTTCTTGGAACAAAGGAAGAGAGTCAATCGAAGGAAGAAATGAGGCGCATATGGTCCACAGCCTTCGCTAGCAATTTCTATGGCCAATCGAAAATGAATGAAGGTCTGATTCTTCTAAATAAATGACTATTCAGCTCCTATTTATCCCTTCCATTAGAGGCCGGTATTTGGCTGATCAAATGACGAATATTTGCCAAAATATTATCGCTAAGAAGCGGCACGGAGAAATCAAATCACTTCCCAATTGGGCAAGCGGTCATATAATTCAATAACTGCTATACTATCTGCCATACTATTACTATACCTTTAGAAAATTAATATTTTTATATGAAATATATGGTAATTATAGTCATTTTAATCTATATCTAAAATATCGATTCAATATCCATAGAGCTGAATAGGTGGTGGTTAAAAAATCATTTTTAAACATGGTGGTTGGCAAAGCTTAGATGCATATAGGGACCTGATGTTGGGGACTTGCACCAAAGCCAAAAGCACTGATTGTAAGGGACTCCTATTATAATGAAAGAAGATGACCTGACAAGTTATAGTAAAGAATAGGTGTTCTTAACAGATATCCTTTTTGTATTGCTATTTATTGGCGATCCACAAGCCGATCGACTCTCTCGGAAGTGGAAAGTCAACGCTCGTAAGTTGGCCAATGAACAAGGAGAAAAATATGGTTTCTACGCCATATTCAGTCAGGGTGTGCTGGTAGACAGATCATGACCATATATAACGTAGCCCATCAATGTCCGCTCTCTGCATTGACTGCCGCTTTGGAAGACTTGAAGTGTCGTGGTGCGGTTCCCATCTCATATGCCCTATCAATGTCTTCAACACTGAGGCCTGCCGTCTCGGGAACGAGGAACCAAGAGATAACAGTGACGACCACCGTCAAACCGGCATACACAAAGCCAGTCTTCGCGCCCAGATTGCCAGAATCGACGTTATACATGTAAGGGGTGATAAAATTGAACAGCCAACCGCCGATGGCGCCAACAATGAAGGCAACAGACTGCGAGTATTGGCGAAGTCGGTGGGACGAGATCTCAGGGCAGATGGTCCAGGCTACACCAACCGTGGCATATACACCGTACGAGATGAGTACGTTCCTGTGGGGAGAAAGACGACATTTAGACAAATTCTCCTTAATAGTTTAAGAAAGGCGGAAGACCTACATGATTACCGCGATTGCCAACTGGCTCGCCTTCTTGGTGCTGAATCCCAAGGCACCGATAGTAACCATGCAGAGAAAGTTGCCGATTAAGCCGCAGAGCCACAGTCTCCGACGACCGATCCTTTCGTTGGAGAGCCAGCCGAGCATCACAAAGAGACAGCCGAGGAAAAAGCCACCGATACCGATGTCGAAAACGCTGGTAACGTTGAGGCCAACAGTGATGAGAAAATAGATATTCTGCGTAAGGAACGGCACGCCAATGGCGCTTGTGCTAAACATGATGAACCCAATGGTTATGGTCCGCTTGAGATTGAAGCCCTTGAAGAGCTCGGACCAAGACGCTGATTCGGACTGCTGCTTCCTCTCCTCGTCGAGCGCATGGACGATTGCCCGGTAGCGTAGGTGGAGGTATTGGTCAGCACTGCCGTGTAAGCGCCTGAGTGCGCTTTGGGCCTTATCATGCTTTCCGTGTGCCACGTAGAAGACGGGGGACCTAGGGAGTGGGTTCTTAGTTGCGGCTCATCCAAACATGATGAGGCAGGAGGGGAACGCACTCGGGCACGAGGAAAGCAGCAATCAAGACTAAGCCGGCAAAGGCCCATTGGATGCCAAAAACAATCTTCCAAGCAAGAGGTCTCATGTCGAGAATGAAGGCGCGCACGATTCCCAAACTCACACCCTGCATGGCCACGCCGAAGAAGACGATGGCCTGCAGGAGAGCACCACGGAGTTTGATGGGGGCAATCTGACAGCAGAACGATTGTTAGCATTCCTCCAGAATAGAAGTCTCCAGAAGGATAAATGTCGTACATCGGCGGCGTACGTGGTTCCAATCGCCATCAATCCTCCCACAACGGCTCCGTTCATCGTCTTGCCGACCAATAACATGCCCCTGGTAGAGGAGAAGACGAGAATGAAGGTGCCCACGATAGAAAGGATGGCGAGTGACACGGCTGTCCAGCGACGACCGATGCGCTCGGCGAGGAAACCGGCTATCAGAGAGCCCACGGCCTGGCCGAGGTTGGTCATGGATGTCCAGAGCGATGTCCAGATGGATGGCAGATACATAGACCCTGTGGCCTGATTCATGGCGCCAAAGGACATGATAAATGCCGGCATGGCAATACTGGAACCATTGGAGACAGTATCATAGCCATAGTTACTCGCACAAATGAAGGGGAGGATAGCTAGGTGTTTGACTCGGTAAGCAGCTGCAGTGCAGTAGGACAGACAGCAGTCAATGCTGAAGGGCCTCACCAAAGAGCAACAGGCGTCTATGCGCCTTGACGGCCTGCCAGGTCGTCATCTCCTTCTCTGCGTGCAGGAATTCCCCAATCGCCTCCGAGCTGACCTTGGCATCGTGGTGACTGGATTCGACATGTTCGATGGCTTCGACCTTGTCCTCGGGCATGCTGGCCATGCTTCTGCAGAAAATACAAGCGACCACAGAGTTAATTGCAAAATCTGTCGCGATAGGGTAGACCGATCACATATCACGAAACCGGCAGTGTCATCATGGCATGATATATCCCTGTCAACCTGATGCAACCCCCAGATTTTCCCATGCCAATCCCCGCATGTCGAGCCTGGGCAGAAAATGTTGATCTGTGGCGCCGTGGACGGTTCCGGGGAAGTGGACGGCAAA